AGCACTGTGATTGTGGGTATTAATGGTTGCATAATATACATAAGTTTTTTAAAAAACAATCACACCCATGATCTTCATGGGATTTACAAAGATAGCTATCAGCTCCACAATGCTTCACAAATAGTTCATTTTAAGACAAATCGCATCTCGCATAATTCAAGCACTGGTACCAGCCCTCTGGACACGCCTCTGCTGACACCAACCCTCTTGCAGGAATAGCAGACATTGAAAATAACCATACAAAAATGGTCAGTCATCACCTCGACAGTGTGGGTTGCTCTTGTAGGCAATAAAGAGACATTCATATTGATTGTGTTTTTCTTTTTTAATAGTTTAATAGAAACCCTCACAGGAGCTTTGTATTGAAGACAAGCCATCTGGCAGTCTGTAAAGAAGTCTTAATGACCCACAATGCCAACACACCCACTAGTTATAATCCAACGATGTATTGAGTTATAATATTCCTGAATCATGAATACTCATTTTGGTATTTTTAGTATGTATAATGCCAATAACCTTTATATTTGGTTTAAATTTAAACCGTCCTTCTCCACAGTCAATCAATCAATCAATCTGTTGACCGATTATTGATTCTTAGAGTTAAAGGGATATTCTGCCGTAAATTTAAGTTATGGTCAAACACACTGTAACACCGAGTTAGACACTCCCTCGAGAGATGAATGTTGCAGACCGCTTGCTTCTCTAGTTATACCAACTTCAGTAATGACTACACAATAGCAATATACAGTGGTCTACGTCTCCACACATAAACCTCAACCAAAATGCCACTCTATAGACACAAATAATGCTCAGAACAGCACCTAACTTCATCAACAGTACATATAGGGTCCCAGCCATAGTACTAGCCATCAAACATCTTTTTAGCTTTGCCTGGTTTCTTTATTTAAAGAGACCAAACACAACTCACTCACTCTCCTCCAGCAGCGGCTTTTTTGTGGGGGAGCCCTGACGAGTTGATCACAGAGTGCACAGTGTTAAGGTGTGTTTGACCATAACTTAAATTTACGCCGGAATATCCCTTTAGTGTAAAAAATTACAGGGGAAAAGGCCCATTCATCTATACATAAAACCAATGTAAGATGCGGCTTGTCAATCGGTGGGGATACAGACCCTTTATCATGATGTTCTGCGTACTGTTCAACATGGCCTCCATCTGTTCAGCCCATCAGCTGTGCTAGAGCACTAAAGGGTGCTGCTGAAGGCCTTTAGAAACCCCAGAGCAAGGTTTTATCAAGTGACTATATGACCTCCACCCCCCACCCCCACCTCCTTCTACCCCCTGTCCTTGCCTCCTGCTGGGACACCAGAAGGATCTGTTTTGATAGCAGCAATTCCCCTCATTGGTTTGACCCTCTGAGCTAACATCCCTGCCATTAGATACACAAGTAAGCACGACTGCAGGCATGCTCCTTGACGCTGGGTAAACATGTTGGCAATCTGGAGGAATGTGAAGTGAGGCGGTTCAAAAGGCCGTCTGTCTGTATGTTTGCTTGTGTGCTGTCAAAATTAAGGGGAGACCGCCTTGCAGAAGGTCATCTCTGACCTCACTGCCCAGGGTTGGTTGTCGGCCTCTGACGGATGGAGCCTTAAATCTCAATCTAACTGTCCACCTTGACCTTTTGGAGATGCCCCCAAATGGAAAATTAGATTGGCTTCTCTTTTAGTGAGACTCACACCACCACCTGGACCCTCACACATGTCTTCAGTTTCAAGATGTGAGGGGAGTATCATGCTGTTTGAACAAATCCAACAGTAAAGAAACATATGACCTCATCTTTTCTTTCAAAAGACCAAACTACAGTGTACAAACTTTAAAACCGTTCAAGTAAACTACATATCTTTTTTTACAAGGTTATTTTAATCTAATGTGAAAGAAAATCAAAGCATCATACATGATATAAAGAAAACTGCTTTGCCTGACAGTGTATAACAATACTTTCTAAGAGCCAAACATTTATTTTACTGCTTAGTAACCTCAACATTTCTATTCACTCTGAAAACACAGGAAATCAAACAATTACCTCACTTTTACACCACAGTTCTTTGTCCCCTAGATGTAAAGTAAATACGACCTCCAAAGATGACTATTGTTAAAAAAAACACTTTAAAGTTTCATTTCTATACACAAGTCAAAGTGGTTTCTTCAAAGTGGTCTAATCCTGACTCTCCTGATGAAAAAGATTCAGATCAGCTGATAAGTTCCGCCTCTAATAACACATATCCATCACAGTTTAACACTGTCAGCGTAGATTTATTATGGTTACTCTAAGTTTTGTGTGGAATATGACCTCTGCTCTCAAACAAACACTCTGTGGGAGCATGTATGTGCTCACGAGGGCCCTGGTGGCCTGCTGGGTCCGTCGTGCTCCCTGGGGTGTCTGCTCATGAGAGGGGCCTGTTATTCAGAGAACATCCTGCGGTCCTCCCACCCTCCTGTAGTGTCGGGGAGAAGGAGCTGGGAAAACCCCCGTCACAAGAGAGGACAATTTGTGGATAGAAGCTGTTTAGGCTAGTGTTGTAGTGGGCTTTTTTGTTGTTGCTGCAGAAAACAAAAACTGTAATTGAGTAAAAATGTTTGATTATTATGAAACAAGCTTTGAGATGACGTCTGCTCGCTCTGCTAATCATTAAATGATGGAGCTACTTACACAGCTGAGCTCACATGAGCCACTTTCTCCTCCCCACATCATCACCATATGGTCCAGATTTACTGGAGAAAGCATCCACAGCATCATTATGTTAATGGTGACGCCTCTGCTGTGGTACTTAGACAGAAGGGGGGGATTAGAGGTTGGGAGGGGTCTGAGTGATTCCCATACAGACAGGCGTGCTGTTATCTTCTTAAGCTGAATAAGAACACATGCAAATGACTCAGATGAATATGTTTACAACCAAGCTTACTGAGTGAATGAATTTGCATGAATTTGGACCTTAAACACTCCTAAGCATCACAATAGTTTAAAGTACACAAAGGAAAGAGGTCAGGTATTATTGTGGCTACTGCAGAGTGATGCTTAAGACAGCAGGTAACACTGATTGATGTAATTGGATAATAATGGATGACATCATCACTCAGTTCACCACTTATGACTGTTTTCATTTAAGGTACGAGTGGCCATGGTTGAATATAAATATTTTGGGGAAATTAAAGTCCTTATTTAATAGATGCTTAGAGTAAAATAGTCTGTAAGTTATATTGTTTGTGAATACCACTTATTTTCTGTCCATCCTATATGACTCTGCCTGTCCAAAATAAATTTTAAAGTAGAGCAAAGTTTACATCCCCTGGTAATATGAATAAAAATTAGTATGAGTCAATTTAAGGGCTCATTTTAAGTTAGAAACAATAGTTTTAATTTTAAAACAAACCAACAAGTGTCTTAAAGTGTCTCTTCCTATAATTCATCATGTGTTGAATTCAAGTCTAAAAAGCAGAAAAAATAAATAAAATTATAATTTGTCGCCATCTGCTGGTATGAGTTATTGTGGCAAAGGTAATGTCATTGTGAAACACTGGGAGGCGCTGTTTCACAAAGGCACTGACTGTACAGTATGTGTTCAGGTGGTCAACAGGTGATCCTGTTGCAACATCAGCTGGAGAACTCCTAATGGTAAGGCCTAACGAGGTGTGTTCAAGTGCTGGACATGTGCTATGGCACCATTAAGGTAGCTTATAAATCTTGTGCATTACAACCGCTTTGCACTTCAGACCATTAAGAATAAGACTAACTTTATTAATCACCTAAGGGAAATTCAATTGTCTGTTGTCTCAAATGTGTCTCTAAAAGCTATCTACTATTTACTCAAGCGTTATATAGTCTGATGGCTGTGGGTACAAGAGATCTTCTGAATCTTTCTGTCCTGCAGCGAAGAGAGAGGAGCCGTCCTGTGAACCAAACTACCCCACAAGGACAATAAAGATTCAATAAATGAACAAATAAGAAACCTGCCAATTAGAGCAAAGTTCAGAAATTAAAGAATTTAATGTATCTCTGTCTACAGAGATTGAACTTTTTGGTATGAAATGTCATTGTGTACGTGGATACTTCAGATGGAAATGGTTATTTTTATTATAAGTGTGTGTTAAGTAGAGAAGTTCTTACTGCTTAAATTTTACGTAAGTTGAGAAAATATCTAAAAGGTCTGTTTTCTAAACTGTAGTTTAAATCAGTGGTTCTCAAGTCCAGTCCTCGCGGCCCACTGTCCTGCATGTTTTGGATGTTTTCCTGCTCCAACACACCTGATTCAAATGATCAGCTCGTTATCAAGCTCTGTAATGGCTTAATAATGAGCTAATCATTTGGATCAGGTGTGTTGGAGCAGGGAAACATCCAAAACATGCAGGACAGTGGGCCTCGAGGACTGGACTTGAGAACCACTGGTTTAAATGACACCAGTGGTAGACTAACTGACAGAGAAATATTCTTACTTAAAATCACCTCACACCTCAAGATGATGAACAGAAGTCTCTAATGTACTACAGTCTAGGTCATATATTTACTGAACCCTGAAATGTTGGGCTGCAGAAAGTGCGGGCAAATCTCATTCATTATGGTCCATACCAGTCTTTTTACAAGAACCATCTCTCTGAATTTGATAGAGGGGCCTTAATCATTTCTAACTCTTAGCTTTAGTGTGTTGAAGTCAGGTTTTTTTACTGATGTATATGCCAAGTTTAACAAAGTTGAAAACGGCACTGGGTAGATCCCTTGAATGCCCTGTTGTTTCTTAGTGGATCATCAGACCAACAGGTGACGTAATATTCTCAATTTAAAAGGGCTTGAATTAAAATAAAATTTTAAAAAAGGGGTTCCTTGCTATCTAGTCACCAAAACTGTTTGATGTTCAGAACAAGTGTAATTGCTTTTGTCACGTCTCTATATACTAAATAAACATTGTACAAGTGATGCTATCAAAAACTGCTTTCACAAACAGACCAACTGAATGAATTCAAACAACAAAAAGTAAAAGATTGTGCAAAGCTGGAGTTTTTTTTATGTATTTGATACCTAAATGGAAGAATTTCTTATTTAAAGAACTGCAACAACAAAGATATTTAAACAAGATTTTCTTTATTTGACAGTGTGACAAATCAGCTTATGGCAGCCTCTCAATCGCACCTAAAATTTCTGGAACTGCTTCTTGGCTCCAGCAGCCTTTGTCACTTTGAGGACGTTGAACCTCACAGTTTTGCTGAGCGGTCGGCACTCTCCGACGGTCACAATGTCTCCAACCGTGACGTCCCTGTGGAAACAAACAGTTGTTTAGTGGGTAACTGTTTCCACGTCCAGGCTTGCTTAGCTTCATATAGAGAACTGTCAGGCTGAGCTGCATCAGTGTATGCCAAAGGCAGTGTCGTCAAAGCTTCTAGAGCTTGGAAGACCATCGTGAGAAAAAACATCATTTGCAGCAAAATGTGATTCAGTCTGAATCTAAAAATCAAGAAACTTTTAAAATACAACTGATGAGAAACATGCAATTTATTCAGGCCATCTGTACTCTCAGCTTTGCTATTGACTGTTGGAACCTTAAGTAAAGAGGGAGTGAGAAGCATAATACCTGAAGCAAGGTGACAGATGGACAGACATGTTCTTGTGCCTCTTCTCAAAGCGGTTGTACTTGCGAATGTAATGCAGGTAATCACGTCTGATAACAATAGTTCTCTGCATCTTCATTTTGGTCACCACACCTGTGAAGAACACAAAAACAAGCAATATTTGAATATCGTTACGTGAAATAAACTCTGCGGGACCATGGATTTCTTTGAGTTCAAGGAAACTTCCTCATTTCTCAAAGACTACCACTCATACATCAGTGTTGCCTTTAGGCAGTGTCGTCAGGACCCAAAGGGCTTGGAAGACCATCGTGAGAAAAACATCATTTGCAGGACAGTGGCAGAAAAGCCTATAGAGACTCTGGCTTGGGTTGCCTCTGCATATGTCTGAGGACATGTAGCTGTTAGGTGCAACTCCATGGACAAATGCCAAGCCAAAGTCTGTTATATGTTCAGATCCACTGTAGTGTTTCAAACTTACCAGAGAGGATACGGCCACGGATGGAGACATTTCCAGTGAAGGGGCATTTCTTGTCAATGTAAGTGCCATCAATAGCCTGTTGGGGAAAAGGGGGTGTTAGTGCCACTTTCCATGAGTCCCTATGCACACATTGAGGAGGGTTGGACTGCATCAGTAATGCCAAAAGGCACTTTCGTCAGAGCCCTGCAGGCTTGGAAGACCATCGTGAGAAAAACATCCTCTGCAGCTGATAATTTTAAAACCCGAACAGCTTTAAACCCCTAACTCTGTTACTGCATTTGGCCACATGTAGTCGATTCAGCTTACCTCTCTTGGGGTTTTGAAGCCCAGTCCGACACTCTTGTGGTAGCGGGGGAGCTTCTCCTTGACCTCCTTGCCACCATCAGCGACCAGAACACGTTTCTTGTTCTGGAAGATGGTGGGCTGTTTCTGATAAGCCCGCTCGGTCTGTAAAGGAAAATTGATAAATCAAGTTTGAGACACGAAGACCACCTTCACAACACTTCGATTTCCGCACGGCCTCGCTCCTTCATACTGAACTTCCTCTATTTATGAATGTCATCCATTTCAAGGCCAAAGGCCAAAGCTATATGATCATTTGTTATTTTGTGCCTTGCTAAAAAGTATACACAGACTACACAGAAAACCAATCTGGCGAGACCAGAGAGAACTGATAGCAGGGTAGGCTAACCGAGTTAGCATCCCGGCCAGTTCATCATTACACGAGGGGAGGTAGAACAGCAACAACAAAAGGCACTTTCTAACGCCTAAATGCGGTCTTAAGTGACTGAAGGTCGTACAGATAACATCGTCTAATGACAGGGGCGTAAGAAACCCTAGTAAAGTGCTCATGAAATTGCCTAAAAATCGCTTTTTATGCACCACGCCGTTTTCATGGACATACTTGTGCATCCGCCATCTTTGCCAGCCGAGTCGTAAAGAGGCCTACGAATGCGCGCGACGCACGGAAGACACAGAGGCACGGGAAATGACGTATACGGAGAGGCGAGCACAGATAGATATATCAACGCTAGATGGCTTACGCGCGTTGTTAGCCAATGGAGACAGACGTCCGCGCATGGCGGCCATTTTGCTACGGGACGCTCGCCTCCTCTGAACATTACAGTCTACGGTGCATGTAGCAGTTAAATAACCATAAATTGCTTGATTTTAAACCGATTTTAAAAGAGTTTGGTTTGTATCAAACCTCAGAGTTTTAGTTATATTCCAACATACTCAAGGATAATTTCAACCGTGGATTTTTAAAAATAAACATTCAGCAGATAGGTAGGGCAATAGCTATAGGCCTTCACACACAACGCAGTTATATTAAATAATTTATATATAAAACATTTTATCATTCCATGTATGTTATATTAGTAATATTTCTATTAAAAGGATAACTCTAATAACATAGAACAATAACATACATATAGATATTTATTTTCAATATAAATTTCCGCCTCATATTGCCAGTTTAGATGTTTTTACCGAACAGCTTGGAAATCATGTGCAACTTAAGTTATGTTGAAACGAACGAGCATTTCTGCCTCTCCAACTAATGTTAAATTGCTGGGTCAAATTTGTAAATAAAGTTAAACAAAATGAATAAATAGCCTGTCATGCATGAGATTAAAATCTCGATTGTGGTGGTCTCAGCCTTGACAACTGGTGCAAAGCGACTCAAAAGTTAGCCATTGCGCGCAAATAGCTGTGAAACAACTGTGCTGCACGATTAAGTCTTTCTTTTTTTTTTTCTAAAGAAAAAAGGTGCAATTTAAATATTTCCAAGCATCCCGACCCATAGCCACGTTATCAAGGTCTGTAATTAACAAGTGGTGAGTACACTCCAGTACACAGAATGGTGTACTGGAGTAAGATGGCCGCCGTGTTGGGACGGCGGTGACTCCACTTAGAGTCATCTATCCATTCTTATCTATGGAGGCGAGGCTCAACGGGGATTTCAGCCTTGTGTTTTCATTTTAATAAACTTAATTCACTTAATTGGTATAGAAGATTTGTAGTGTAAAATCTCCTTATATTGGGCTGTTTTGAGCTCATTTGTCAAAGCAGCGTTCATAAGCTCGGTCAGGAGAGCCACGCAGATCTACAGATCATACCACACACTGGTGGGCTGGTTCACAGTCCCAGCCCCAGTCCCATCAGGCTTTGTTTCAGATCAGCTTTTTGGAGAACCTGCCCCGCTCGTCAGCAGCTGAGCAACAAACAAATAAAATAGAGTCACATGATTGTGCGGAAGTATTGGTGCTCTAAACACACAACAAGATGGCATCACACCCGGGAGGAGGCGATCAAGGTAACCGTTAGCGATATTAAACATAAAAAATTCCTTTACAGTGTTGACAACGACAAATCGGACTTATATGATATGAAAAAATAAAAATTCGCTCTTGTTTTGTGTACAGATGTTGTTTATCTACTGGGGGCAACATTAGCTTAACTGAAGTTAGCGTCAAAGCTAGCCTGAATGTTGACTCAGCTAGCATCGACCGGTGCCTTTATCAGCAGCTTTATTAGCGACCTTTATAACACCGTGTTAGCAATTATTCCTGTACAAAAACGAAACTAAAGTATTAAAAAGACTGTTGTGTAACCGTTTACACAGTGAAATGTGAAATAATGATAGACGTGTTTATGTAACATCTGCAACAGCGTTACCTGACCTCAGCTAATGAACTTAGTAGAAACTAACAGCACACTGTGTGAACTGCCATTAAATGTTTATTATTATTATTCACTATGAACAAATATTCAGCTTCAGTTTAAAGACAGGGTTATAGGTACTTTGTTGACTAAAGGTGACCTAATATTTTAACAGTGACTGGTCCCAGTCAACACATAGTACAGTGTTTTTTAGACAGCTAGAGTTAAAATAATTACAAGATATGAGAATTCACTTAATGAAACGTAACTGGTTACAACACCTCTAGTAAGAGACACATGTAGATAATGTGAGGAAATGTTAAAAAGATGCACTTTTTTGTTTAACTAGAATACTACGAAAGTGATTATGGAAAAGAAAAAGTTTAAAAAAATTTTTTTTTAAAAAGGGAGTTTACTATGTACATCTCTTCACATATTAGTTTTACTGGCTTAGCCAAACTCACATTACCTTGTGGACCAATTTTGAATTCTATTGATTTCCTTGTCTTTCCAAAGCATTAGTTTTAAAATCCATTGATATACTGACATGTTGATGATATAACATTTATCTTCATCACTCAGGAAATACCACGGATCAGATACTGGAAGTGGGAGCTGTTTTATTGAAAGAGTGAGTATGCCTTTTCTTGTCTGGACACGTATTATCAGATTACATTATATTAGAAAGAACTTTATTGAACATTTTAGGAAGGTTTCCTTTAGGAAATGGAAATTCTAGCTGCATCAGTATGTACAGAAAAAAAACAGAAGAGTCAAATAAGTAAAAATCAAAATACAATGTGTATAAAGAATAAAGATTTGATAGAACTGTAGATAAATTAAGTACTGTCATAGAAAACGTAAGACATGAAGCAATGAATATTTGGACATTACAAATAGTGCTGATCATATTTGTTATCATCTAAAACCTCTCTCTCACACACACACACACACACTTCCCACCCACTGACCGACATTACTTTACAAAACTAAGGTGCTGCTTTCACACAGAACCTTTAGTGCAACAGGGCTAATTTCAGCCTACTTAACTCTGCTCTTTATTGTTTTGTATCTTAGCTATTGTATTATATTTTATTTATTGTATTGGATTTTTTATTCTTGGCTTGGAAACGGACCTGGGCACTAATTTGGTACCACAGACTGTCAAAGGTGTGGGGTATGACAAATAAAGTTCCTTTAATCCTTCGATCCTAATACTAATGATCTACTTTGTAGTTTCATCTATGAGCGGGTTCGGCGGAACGAGGACAGTAATGCGACGGTGACCCGCGCACAGCTGGGTGGAGGGGAGCTGTGTGACCCAAACCACAAGAAGCTTGCTCTGTGCCTGCAGCAGATTGGGGATGAGCTGGATGGACATGTAGAGCTCCAAAGGTGAGCTACTCATTTATGTGTTTGATTCGTCATATTTCCAACCTGCGCAGTCACAAAATGCAAGGATGTTTTTATAGGTAGAATTTCTCTCATTGCTTATTATGATTTTTCTTAGGATGATAAACAACTCCTCACTTACTCCCACAAAAGACGTGTTTGTGAAGGTTGCCATAGAGATTTTTTCAGACGGGAAGTTCAACTGGGGTCGAGTGGTTGCACTTTTTTACTTCGCCTGTAAACTTGTCATCAAAGTAAGTAAAGCAGCTCTGATGAGTCTTACTTCCCAATAAAGAGAAAACAAAGACCTGGTGGCTAAAGCATGGCTGCATTTCTGCTTTTCTAGGCTCTTGTCACCCAAGTTCCTGATATTATCAGAACAATCATCAGCTGGGTGCTGGAGTACCTCCGCGAAAATGTGGTCAACTGGATCAGGGAGCAAGGTGGCTGGGTAAGGAGCTAACTTACACATTTTCATAACTTCACAGTTTACAATCATGATGCATGTTTATATTTGTGTCTGTTTCTCTTGCACATTAGGAGGGTATTCGATCCTATTTTGGCACCCCAACATGGCAGACGGTGGCAGTTTTCTTGGCCGGCGTTCTCACCACTGTTGTAGTTATTCGCAAGCTGTGAGAGGCAAGGGGAGTGCAGACACGGCAAAGATGGGCGGAAGTACAACTGCAGGAAATGGAGAGATGAACATGACAGAACATCTGAAAGAAAACAGAGGGAAATGATGGCAGAGGGAATGAGTGGAAAGAGAAGAATCTCAGTTTGGATGCAGAGAGCCTTTGTTTCTCCCTTTCATTTCCAGGACTGGGAGTTAGGCTGAACATGTGGTCGTACCCACGATTCCTGTGCTCCTGAGGGAGTGAGCAGTGCATGACTACATGCACAAAGCAGAAGGGGTGGAGAGTTGGTCAGACTTAAATAAGGGTTGCATTTTCAGTAATTTATTTTTTACTTAGTAGAGATTTAAAAATGTCACTGCATTGTGTTTTCTGCCCTAAATAATTCATGGGCTGGGTTAGTTTTCTCTCAGCATTAATTTCGTATCAGTTTGCTTTTCTGCCTGTCCCCTTGTCCCCATGCATCTCATTATGGTGTCAGCTATCTTCATATGTATCTGTAAGTGTTTACTGGTATGTTGATATGAAATGTTGATGGGATGGGTCACATTCTATCAAGTTCAAATCAGATCTTTTTGCAAACAATTGTGAGATTTACCGCAAAGATACTGTTATTAATGAGATGTTACACCTGGGATAGCAAGTGAGCACAAGCAACCCCAAATATATCCCCCTTTAACGCACATGTCAGTGGGCAGTCAAGGTGCCACAGCAGGGATTTACATTCAAAGTTCAGTTCATATTCAACATGAATCATCATATGAAAAGAAAAACAATGTATGTTATGCAACATTTGATCTTATACTGCCTTTAGGCATCTGACCAGCATCGAGCCCTTAATGTGATTCCTACTCCAGAAAAAAAAAAATCTTGCCTCATATTTCAAATCTGTTCAAATGCAGACACACGTCATGAACAGACATTTCCAGTAGTTCATGTAAAAAGTAGCTCTGCAGACACGGACAGCACTGAGTTGCTCAGAGATGCTTACCTCACCTCACATGTTTTCACAGTACTGTATTTTAATGTGAGTAATTCAAACTGCAATCTCGTATCTTCACAGAACAGCTTTTTATACATTCTCCTCATTTGTCAGTGCCTTGGTGTTTTTTTTTTCTTTTTTAAACGATGGAATCATTTTGATATTCTTCCCCTTTTTCTATCAATTTGTAAGCTGAAATGAAAGCTGAAATCAATTTCCAGTCTCCTTGAAAATCTTTTTGCAGTGACCTTGTATGTTGTAATATGGAAAATAAATCTTTAACTCTGCTAACGTTGTGGCTGAGAACATTCGGATTTACTATATACAAGGATCTTATTAATCACTACCAGACTGAGAAATAGTCCTGACTGTTAAAACCATTCTCACTCTAATAATACAAGTTTGAAAAGATTCTCTTAGACTCTTGGCCGAAATGAAAAAATATAAATTCTCATTAAAAAGAAGATACACTTTTATTTCTATTTCTACTGATAGTTTTACATTTAAAGTGAACTTTCTCAAGAGCTGGAATTCAACAGTCCAAAATGAAGCTTCTACTTCAGTTATCTCTCAGCATCATGAACTGAACCTGTTTCGGTTTTGAAAATATTTGATTTCCAGACGATTATTTGCACAACTACCAAAAGTGAAACTAACTTTACTTAGCCAATTTGCATATTTTCAGAACAGAAATTTCACAGCAAGTGTATACTATAAATACATTAACTGAACCTAATACCTCAGAATCAACACTTAGCTGACACTTCAACCATAGCAGCTAACGAAATGACTTGTCGTGCCTGAATGCTGTCTCAGAGATGATCACAGAGCAATAGTTCGTCTTGTTTCAAAACTGTATAGGGAGAAGAATATTTAATAGGATTAAACAGCTGGTATTGTTCTTTTTTTAATTTGTAATTCACAACAAATGAATTATATGGATCATAAAATGCTTATTTCTATCTTTAAACATGTTTTAGCCTGTAGGAAAGGGCAAACTCACTTAAGTGCACATAAGAAGCAAAAGTAAACTTAGTCACTGTTGTGGTAAAGTTAATTTTGTATGTTGCTCATGCATTCTGCTAGCAACACCACAAAGGTCAGTGAAGGCACAAAGGTTTAACCTCTAGAGCTCTTTAATTAACCTTGAAGCTCCAGTGAGTTTTTTGACATAACCAAGAAGTAGACTGACATTCATGTTGATGCATTTTTGCCAAATCCACTAGCAAACAAGACTGTTACTGATATGGTGGATTATTTTTCTGTGGTAATCTTGAATACCTAAAATCGACATGAAGGAGTAGGTGCCAGCCAAGCAGCTGAAGAAACAGAACTGTTTTACCATTTCTACATTAACTTTTACAATAAATGTCAGTGTCAAAAGTCAGCAGGGTGAGATTTTTTAACAGTAGCCACAACTTAAGTCAACAAGCTAAAATGTACACAGACTTAAACTTCCTCACAGGAGCTTTAAGCTTTTGAATAGTTTAAGTTTTCTGTTCTTGAAACAGTAACAGAGGCAAAGTCCTCAGTTCAATTTTTTGGGGAGGGACAGATTTTCTATATTTCGTAATCCGTTGTCTCACTCAAGATTTGAGTCTTGGTCAAATTTTACGCACAGACTTTCAGGACAGCTTCATGTTTTTTTCTTAGCCGTACAGACACCAGAAAAAATGTATTTGTAGGTTAATGAGCAAACAAATTACGGACAAAGTTTTATCAATAATTGAGGACACATTGCATTGTTGCAAATACTTTATTTGGCTCAGTGTAAGCATGCAATAAAAACATAACATGTAAACATGAGTCAAAGAGCTCAGTGGTTGTTCAGAGTAATAAAAGCGACACATTAGAAATAAATGTGCTGACTGAGCAGGCAGTTATGGTATGGCATTAAGACGATTCAATGGTACAGTACATGTACTGTGATATCTAATATATCTGCAGCCAATGGGAAGAGAGCGCTGAGGGCAATCATCTGGTCTCCAGCACTCCATCTCTGATCCTCCACCTCCAGACGGAGCTGAAGTCTGGAGCAGGAACGCAGCAGAGCTCCAGACCAGATTCCTGCACTTCCTCATCGTGAGCAACCTGCTGGCCTCGTGCGGTTTCCATGGTGAAAACCCTCTCAGAGATCTAAGAGTAGAAACACAAATACATTTAAAAAGAATAAATTACTCCAATATAATCAGTGAGACAGACTAACTTGATTAGACCCTTTACACATGAGCATGTGAAGCCCCTAGTCCTCACCTGATCACTGATTCCTGTTGCAATGTGGCCCACTGTCACCCATCGCTTCTCTCTGATGCGGATGCTCCTCTGGTTAAAGTCTCTGATGCAGACATCCACCCCTGAACCAATCACAGGACAGAGGGATTCACATGGAGTCAGGGGGAAGCTGATAGCATGTTGACACTTATTGGAAGGTGTTCTTATATCATCATCTCACCTTCAAAACAGCAGGGAGGTGGAGGCTGTGAGGGACTCAGAAAATCCAAGCTGAAAACTGGAACATCTGGCTGACTGTTGAAGGAGAAAACACCAGAGCTGAAGTCCTCTGCTGGGCTCAGGGACCAGCGGCCAGAGTCCTGGAAGGAACAGGTAGAGAAACAAGATGAATGAATTGATGAACTTTCAGGGTTACTAATCTCACTGCAGCTTCTTGGAGTTGTTCATTCAGGGTTACCTTTTTGTCCCATGGTTCCCAGTTGGAATAAGGGTCACTGCTCAGGCAAGACAAGAGCTGCTCCTGCTTCTCAGCTGAGTGAAGCTGGGACAGACTGTTCAGATAGAAATCTGCAAACAAGAAAGAAATCGCTGAGCAAAGTTCAAACATTTAACACAAAGAATTAAAGAAGCAAAACACCCGAGAGGAGCCGCACCTCGCTCCAGTTTACGTAGCTCCAGTTCAGGCACAGTGGTGATCTTCCTGCCTCTCTTATGGTTCGGCTCAGAGATCAGCGATTGTGGGGAGGAAGACGGGCATGGCTTTGACTCCCTCTCTTCACTGTCGGCACTGAGATCCTTTTTGTTACTCTCGGCTGTGATCACCTTCCAGTCACGCTCCTCTTGAACCTCCTCATCATCCTCACAGCCAACAATGCTGTGGAGGAGTTGCAGGGAGTCTGAGGGTTTGTTGGTGGTAAACAGGGGCTCTATGTAGGGACCCTTCACTGGACTGGTGAGCCCTCCAACTGAAATCACAAACAGATTATATTTAATGTGATGTTAATGCATCCAGGACCGTCATTTCCACTAGGGTGATGGGTTCATGTCCATGCAGCAGGGTCTGTCTTCTTTATTTGCCGTCAGTCATGTCTCTCTGGTCTTAAATTTACTTTGCATTTCTGTGTCCTGATTTAGACAATCTATGGTCCTAATGAGACACTCACATATTTTGTTTTTGTAAGGCTGTAGAGTAAAGCTATTCAGGTCTAAAAGTGTCATCCTCTAAGACACCGAACACATGCCCCTGGGTGCTTGAGCTTGAGCTGGCTGACTCACGTTCTCTCAGAGCTCGGACAGCTTTCTCTTTGAGGTCAGAAGCCGCTGCTCTCTTTGCTGGATCCTTCTGAAGTCCCGCCTTGAGGACTTCTGCTGTGAGGCGGCTGCAGTCAGGTGGGATCTCTCTCAGAGGCGGCGGCTCATCAGCAATCTGTAATCATCATGACAAAAAATACTTGGTTCAAGTCTGATTTATAAGGACAGCAGAAAGATGTAGTGACTGATTGTCGATGTAAAGCATACCTTCAGGTAAAGTATGCAGTTGTAGTATCTTGTCCAGGGCTGGCACCCATTGAGCATGTGCAGTAACATACAGCAGCTGCTCCACACATCTGCTTTGGCTCCACGGGGTTCCCCTTTCACGACTTCAGGGGCCATGTGGGTCTCTGAGCCCTTCAGGTCTGTGTTGAATTACAGTTAGGGAAATAATGAAGTGAGACACAGCAGGGGATAAGTTACCCACACTCCTGACTGAAAAACTTCAAGTGTTTACCTCTCGAGCCACTCATGCTCTGTCCCTTATTGTCCAGTCTCTCTGCATATCCAAAGTCACACAGGAAGGTGTCTCTACCGTCCTCCGACAGCAACACATTATCAGCTGTGGGGGGAAAAAAAAAGCAGAGACAATAATCCACCTTTTTCAATTTTCACATGCCTCTCAACGCTCCTCAGTCAGGTTTGTTTCCATGAGCGCACTTTAAAGGTTATGTAATAACAGCGAGGGCAGCTGCACAGACAGGAAAGAGTCTGAGACAAAGACAAAATAAGAGGGAAATGTGAAGTCACTCAGGGACATCTGCAGTAGAAAAGACTTTCATATGGAATGAATGTGGAGTCTGGTAACAAACTGATGAACACCACTGGCACCATTTCTTTTCCTAAGTGAGGAATTTCAGACACCAGGTGGCGCCTGAGCTGCCACAAGACAATCATGCTGTTTGTCCGTCCTCCAGCTCGAGTCTGTTTGTTCTTGCTCAAACTCGGTTCCTTTTCTGGGTTTCCTCTTCTTCCTCTTCACATGTTTCACTTGAATTCTACCCTCTCTCTTCTCTGTGTCTTTTTTAGGCTCTTTCTGTCTTTTTTTCTCTCTTCTACTAACTACTTCCTGCTCCTCGTCCCATCCCCCCTCTCTGTTTCATTCTCCCTTTTCTTTCTCGCTCTCCTGATTCTGGGCACATGCGCTGTTTCTAAAGTACTGCGGTGAGTCACGCTGTGGGAAATTCCCAGCCTGTCGCTGCTCTGTGCTAGTCTGGTTTCACAACACAGGTGCTGAGGATCTGTATCTGTGACTCTTGTGTTCCACACAACAGCTGCAAACCAAAGACACAAACTCCTCTGATGAGAACTAATTAGAAACCTGACTTCGTCTGTCAGGGTGTTGTTGTTTTCCACTCGATACCATAACATAAAAAGTCAAGCCCACAAATTTGTCTTCACTGTTTTGACTCATGTGACACTTTGATCTGTCAAACAACAATTAAATTCCTCGTGTAAGCATTTATCAGTCAGTGCTCGTATCTCGTGTCACAGGTGTGACTTTTACAATCTGAACTTTAACAATAACAATCAAGACACATGATAACGCGAGGCAGTGGACTGTATGAAAACAGCATTACTAAGAAGAGGGGTGCGAACTGTTATTAAAACTTGTGCCAGATAGGAATGTGGCCGTGTGTTCATCGTGGCCCTGCATATTCATCTGGCTATTATATAAAAAAATGAATATATTTTCCCGTTGTAGGTCCTAAATGTTGTATCAAAGTTATAGAGCAGTCAGACAGGTCCATTTAACAGCTACTACCATAATGCTATAATTAGGGTGACCGTATTCTGAATCCCCAAAAAGAGGACACGACTACGCTGGGGTGGAGTCTAAGAGTTGCACATAGTAAATTTTGAGGGTTTTTCCGGTCAGGTCGAGTGCGACACAAACTCAAAACTTCCATACAAAACCTCAGACATTTGAAGGATTTTATAAACTCCCCTGGACAAGGCCGGACAGCCACCCAAAAAGAGGGCATGTCTGGGTAAAAGAGGACCTAGCTATAATGCTCTACTACCTGGATGAAAACAACCACAGATGACAGATGGCATTATGTAGAGCATCACGGTTACACTGGCTGTATTTAATCCAGAAAACAGAGATAGTATGAATAAACTGGCATATAACTACTTGACCAGAGCACTGGAGGACCTAACGCTGATGGTGCTAGATCGGATGATGTTTGTCACACTTGCTGCAAACCAATATGACATTTAAAGGCCAAACACCCAGTGACCTTGTGTTAAATAAATTTGACTCAACTTTGCCTTTTTTTTCTGAGTGTCTTCTTTTAAAGTGGTTGGCTGGTTGGAATTTAGATTTCAAGTTAAAATAAATCAGAAATCGGTTGTATTGGAATATCCCAAGTGTCAAAGTGATAAACCACACCATGCAGAAACAGACTTTTTTTTTTTCATTTTCCACTGCAAAGATTCAGAGTGAGTGATATCTTTGTCTATTAAGAGAAAAGAGGACATCATTTTTGTTGGAAAAAAAAAAAAAAACTTATTTATACAAAGTCAACACTGAGATATAAAAAAGTGCTACTTTGTATTACAGGGTGATAAAAATCCAAATTTCCTCTCAGGAGCTTTGAGTTGTACTTGAAACTAAATTTAATTTGTAATAGTGAAAATTCAAACACATCTTTCCTCATACTAAGCTCCTAAATCACTATCATTCATAAAGTAACAGTGATGGTGATGGTCAGGTTTTTTTTTTCTTGAACAAGAGAATTAACCCATTTCATTCTTGCAATCACCAGTTTCTGTTCTGTTCTCTTATAGTAGTACCTTTTATGTCCAGATGCACCACCTTCTTCTTCCCTAAGTACTCCAGAGCTGAGAGGACCTGTGAATGGTAGTGGAGGCTCAGGTCCTCTGGCAGGCGGCCACGCTTTGCAATCAGCTGGCCCACAGAGCCTGGAAAAAACAGAGAACATCTGTCCTGGTAAAAGACGATATCTTGATAAACTCACGGTATCTGACTCATCCGTCCCTCCTATTTCAACCTAGAGTATGATAAAAGAGTGAGGTATGCTGTCAGATTTATCAAGCAGGCATGTTCCGTCTCAGAGGTTTGGTGTAATTTGGATCAAAACACTTAAAGGAAGTGCAACAGTCATCTCTGGCATCCCAGAACCACCCACTTCTTAATGTCTCCTCTAGTCACGTCTGCGTTTGCTGTAATCTTCGTGATCCTCCTGTTGCTTCTACTGTGCATGTGTTTGCACTTAATTCACCACATCTGACCTAACAGTTTCCAGCCTCACCCTCAGTCTCAACAGTGAGCACCAACGTGCGTAGTGTGGAAATCACAGATGTTCAACTTATTTACCGGCTTTGTGATCCATGAAAAAGAAGACATCTGGCCCCTCTCTGACCACCCCAAAGAGTTCCACCACTCGAGGAGATCTGAGGATGCTCCACGCACCGACCTCCTCACTGTTGAACCTCTTCAGGCTGACCTGTAACCCAAGGATGGAGCCGATATGTGAGCCGTCAGAGTCAAACCAAGCTGAGATGGAAAAAAGGAGGCTGATGTGCTCGGTTTTACCTTCTTGACGGCAAATTTGAAGCCTGTTTTGACATCGTGAGCACTGTACACTTCACCGTAGGAGCCTTCCTTGATGAGCTCTGAGAGGACGTACTCACTCCCTTCCTTGTACTCAGAGTCAACAGGCTGGATTTTCTGACCAAAGAAAAGAGGAGTGAGTTCAGTTGAAGCTTATTTCACCACAAGACAAAAAAAAAAAAGAAGTAGAGTGTAGACATACCTCACAAAAATAAAAGATTAACCCCTCGTTGGTGACAGACTCAGCCGGGGAGAAGTCATCGTCTTCCTCTCTTACATCCCTCTCCACATCTTTGAAGAAAGGCCCCGCGTAGCACGGGTCCCCCTGACTGACGCTGCCCCTGAGGCCAGCAAGAGCGAGAGAGCAGTCACCCAGACTGCTGACAGAGTCTGAGTCACTGTCCTGCCCATAGGGATGGAGCAGGGGTCCGCAGACCTGGTGCCCCCAGTTCAGAGGAGAGCAGCTTGAGCCTGTGTTGAAGGGAGATGGCCCTCTGTGCTGCTCCCCTGAGCTTTCAATGCTGCTACAGCAAGATGAGCTGAGGTCACTTCCTCTTCCCAGAGATGATTCGTCCTACAGGAGAAAAGTGGCTGTGATGGTCATGTTCTCAGTGAGTGAGTTAGCATCAAGACCATAAGAGGCAGGTAGAGTGATTCACCTTCACAACAGAGGAGCTAATGTTTGCATGAGAAGAATGAAGCACTTTCTTTAAAGATGATTCACTAATAAGACTAAATGACACGTGCAAAGAAACCAGGTCTTACCAGGATCCGGACCAGAGACCTTCCACTCTCCTGTTCAGGGACTCCAGAGGACGTTAGATGTCTTTGTCGCTGCTGCTGCTGCTGCTGCTGCTTCTCCTTCTTCTTCTTCTCCACTTTCTTCCTCCCTTTGTGCTTCTGCTTTTTCTTGGCCTTCTTTCTCGGGCTGAGCTGAGCTGAAGAGTTGCTCGGCTGCTGGACGGAGGCCGGGGTTGGGCACGCCACGTTGTTGTGCTCTGAGGAAAGACTGAAGCGGAGGCACAGTGACAATGTCAATTCCAGAAAAATGCAACAGGACCTCTCTGAACAAAGTGCCAAATAAGGAAACGATGCTGACATCAAGGTAAGGTCATACCTGCTGGTGAAGCAGTTAGGGGACGGAAGAAAGGAGCGTTCAGAACAGGACGGACTGAACTCTTGGGAGTCCTGAGTTTCACCTACAGGGAGCAGAGTTGATGATTAATCCTACAACCAGACTCCATTATTTGATTTATTATGTTTACAATTAAAAAACATAATTACATTCAGCCTGGGCAATGAAGGTTGAGGTCTTCAGCGGCATTTCTCCCACTTGTTCGGCAGTTCCATGTGTAAGGAGTTTATTGATCAGAGGGTTCAGACAGGCGATGTAGCTCATTTTGCTGTCTCTGCCCTCCTCTTCCTCCTCCTCTGGCTCTTGCTCCGCAGCTGAGCATGATGGGTACGAGCCCTTCAGGTCGGCTTTTGTTGCCCCGGAGAATGGGGATGTTGAGTTAAAAATCCTTTGCCTCACCGCCATTTCATCTGCTTGATCTGAAAACAGAGACCATCAAAGCGGACAGATGAGTTGAGTGATTCTACACGTGTATGAAAACTGACTGGGTTCAGTGTAGTAGCGGCGAGGTGGCTGTCTAACATGAGTCTGGTCCTTCCTGAGGTTTCTGCCTGTTAAAAGGAAGTTTTTCCTTGCCACTGTCACTCATGTTAGATGAGATGGGTCAAATCTGTCTCATCTAAAGGTTGAGCGGTTGAACAATGAGCGTGGTCTACACCTGCTCTTTTTTTTTGGAAAGCGTCTTATTGTGATTTGGTGCTATATGAATAAAATTTGATTGATTGATTGATTGATCGATTGAGTGAGTGAGTGTGAGAATACAAACTGACTTATGGGAAGACTGAAACTTCTCTGACAATCCTGTCTGAATTTGACTTTCCAACTGTACGGATACAGTTGTGTCTCTTGCAATGTAGGGCTGGGCAATAAACCGAACATTTACCGATACAGAAATTTACGTCAATAGCTATCGTCATTTTGCCCTTATCGGTATATTCAGTGTCAAAAAAATAAATAAATAAAAGTTGGTTTTGGATGTGTCTACGTAGGCTATAGTCTAATGTCCCATTGAGACACTGTCCTACGTCAGAGATGTGACTACGCCACATCCAGTCCGTAACAAAGAGGGAAAGTCAGGTGAGGAGATCGAGGACGGTTTAAAAGTTGTAGCGGCTGGAGCGGCGGCTGAAGTAGACAAAATTAATGTGAAGTAGTTATCGTCCGTTTATCGTTATCAAGGTGAACAGCTCAATATATCGTGATATTGATTTGAGGCCATGTCGCTCAGCCCTATTGCATTGACAATAAATTCATGTCCTTTGATAATCACATTAAAACGGATAAGGTCAACTGTGTGGCGGCTCTTTAATTCTACACTATGTTGGATTAATGGCACAGCATGGACAGTTCATCACATGAACTACAATGAAATGCCATGAATGTTATGAAATCTGCACTTCTACAAACTTGAAATTGCTCAGTAGGAGAAAAAACTTGATACCAACGATGAAACATCAATCTTATCCTTTTTTAAGGGTTTTAGCAAACACCGCCAAGCCCTTCAAAGTTCATTTGTTACCTCCTGAGTCCAAGCATAAGGACTTGAGTCATTTTAGGGTAAGCAAACTTATGTACATATGTTAACGGTTCAGTCACAGGTTTGGGGTTGCTGTAAATCACGCATCAATTGAGGCACTAAAGAGAATGTCATATTTATCGGAGTCAAATGAGGTCATAACGGTCTCTTTATGATCGCAAAGTGAAAATCTGAAAGTTTGCGGTTATAGACAGGAAACTCAACCCCAGCCTTGTTTTGGCAGTTGCAACCGTGTAGATGCAGGTACTCTGTTTCAGTCTGAGGAAGTGAAGTACAGCTCATAAGTCGGGCTACACACACACACACACTCAAAAGATTCTCGATCAATTTAAGTTTTCCATAAAAGTTAAAGATAAGTGTAAAATCAATAGACTCAATGACTCTTCTTGTCTCAGCACAGCCCCTTCGCATCAAACACAACTTAAACGCACAAACTAAAAGCTAGCATGTCAGTTTCAACATGTTGCATCAGTGTCTTTTGCACTTCTCTGCAGCCTCCACCTGTCGCTCAGTCCTGAACTCTCTATGTAATCTCACATGAAGTTATTTTTTATCTAATTTTTTTCAGAAATCTCAACTATAACAAACACATGGCGGCAAAAAAAGCCTGTCTGTATCATCCTGGCTTTAGATTGTACTAACACATACCTAACACAAGTAATTCTGTAGTTTTTTTTTTTAACCTTAAAATAAAAAGCTGCTTAAGTTTAATAGCGTCATTACCTCGTGTGACGACTTCATGCACTGCAAGATTATCTAGGAGAAAGCAAAGCAGCTGTCACTTCCTTGTTGAGGCACTACACTGAGGCTGTGAAAGTGCAACACCACACCCGGGTGAATTTACGTGGAAAGGAAGTAGAGAGAAGTAAACACAACCGCAAAAACAGCCCTGTGTGTGTGTGTATGTGTGTGTGTGTGTGTAAGGCCAAGGGGTGTGCACACCTACCAACAGACGCCAGTCCAAGCTGCTATCTCTCTGTCTGTATCCACTCTGAACAACCTAACATCCACATGAGTGTAACTAGGTGCTACTGCTGCTGTCTCGCCTGATTCTCGGTAACAGCTCAGCTCTGTCGCTCTGCTCTCAGCCAACAAGGTGGGAGGAGCCTACGTACAATGACTTATGGGAAATGCATCTCCAGTTCCCCATATCCCTCCCTCCCTAGGCTGCCTCCAGCAGGGCTGGCTCACTAGCTCTTCCCTCTGGCTCGAGTCAAGGATAACATGTTTGGTTGTGCTACATACAATGATGAAAACAGAGTGACAGCCCCCTGTGACCTGAGCCTCTCCAAGTTTTCTGCAAGAATGAATAATAGTATTACAGAAAACTGGTGTCATAGTCCCCACAAAGATCTAGTCTCTATCAAACTGATAGTGACAGTCTGATATTTAGAGAGTCTAATGGAAAATATCTGCAAACAACTGAGCTTAGAGAAAGCAAAATATGAGCTGTCACTTGAAATCTGATGTCTTTCTTTTCGAGCAGACTCATATGAAAACCACCACAGATCAGAGGAAATTCACCATATCACTGGAGAAGCTCTACACTTAACCATAAAAGACACATAGTGCAAGTTGCTAGCTTCCTCTTAAGTGTCAAAGGTTAGCCATAGCTTCCAACCAACAGGATCAAAACATGACCATTTGGGTTAAAAAGTCTGAAAAAGCTCTAGTTCATAAATCTTTCACCAAACACAGATAAAGACAAAAAAAATCAGATGTCAAAATGTATCAAAAGACACATCATAAAAAAGGATTCAATTCAAAGTGCACTTTAAAAAAAAACTGATGGTTGACTTTCTCTGTTTTGTGTTTACTGTGAAGATTAAAAACAACAACAACACATTATCTAATAGTTGATGGTTCGATTACATAATTCAAAGAAAGAGTTATACTCGAGATTAGATTATACTCAATTTTCCTGCACCAATAATAGGCATATCTTTGACTTTTAGCAGTAAAAACAATAAAACTTTGGCATCATATTTCCAGATGAAATTAAGATTTCTATTAACTCTTTTTCTAAATTACATACAAAACCAAAATAAAGGCTCAACAGAGATTTATCAATAATGACCAAAATGGTCAGTCAGAGCTAAAATTTGCTAGCAATAGTCCAGTAATGGCAAACAAAGTGATCAATAATTCTCTACAGCCCAAGTTGTATACTTGAAAAATCTGCAGTCAAATAGAAAAAAGAAACAAAACAAAGAAAAGCTCTTAATTAGGCCTGTCGCGATAATCAATAAATCGCCTTATCGCTCGATAAATAAAAACGAGGTCGATAACTTTACCAGCCTCGATAATTTACGTGCGTTTGTTTTCCTCCTCTCTCGCTACCAAACACGCTGGATGAGAGAAGAGGTCTCACTCTGCGCATTGTTCTCGGCACCTGGGGGCGTTGGCTCTATAGCGGAATGAACGGAGTTAGTGAACCCTCCTGTCAGTCATTCAGTATCTTTGTCACGGGGGAGCGCGCGCGCAGGTACACGTAGGCGCGCACAGGCACACAGACACAGACTTTTTGGATACAGTACTGCAAGTGAGCGTCGTGAGTGAAAAGCAAGCTAACAGAATGAACACGACAGCTTTGGTGTCTAAACCGAACGCAACAGCCCAAGTGTGGGAATATTTCGGCTTTAAACCAGTTTTGTTCTCGTCAACCACAAAACTCCACGTGTGTGCGCGCGCGCGTGTGTGTCTGTGTGTTGGAGGAGCACAGCAGGATGATGAGAGCTGTCAGAGCGGACTGAAGCTGCTCCTATATGTTTAGCGTTTAACTGACTGAGTTTTGCAACTCTGTTCGTCATTTTCGTCTCGTCCCATCAACGTAAACGCACTTTCGTCTCGTCACATTTTAGTCATCTCCGACTTATGTTTAGCTCGTCAACATTACATCTTCGTCGTGGGAGAAAAGGGAAATATTTTAGTCAACGAAAACAACCAGTGTTGTTCTCGTGTGGAAATTAAAGTTTATCACTTTTGACATGGTGTACTCGCATTATTATGCCATATAATATCATTATCTATAATTTAAAAAATGGTGTCAAAAATATCGTTTATCGGCAATAATTTGTAGCACAATTATCGTCCAGCAAAATTTGTTATCGTGACAGGCCTACTCTCAATACTGTCAAAGACAAAAAAATAATGTTTACAACCTCCACTGACAGTTGAATAGTCTCTTCTCTTTTGTTTCACATCCAGTCTATCAAACTGGAAAACTACACTGTCAAAATGTAAAACAAAGACGATATAGAAAGCTATAACTACACAGTCGACTTACAATTAGGATTTAGTTTTGCAGAGAAATCCTGAGCCAGAGTCCCACAGCGATCCATGTCTAAATGGAGCCGACTTCAGCTGTACACCCACACAGATTAATGAAATTCCTAAAGCTTTAGTAAGGACAGTAAAAGGGGACGCAAACCTGCAGTTGGACGCAGCATACACGCACAGCCGAACACTCCTTCAGAGAAAATGTGTCTGAACTGCACTGAACAACACAGCTTGAAAGAAACCATATGCAAGTTTTATACAACATGCTACTCTGTTTTTCTTCCACTTCCCTTTTTTTGAATGTTGTAATGAGTCCTTTTAGTTCCTGAGGAAACGTTTGGCATCACAGTAAATATCAATAAAGGTCAGTCCATGACTAAAGCCATTTTTACAACTTTTTCTTTTGGACAGTTAGCAAGGTGAACTGTTTGGACCAGCAAATAAATCCTAAATTAACTTATGAACAAAAATAGCAAAATAATAATTAGCTGCAGTCATGTTATTGTGCAAATCTGGCATGGTTTTAAAGTTTAAACTGCACTGCAGTGATTTTGTTGTGCAGTGGACCCCTCTGAGGTTGGTTATTAAACAATGACACTCCATTTGAACAGATTTGACAGATTTAGACCCCTTTTTTATGTTGCTGTTGAAAAGAGAATGGACATTTATACTCAAGGGACATTACAAATTTCTCATCCAGCCAAGGTATGCTATGAAGGAAACAGTAAATGTGGAAAAACGGTCCAGTATAGAGCTGAAATGTGTGTACTTTAGATTTCCCACACTGTGTCTGCCTTAAAAGCCGTCATAATAGATAATAAACTGTGGTAGAAACTTTATGAGACAATAATGTCACAATTTTAATCCAGTTGACAAGACTAGACAATGGCATGACCTTAAACATAACATTATCAGACAACAGTTCTAACTAAATGTACTAGCATATAATAAAGTCATAAATGCAAAAGCCAGGTTTGGGAATTACCCAGTTAAATCGTTTACTCATATTATTGTAGTTTTTTTGGCTTTGATTGGATGATATCTACACTTCAAAGAAAAAAATGGCCATGCCAGTGTTTGTCAGTTATAGTAAAAACATCCCCCTACGTTTATTTTAAGTTTTATGAATTGATTAGGCCAAATAAATATCACAGATTTCAAGTTAAACATGATAAACTTTTATTTGATGCATTTATGACCATTCTTGCTCATTGCAATGAATTGTCCTTATTGTTTTGCTTGTGATATGAAACCTCTCTGCACAGCCAGACATGAGCCCAGTTTGCAAAACATCCATGAGAAGAAGAGGAACTTTATTAAGAAGAAAAAGAACTGATTTATTTTCATTTACAATTTATTTCATATTCATTAAAGTTTATTATCTGTTATGACGGTCACTTAGGGCAGACACGGCATGGAAAATCTAGATCTAAATCTGCAGCCTTATCTAATAACTTCACCTTTGAAAATGCCTTCACACATAAAAACTGTGGGTAAATTTGGGAAACATCCCTAAACTTAATTTGGGAGTGGGACAAAACTTAAAAAAAGAAGATAAAAAAATACTTAAGAACTTTTATGGTTTGCAGAGCAGAATACAAACTGGAATTACTTCTTCTGCTTGAGTCAAATATCACTGCTTTTTCCTGAATATACTAATACTAATACTCTATGATATGACAGCATATTTAAAATACATTTGCATTAGTTTTCAAATAAGAATTTACTTACTTTTCCATGGACACGCCCTTGTGTGTATTACAAGATTAAATTGTGTTTCTTTAAATACAATATTTTTGGTATTACGTGTTTGTCAAGAGGAAAGCCTCCAACAACTGAAAGCATCTGTGCTACAGCAGGCTACAGACTGGTTAGGCCCACACCGTCCTTTTTAATCATAGACATCTGGCTTCGAGAGGCGGATTGATTTTTCTAAGGGTTTTGAAAAACTTCATGACCAGTATCATTTCCGCCAAACCTACAGTAAAATAGTCAACTATTTGCCTAAAAACATCCCAAAATATGGCCATAACAAACCAATCCCTCCTTGTATTTTCTTTCTTAATTGTAGAGAGTATCAGAGTACAGTAGAGTGAAAAAGAGGACTTCCTTCTTTCTACATTCAGACATTTTACTCCGCACTTGGTCCGGAATATTTAGACTTCCCTTTTCAGTAGATAAACTTTACGATAATGAATCGTCGGCTGAGTATAACAAGAACACATAGTACAAGATTGATCGTTATTTCAACGATTTTTATCGTAATAAGTAGCCTATTTAGTCTTTACTTACCGAGCTTCCAGTTTGAAGGCGTCGGCCGGTGACGATCGCGTCAGTCGGCCAGCATGTTCAGGAGTTTCCGGTCATAATTTCAAATTAAATATCGAGTATCACATGTCCTTCGTTGTGCTGCGTGATTTTCCCAATTTTATGATACAAAACTATTTCTCTCAGGGTTACCATTACTTTTTACTCAGTAAGCATATCTTCTTTTCTGCTTGAACGCTTGCAATAATAATTATCTGTTATGCTTTTACTTTGAAGCAGAAAATCACTTCCTTTAATCTCCATCATGAGTAAAGCGTTATGTGGAGCTAAGTAAAAAAAATAATAATAATGTACAAATTCCATGTAGATATAAATATTTGTGGTGGCTTTGCATTCATTGAGTTCTTCAGTTATTTCCATGCCCGAAAAACTGAACAATTTTCGCTTTTTTCCAAGTGATGTTATTATTTCTAGGATACAACAACAACGATTACTCGTTTTAGATAAAGTCACACAGTCCTAAGACCATCATTAGTCAATGTTTGTGTGTTTTCTTTTAAAAAATGGTACACTTTTTCTTTAACTCACACTTATCTGCAAGGACATACATTTACCACAAGATGGAGTCCTAAACCACTGACAGAAAAGCAGTTCGTGTAATGATAAGTTACCTGATGTTTACAGGATAATTATACTCATAAAACGTACATTATTTGCCAAAAAAATATGTTATTTTGTAATACTTGATCATTTTAAAATTTGATGAATAATTGAGTGCGGAACCAGTGTTCATACCCTGTGATCTTAACATTGTAGAAATTGTAGAATTGTAGAAATTGTAGAAAACCAAACCCTCAAATAACAAATTGCTTTCAGGTCTTCTTGTGCCAGTTAATCCCTCACTGATAGATTTGAGTTGCGCACATGAACTTAAACAGACATTTGTTTTTTATCTAGTTGTTGTTTTGTCTGTTCTTATAAGATCTGCGACTGTATCGTGTATGACTGAGGTCCAGAGAAGATGTCAATAATCTGGTAATTTCCTCTTTTCAATACCAAGTAAAATCCCTGGAAGCCTCTATCGTTCAGTCGTCACAGAGGAAAATAACAAAGAGCAAAGCAAGCAGAAGAGAGGACTTCATACTGCCAGTTACTCCAGTGTGTAGAGACAATAAAATGAGCTAAATTTAAAGGTTTTGTGCTAAGTGGATGAGTCTTCACAAACACTTCAAAATGTTAAATTTTGCATTAAAAATACAGGACAGACATATGCAATATGCAGGGATTTATGCAGACTTTCTTCACTCATCAGATAACCATGTTTGGAGCCATATTACTTTTTGATCTTACACCATCATAATTAATTGATTTGTAGCCCAGTTAGAATTTTATAAGTATACAGTCTCTATTCTCATTTGAACAAACCTTTGCACTAGACAACTACGGTAAAGAAGTATGGCTGATCTTCAAGAACCGATGGTCATATCTCAGGTCCTTGTTTGAGTTTTTTTTTAAAAACAAATGACTTAGTCGTTTTTTTTTTGTCACAAATGTCATCATAACAAACAAACATACCATCCATCCAGGTTTGCAGATAAACATTTGAGACCTGATGAGGGAGAAGAGGGAGGATATTCACATCACAAGGAACAGTCAATCCATTGTTTCAGCAACTGTCAAGGTCACAGAGCTGAGAGGCCTCCTGCAGAGGGCCTTCGAGGACACCCTAGGACACTCAAAGACATCTGGCAACAAGATCTGTGATAAACTTAATCATCTTGGGTTACCTCATGGTAGCTCATCTGATTAACCCTTTTTTTTTTCAACTTGGGATGGCTTATACACTCTCTCACACACACCTGTCTCGAAATGTAAGATTGAAGGCTTTTTGACCACTCATGAAAAGGATGTAGTAAAGAATGTAGTTCGAGTCTAAATGTAAGGTTAAAAGGTTTTCTAACTCCTATGAAAAGGACATGAAGAATGAATAAAATCCAAATGTTTCTTTGAAGGTTTGGGGGTTTTATTATCTTAGTAACGAACATAGGACCATGAAATTATAGGCATAGCCAGTACAGTCAGTATTCACAGAGATCTTTGAATAAAGAAAATTAATCATGAAACAAAAGATTTTTCTTCTCTTTATTTCTTTCAGTGTTGAAATAACTTTAAAATAACTTTACAGGACCTCGGTCACTCCTTTGTGTATACCCTCTGAGCAGTCTCCCTGTGCAACTTGAGTTGTTTTTGTGAGCCTGTTGGCACTAAATCAGGGGCAGGACCCGACTGAAGATCACTGGCTGTTATAACTTACACTTCAGGCCAGGGTGGGCAGTGCCCCTGATGGCAAACTCCTGACATACACTCACAGAACCTACTTTAGCTTTCTGTCCACATGGTGCAGCTTGACGTGGGGAAAAGGGAGTTTTACATGTACAGTTTGCACATGAAGCCTGTAATTTGTTGCTCAAGGGTTTGGGTCTGAAAGAGGGCTGGTTTCATTCAGTGTTTTTAAAGGTAGCTTGAAAGGTAGTCCCCCCCCAAAAAAAAAAAAAAAAAAAAGAAGATGGGACACTGTGTAAAAATATTGTTTCAAGCACAATGTGTGCTTGTTTTAAATTCAGTATTAGCAACACTTAAAAACAAAAGGTGGGTACACATTATTACTGAAGAAGCTGTGTAATACCAAAACAACAGCTGAAGGGAAATCTCTCAACTACTTTTATTAATTCTCATGAGATATTAACATGGATGGGAATAAAAAGAGGCTTGGACACCCAGAAGTAAAGATGGGATAAATTCATCAACTCTGCAAGGGGCTATGTGAGCAAATAGTTTCACAGTTACCAAATAATGTTCCCTGGAGTAAGTATGCAAAAGACTCCACAATTCACCATAAAGCCTTTATACATAACATTATTAAAAGATCCATAACATCTTTGATATGCTGGTGACTTACCCGTGCCTGAGCCCATTTTAAATAAACTTGTGAAGTAGAAACTGTCCGGTGATAAGCGAATCAAAATTTGAAATTCTTTTTGGAAATCACAGACCTACCCAGCTTTTTATCAGTGCTCAGTCCAAAAGCCAGAATCTGTGATGGGGTATGGGGGTGCATAAGTGCACACAACATCTAGGAGGGGATCATTAATGTTGAACAGTAAATGTAGGTTTTGGAGCCACAGATGCTGACATCCAGGTAATTAGCTTTTTAGGATGGACCCTGCATATTTTAGCAAGGCTATGTCAATCCTCATTCTGCACTCATCCACTCATTGTAATAACATGGCTTGATAGTGGAAGAGGCCAGGTGCTAAACTGGCCTGAGTGCAGTGCAGTCCAACTTTTCACCCATTAAAATCATTTGATGCCCATGAACGGAAAAACACAGCAAAGTAAACCTTAGAACTGTTGAACAGCTGAACTCCTGTTTCAAGCAATAATGGGACAAGCTTTCACTTTCCAAATTCCAGAAACTGATCTTCTCAGTTCCTAAACTTTTACAGTGTTGTGAAAGGAAAATTTGATGAAGTACAGTGGTAAACATACTGCTGATACCACTTTTTAAGTGCTGGCATCAAATTTAAAATGAGTATGAATGTTTCATAAAACAATAAAAACTTTTAGTTTCTGATTTTGACATGTCCTTACATTATATTCACTGAACTAAATGATCTGTAAACCATTATTTTTAGATTTTTAGAGATTTTAAATTTCAGTGAAGATTCCCGCGTTAAGTGAATCAATCAATTAATAAGAGTTTTTTTTTTTTAAATTACATAACAAAATGTACCTCCGTGTGTACTGCACTGAACTTTTTTTTTTTTAATGAGTTTTTTAATTCTTAGGTAATTTTTCAAGACCAAGAACTCCAGTACTGTCAAGTGAAAACCTGTCTGAGCATTCATGCATCATGAAGACCTGTTCAAAGCAAGAACTACCCAGATGCATCATTATTAGTCATATCTTAAGTTTCCTTTTGTAAAGTGGAATAACTTGGGCTATTTTTATTTGTTTGGGGTAATTTTGCAACCACCGGAGATTGATTACAGGTGAAGGTTTAAAAATATAGTTTTTCTGATCAAAAACAGCATCTGTTTGTGTGGAGGGACAAGCTGTGTGCTCTCTATCCATCACTGCCTACTCACTCATTTAACTGCACTCAAGGGAGAAATAAATAGACCAACACCCTACACAGAGAAAACAACAACAACTGGGAAAGAACATCCTATTGTTAATCTGTTATGTCAAAATGGATTATTCAGGCTTCACAATCATAATCATCTGAGCAGAGCTCAGTAATTCTAATTTAACATGATGCCTTCAGCTAAGACTCTGCATCTTAATCTATCTAGAAATGCACAGTAAATTGCAGAGTGTAACTTTATGACTCAGACACTTACCAATATCTCAGCAACATGAAAGACACTTGTAACTGCATGTACTTCTCAGGTTATTTAATCAAATAAAATGATAAAAATGAGCAAATACTGGATTTCTTTAGGCTTTTGATTTGCCATTTGATATTAACATTTGGAGCAACACAGAGCCGGCCCAAGGCATAAGCGAACTTAGCGCCTGCTTGGGGCCCCCAAAGAGCAATGAAAGAAAAAAATATATATATTTTTATTTTTTGTATGTATGAGTGATGCTTTCTGTATGACCAAACATATTTTATTGTAAAAATAAAATAAATGAAAAACATTTTAGTGCTGCTGCTAATGTAGGCCCATGATTCTTACTGCCAATATGACAAAGCCTCGCTACCGTTATGTGCCTTCTGCTGCACAATATGCATTGAGCATCAAAAGCGCAGGTAGTTGTGGGGCAAAATAATGTCGCAAAACAGGACATATCCTTCAGGAGCAGAGAAAAGAAAGAGGAAAAAAAAGGAAGAAGAGAAAAAACGCCAAGATAGCGGTATGTTTGCATATCACAGAATGTTAATCAAAGAGATTTGTAAAGGGGTGTGGGTGATCAACAATCAATATTATTGGCAGAAATAGAGGGCCCCAACATCAAATTTTGCTTATGGCCCCATTGAGGCTCTGGAGCAACATGAAAAATGCCTAGGGCCAACAGGACAAAGAAATCAACTAGGACTGCTGTAGCCCTAAGGTTATCAAACACCCACTGACTAACTAACTAACTAACTAATTATATGCAAGTAGGAAATAAATGAATGAATAGGTTAAAAAATATGTAAACGTCTGTGTAGAGACATTCACTGGACTAGGACTTTCAGAGCAACCACAGAAGGACACCCGTGTGGTTGTTTTTTGTTGCTTGTTTAAAATTTCATAGCTCATACTTTAAATCTAGCAGGAAATGTTGGAAAAGGTCAACTCAAAAACACTGAATCGTTTGTAAACTGCACACCCTCCGCACAGTGCGCGCGGCTGCTGTGAGCACACAGACGGGGCGCGAGCAGAAGCTGCTGCTGCTGTTTTCAGAAAATGGCCGACAGATTTTCTAGGTTCAACGAAGAGCGTGATTTCCAGGTAATGCATGACACACGAATATTGAAAGATGCGTTTATTATCACATTTAGACCTTTTCGCGCACACTTGTGGAATTCGGTTCAGCTAACGGTGAAGAGTTATTGTCAGCTACTTCACGCAGTTCGGTCTGTAATGCGCGTCCTAGCACTGCAAGCTAGCTAAGCTAACGCTAGTGAACGAGCCCATTGCACTGCGGCTGCTGGTTCTAAGTTCCCTCGTGTATCAGGGTTCATGAAGTGTAACATTCCTTACAGCGTGTGTCTCACATAACACCAGCACAATAAAGAGATATTGAAGCACCACCAGCCAGTTTGTGACCTTGGATAGACTGGTTGTTTATCGACATATGCTAACGATGCGTAGCTAGCAGGAAGCTAACCTGTACGCACATTTGGGCTTCATCGGCATTAGCGAGAAATAGCTGCATCATTTTCACTCATAGCTCTAATATAGCAACTGCGGGTGATAATAATAACTAATCAGAACCTTAACTAGTCAAAGTCATGTCTGTATTTGATCATTACTGGTATATACTGCATTTAAAATGGGCAGTCTGAGTAATGATAGATGATATTTCAACATCATGTCCTTGTCGTTTCTCATCTGTTTGATTTTCTGTTGTCATTTTGTGTTTTCTGTCGCAGTAAATGTAGTTGGTTTCAGTTTGTTGTAATTTTGTGTCTGTAATGTCACATTCATTACTAATCTAAACACATGAGGCAGTAAACCACTCTAAATGTATTATCGGGGCTGCTCAGGTTCCGGAGGTTTGTCATTTATCATCCCAATAAAACAGTCATTATTGACATCAACATTGTAGTATGTTTGCAATCCAAACAGTAGTGTCATAGCTGGGCTGCTGAATTGTTCAACCTATGTTTAAACGGTTTGCCTGTAGCTTTCTTATCAGTGATCTACAACCGCACCCAGTAAAAGCCAAACAAAACACCACTGACTTTGACAGCAAACTAAGTCCATAATGTAAGTCAGTGGTTTCTCATCACTCACTCATCACAGGTATTGTTTCTAAAACCCCTCAGTTGGCATTATTTTCTCCCTGCATACATGTTGTACATACACATATTTTGAAGCCACTGAACAGGTTAATTCTTCTTTAACATGGTTATAATTAGCTCATCCACCTGCTTGGAATGCAACGAAATTATTTACGAGGAAAGTCACTGTACTTCATTCTGCTTCCCATCCTTCTCAGAGACAAGCCAATGTTTAAATATGAGCATCTTCTTCGTATCAGTGGAGTGTTTTCAGTTTTTTGGATTGGATCAGTGGTTCTCAAGTCCAGTCCTCGAGGCCCACTGTCCTATGATCAGCTCATTATCAAGCTCTGTTATGGCTTAATAACGAGCTAATCATTTGAATCAGGTGTGTTGGAGCAGGAAAACATCCAAAACATACAGAACAGTGGGCCTTGGGGACTGGACTTGAGAACCACTGGATTAGATTAACCAATGTGAAGCTACTTTACATACTTCAGCCTACAGTTTTGGGAGTACATGGCTGCTGTCTTGTACAGACATTCTATTTTAACTATTGACTGCTCAATAAATGTTGCCACCAGTATATAAAAATTGAAGTTTTGTTGGATCTTGATATGATTAAGAACTGGGAGGTACATTTTTTTGCACGTTAAACAAGAAGGCTTTTGTCTCATCTGTGTTGGCTGTGTTGTCTCAGCACTGCTGAGTAAACAATGATGTTCAGGGTCAGAGAAATGACCTGGATGAGTTATCTAAACCAGCCCAGCAACTTTTCTTACATTTTCCAGGCAGCATTGTCTTTTACACCCCCATCAAAAAGTTGTTTTTTTTGTCATTGTGAAATACTATTTCATGCCATTGTGAAATACAGTGAAATGTCATAAATTTTTCCCTGAAAATTGCTGCCTGCTGTTCTTTTATTGTCAACTTCTTGTTTGAGTAATGTGGCAAAATAGGCAGAGAAACTCTTTACAAATCTCTCTCTGTGTATGTATATATATATATATATATATATATATATACATATGAAGGGAATTATTTGTGAAATAGTTTTTTTTTTAAATCCAACCAACCGTGTTGATTTCTAGTGGGAACTCAGTATTCTGGTGTTTTGTCAGTGAGAGGTGAACTGCAGTAGAGGCTGAATGAGTCTGTTGAGAGCAGCCCCAGCTCCGCACAGTGAAGCTCTGTGTTTGAGAACTGCTGTGGAGGCATTCATATGTTCAGTATTCAGAAAGTTTACCTCTGACTCCACTGACTAAAGCCTGCTGCCAAGCAACACGGCTCAGGAAACACCCACAGATGGTCTACCTCATATCGGCAGCACAACCAGTCCAACAGCTCAGTCAGCTCTATTGATTTACATTGTTGTTTGAGCCGTAGCATGCGGCTAACCTTGAGTTGTAGAAACACAGCAGGCAATTGATGAGCTTCCACAGAGCCGTCTGGCAGTAGATCTCTTACTTTTAATGTGGGATGGTGGGTCGCATCCATTTGCCTGAAGTGGAACAAATGGAAATTTGCTCTCTTGATATACATCAGAGGGTAAAGTGATGATCATTGCTACTCAGCATTGCTGTGGTATTTGTGTACCAGCCAAGCCAACGAGGAAACAAACAGCAGTGAGAATGAGAAATCATTGGGTAGGTGGGATTTGTGCTGACAGGACACAAAGTGGTCGTTGAGCAGGAGAGATGAGGAAGGGGAATCATCGATTTTTTCATTTGCATCTCCTCCTCATCATAATCCACAGCTTCACTTATGCTGATGAAGTATCTTGTTTCTTCTGAATTAATGACTAAAAGCGTGGCATCAAATCACCTCATTACTGCAGGCTGATTCAAGCAGTTGCTTATCTCTGCAAAGCCAGATTCCCCGAGAGACTGCATGGGGTAAATTGTCTTTTATGGCTCAGCCTGTTTTCACATTGTCTTTTTACAGCTATGTTAAATGTCCAGTTATGTAGCTATACATGGTGAAAGCCCGACATGATAAAAAGGAAAATGTAAATATTCAATTGTGCACCCCCCGTCCTTTGGTGAATAAGTAAAATAACTCCTGATGAAGATGTTTTTATTAGTCTTATTGCTTGAGCTGCAGGCCGCTGGTAAATAGTAAAACCATGGACTATATTTGGACTTGTTCAGTTTCCATCTTATTTGAAGGTCAGAAGAAAACAGCTCACAAACATGACCTTCTTTTCTCCTCTGCAGCTAAAGAGAGGAAGCCATCTGTCTCAGGGCAGAAACTGCTCTATAAACACCCTCCTTTTGGCGTAGTTTGAGGTAGCAAGCCCATTACTCACTCTGTGTCCCACACAGGGCATTGACTTCAAACATAACAGTTCAGTTTGTATAAACAAAGCTGTGCTTTAAATTCAGACAACAAACAGCCTGAGGAGGGACCCTGTCTTCTTCACTGATGCCACTGCCAGAATAAATTTACCATGAAATAAAGCAGACCTACGCTAAATCAAGTTGATTTAAAATCAAGACTGAGATTAAACTGAAGTATTTTCCAGCTGAAATGTTCGTCCAAAATATGAACCCTGCATTTAAAACTCTTTAAAAATACAACAACAAGGCAGTGGGATGTGCTGTGAGGGTGTAAGAAGTATTAAAAGAGACTAGTAAGATCACAAATCACATCAAGCTTTATTCTTTAGTCAGTGAGTGTGTTGAGCTTCAAATAAGTGCTACATTTTTACATTAGTGTATGTTCTTTATAGATTTTTTTCTGTTATTTTGTGGTACATAAGTAGTATTTCATTATTTTTAACAGTGTTGATGTTGGACTATTTCTGTAATTATGAGCAGTAATTGGTGTTTCAAAGTTATTTGAGTTTTTCCTGAAACAGGAAGGCCAGCATAAAGTTTAAGAGAAAGGTAATGAATGTAGTTGATGCATCTTGTTGGAGGTACAGCCAGGGTTCACATCCATCCTGTCGTGTGCCCTCTTGAGCACTAAGCAAAAGAAATCCTTCCCTGAAACAATGTTGCCCAACTCGCTCCTGTGCATTTTCTTGCATCTGTTGAAGTTGTGGTATCATATTAACCAAACTTATAGAAAGAAAGAAATGTGGGGGAAAAAACATCTTGGTTAATATCTTGTACATGCTTGTTAGGTTTGTATTCCTTCAAAATGTCATGATGCAAAATCCTTATTTACAGAGATACCTGAAGATATGAACATGACAGTTACAAATACTGAAGATGTGCAAGTATCTCCAGACAAATCTTTGAACTTTTACAGCGTTTAGTTTTTTGGAGATCGTTTTCTATCATTCATACACTAATTATATGCTCTACAGAGGTGTTAGTGATGATAATTGACTTTTTTTTATGACATTAGTTTTGAAGAGTAAAAGAAATGCTGTTCCTAGTTTAACTGGATATTCTGGTTAAGTGTCCTCCTACTTAAACCACTTGTCTACCACTCTATCCAGCTAAGTGTCCTCCTACTTTAGCCACTCATCCTCTACTCTTTCCTGGTTTGCTGTTTAAGTGATCCTGCAGCTTGATTTCACTTCCATCAGATGGCTTTTCTTTTTTATCCAAAGATGATGTGTTTACCGCGATTGTGCATTAATGTGTACCAGAATAAAAGCTAATAAAAGACAAGACAACTCAGTACTGACGTTACTCTGCTACGTGTCATGGACAGTGATGGCAGCAAACAACCAATACTAGAGGTGTACATTTTTGAGGACTGGACTTGAGAACCACTGTCTTAATGTATATTTATTTTCACCATCCATGGTACTCTCACTGGCCGTTAATGTAAGTGCATTCAAAAGCTGTCGGCCAACTGTATCCAAACTAGAGATAGACCGATGAATTGATTGTCCAGTTAATTGAGTCTGGCCCTCACAAGGCCAGTGTCATCATCATCCTCTCTAAATGAAAACACATTTCCCTTTTATCCAGTGACAGTACATCCACTGTCAAACAATCACTAGCTGCTGCTTAACACAGAAATATCATCCATGTTCTGAAATCTACAGCACGACATGTAGAAAGTATTTGTCTTTTTCATTAAATTAAAATCCATCTCAGACGTCTTACTGGCTGAGACAGCCATGTGTTTTCGATTTGAATGTGCCTGTAATGTGCTTTTTTTAAATCAATTTCAGATGGCTGGATAGAAATCCAAATCTCTTATGGCAGTTTTTTTTTTCACTGTGGAATATAATTTTCTGTCTACATTTATTTACTTGCATCTTTTCTCAAGTTCTGTGATTTTGTTTCTCATTCGTTATTATTATAAAAGCATTGTATTTTTGTCAATAGCATTAGCAAATATATAATGCTGATATTACTTTAATGTTTTGTTTTTTAGGTATTAGCTGACCTGCTGAGATAATTATTATTGAATAATTACATCTCAGTGATTATTGAAAAGTATAATTGGCGAGTTTTGGCCGATTACCAATTAGTCTCAAACGGGCTAAAATTGGGCCCTACTTTGGACTATGTAGTTATAACATGTTGACTACATGACCAGAGAGGCTTACCGACACAAGAATCTCCAGAGCTTTTGTGAACTAGCCATTCCATTATAAATCATTAATTGTAGGTATTTGTGTGTGTCATTCCTGCTCTACAGCTTTGTTTGTGTTGTTGTCTGTTAAACCTTACTGGTCATTTTTTTATTTTTATTCCTCAATTGTTTTTCATGAATTTGTCCATTAATTGCTTTGCTGAAAAAAAGTGCTGAAATTGCCAAATATCAAGATATTCAAGTTTGCTTTTTGTGTCCAAACTACTTTAAATACTGGAAGATTTTTCTGGTGATATGATTATCTCAATCAACAGTGATTTTGTCTTTCTTCAGAGGGCAATTTTTTTCTTTTACCATACACCAAGCAGGTCTGAACTTGACGTTTCTAACATGAGTCTTTTAACATGTGTCGTTTAGGGTGGAAATCATTTTGACCAGTATGAAGAGGGCCAGTTGGAGCTGGAGCAGGCGTCCCTGGACAAGCCCATTGAATCGGTAAGACTGCATCTATCATTCAGCACTATTGGACCAGCTGTGAGAGTGGATGATTGGTCCAGGGAGACATAAAAACCACAACTTTACTCAGTTCATTCTGATCATGTAGATGCATCCAGTGTTGACGTAAAACAAAACTTGTCATTCAACTTGTAGAGTCACCTGTCTCATGTCCATTAATACCCTGTTAGTCCTCCCCCCTTCCCATGTCCTCTGCCTACTCCATTTCCTGTGTGACAGCTAAAGTAATGATGCAGGATCTAGATCTACCTGTTTTCACAAAGAGCCTACAGATAAATGTTTGATTTTTATACCAGTCTCCCATTAGTCATTGTTAGTCATCTCAGCACTGTGAGACAACAAGACAACCCTGAAACTGGAGTGGATTAAGCATAGTCACCAGTGGCTGTTTTTAAAGTGCTATAGCTCTTAATCCATTTTAAGATAATCCCAAAGACATTTCGGGGATTATAATAGAAAGATTTTATCCTAGATATACTTTAAGTGTGGATGCTCCTGCAGTCACACAAAAGATCATCATACATAAACACAGTCTAGTTAAGCAATCGACCACTCTGTAATACAACATTTCTTTTTCAGGGGTGAAACACAGAACAACAAAATAATCACAATATATAGATTTAATTGAGCCTGCTGAGTGATGGAGTTCACATCTGCTTATATTGTAGAGACGCGGATGAGTTTGGTAGAGAATAGAGGACTGTGCTTATTCCACTCCATTTAGCAAACAGGAGCTCGACATTAGATGGTGTGAATGGCTACATTTGTGTTTGAGTGAATGTGTTTTTATGTAGCTGTAGAATTTCTGTGTTAGTGTACAGTGTTTTTGTCTATAGGACAGTTATCTTATTGTACACAACTTGGGGTGTTCGACATTTCTCTCCTGCAGCGAATTGGCCCCTATTAGCTAAGCAGCAATGACCTGGTTTGTATTTGCACGCTCTGCTTTCTTACTCCTATCTTTAGGGTCCTTGTAACGCTTCTCTGGCTCTCTCTCTCTCTTTCTCTCTCTCTCTCTCTTTCTCTTTGTCTTTTTCACTGCTGTCACACTCTCAATCTATTCTTCCTCTACCTCTCTCGCTCCCTCCCTACTACACAGTGATTCGGTGTACAGTACCCTCTGTCATTCTGTGCTGGCATGGTGCTTGTGCAACTGGGACTGCATTTTTCGCTGAAGAGGCACATGGATAATAGCGCAGGAAGCTCTCTTCCCTCTATCTTTCCATCTCTCTCCATCCCACACCCCCTTTTTTGTCTCTGAAGCGCTGTGGCGAGCAGGCCTAAACTCCTCTAACACACAGTGTCTGGTCACCTCTCCTCAAGGTGATAGAGGTGCTCTGTGAGTCAATCACATGGGATCAGCAACTAGTTGGAGATTGAAATGATGGTGTGGGAATATCCATCAGCTTATTTAACAAAAAACACAACTAACATGTTTATTTTAATTTCAGTATTTTTATACATTGATTAAAAAACGTAATATTTAGGACACTTTTAGTGTTTGCAAGACATTTATTTAATACATTTTTAAATAGAAATACACGAGTGAACTTGTATACATCAGCTGAGTTTAATAAATAGTGTCCTGGCTCACAAGCACACACAAACATCCCACTGTGTGTGGGTGGTGGAGAGGGGGGGGAAAAGAATGGGAGAGAGGTGGCCTGCTCACCTGGCTCGAGTGGCTCTTTTGCTCCTGCGCTATTATTTGTGGAGGGGCGCTGAGGGCCATGCTGCAGCATCACACAGCTCTGTAACTAAACGGCGAGATCAGAGGCGCCGTCAACTCTCGCTTAGTCACCAATTATTGTAATATTTGCACACCTGCATGCTCTCTCCGTGGAAACAAGATGATGGCAGGCTTTTTATCTGCAGGCAAGTAATGCACTGTGGAAGTTTGCCACCAGTAGAAAGTTTAACAGAATTTGTTTAATCAAGTATTTTTAGAAATGAAAATAAAATATCGCCTGTTAATAAAGTCAAATGTTAGCCGAATAACTCATAGGAGCCTCCAAAATGACCAAAAGAACATTAAGAAATGTGCACCTTATCGTGCATTACCTCACAGTAGACTTACTGTTATGAGTCACAGTATCAAAACACATAGAAGTGCATACGTCATATTAGCCTGTAGTTGGGCACACAGGTTCTTGTATGTTTCTGGAGTGGAAACCTCAAAGGGATGTATCCCAGAGCTGTCAGTGAATGGTTCAGCCCAGTTCCTCAGAGCCCCTCCCCTGCCACTTACTGTGTGTGATCTTTAGGCAGCTAGAGGTCTGTGGTACTTTATTGGGATCTTTTTTCTCTTTCTGTCTTTCCCTCTTTGGTCTTTTTGCTCTTTTTATATCTAACGTTGTTTTTGCATTGCATGTGTTAACTTGGTAGCATTCAGTACTATTTATTTCGCAACACTCTTGTCCTAATCACTACTAAAGTCCCCCCCCCCCAGACTCATTCCTCCCCACGTTTCCTGCCCCCTCTCAGCCCCCCCCAACCCACCCCACCCCACCCTACCCTCCTCCTCTTCACCTGACTCTGTCCCTGAGCGATATGCAGTGGGCAGCCTCAGAGCCACAGAAACTATAGAAAACCACCAGAAATCAAATGAACATTTTTCATCAAAAAGTGTGTTGCTTTTTGGTAACCTTGACTCACTGTCTTTAATACGGTTTCTCATATCAGCTGTTACTGAATTATGACGTCTTAGTTATTAAGAGGTTTTAGACTAAAGGGGAAAAAATAATAACCTGGAGCACATGGTTGTAAATCAGTCAAATCAACTTACCCCAATCTTGCTTTTATTTGGTTTAGTGCAGTGATTCTCAAGTCGAGTCCTCAATGCCCACTGTCCTGCATGTTTTAGATGTTTCCCTGCTCCAACACACCTGATTCAAACGATTAGCTCGTTATTAAGCCATTACAGAGCTTGATAACGAGCTGATCATTTGAATCAGGTGTGTTGGAGCAGGGAAACATCCAAAACATGCAGGACAGTGGGGGGCTCGAGAACTGGACTTGAGAACCACTGGATTAGTGTTTAGAAAAAAAAATGGCACAGTGCTTGCACAACTTGCATCTAACCAAAAAAAAAACAAAAAAACCCAGTATTGGTTTCAGTCCTCTTCAGTGGAGTTTATGTAGATATATTTCAATAGTACTTGCAGATGATGATTTGTCCCTTCACGGTTATGAGGTAAGTATGTTTTTTAAAATATTGTATTTAAATATTTACATTAATTGGACTCTGCTTCTCTGTAATTTCCTCCATGGCACAGCTAAGGAAATCTTAAATCTCTGTGTTAGTCCAATGCATCCACAGTTGACCTCTGTTTATTAGGGAAAGAAAGGAGCTTTCTGTTTAAGCAGTTTACTCTGTTTCCATTTAGTAATACCTGCTTATAGTTGAGGCTGCCCAGGAAAGTACATAGCAGCAAACACCAGGGAGCTGTAAAAGTGTTTGAAGAGCTGCAGACTGAAGGTCCTGTCTTTCCTCAGCACTTGCAAAAGGACATCCTGCAGAGACAAAACGAGAGGATGATGAATAACCGCTGCAGCCCCTGTTTTTGTTGAAATCCTGTGCTGGTTTTCATTTCAAAACATGCAGATTTTCTCAGATCTGTTAGTCAAATATTTGGTTGGATGTGGTTAATCTTGGTTTAGTGACTTATTATGATTGTTCACATCCTTGAAAGTCAGCCATGCCAGAGCTTACCACCCTGAGACACACAAACACACCCAGAACTGTGCACACATGGACGTGAGAAGCAATAACTTTTCTACGTATTCTGAGGTCTCCGGGCAAGGTCCCCTGCATATCACTTCTCGACCCAATCCTCTCTTCATGTGCTGTGCCGATGACTGCACAGTGCACACTTTCAAAACACCCCCCCTCCCTGTAGAGTTCTTTTGTTTGGTTAACATTTTCTATTTTCCTTTCTACTGTATTAACAGTGAGTTGGTGGATTTATTGACATACCTACCTTTTTCTGTTTGTGTACAGTTATGTTATGTTTGTTTAAAGCAGAGAGAGAATTGCATTTTTTTAGTCTTAGTGAAGAAGTCAAGAAGAATTGCAGTTGAAAGCGTTTGGCCGGTTTCTTACGTTGTGTCACGTGTGACTGTTTCTTTGACAGCCCAGTATTTTAAAGCCAGGTTCGTATGGAAATGCCTTCACTCCACTTGCACTGCTGTTGGACTCGCCGTCGTTGCTTTCATCCGTCTGTCTGTCTATTCTTTTGGTGCACTTAATTTGTCGTTCAGCACACAGTCTGCACTTCATCTCTGCCCTCTAACCTTTGCGTAGACCATTCTGAACTAATCTTTGTGTCTCCAGACACAACTGGTGCCTCGTCCAACCTGCCCTTCTTCTTCAAACAAGGTTTTAGAAATCTTACTGGTATCAAACAAAAGATGATAACACAGTTTAGTTTAAAGATCACGTTTCATACAAAGTAGAGCTCACAGATGTTTACATTTTGTATGCCCTCCTTTGCGAGGTTGCTCCGACTTTTGTCTTGGAAAAATAGACACAGGAGCTTACAGATAATGAAGAGGCTGAAGAGAAGTATTTACCAGCCAGCTAGGGTACAAAGGATTTTTTCCCCTCCTTACTCCCAGCTTTATATATCAGCTAATTCCCCAAATCAATACAAACGATCATGTGTACAGTGTCACTGCAGCATAATACTGCAGTAAAGGACAGAAGCATACCCAATGTCAGCTGGAGGGGAGGTGTTCACTGCAGCAAACTCTGCAGTGTTTCGCTCCACGGTGAAGTCAGGGAATGTGTTATCCGCCCAGAAAGAGGTAAACACACACTATCAGCAAAACAACTTCAAACTCTGTGCACTTGAATGTGCCGAACCACAAGGCAGGAGCATCTCATACACCGTGATAGCATTCTGAATGTAATTGTTATTGTAGCACCAATAGCAGCTGGCTGTCTCTAATTCCCCACCATGTTAGGCCCGGTATGGATTCCTCTCTTATCTCATCCCACAGCGGACAAGATCTGACAGTCACACAGAGTGAGCTCGGCTCATGCATACATGGAATGGAGGAAAAACAGAAACAGGAAGTCAAGCTGTCCAGCCTTTCTCCCTCAGGGCGTAGAAGCAAATATCAGGCAGATGTTCTAGATGTATTTATCTTCCTGGTCGTTATGACAAAGCGGAATTCAAGATTTGATATGAGGTGGGGCAAATAAAGGCAACAGTGATCAACAAAGAGATTACACCAAATTTACCACAATTGAGACCTTGTGGGCGGAGATGCAGTGTGTGCTGTGTGTGACTACCACTCCCCTTCACAAGCACTAACCCATACAAGCCCAGCTCACCTCCACCACCCTAGAGTCACTCCTCCACCATGGCTCAGCCTGCTCTGTTCTGCCCCCCTCTGTTCAGACCTCCTCTTTTGCCAAAGAGAACTAATCGAGCCCCGTTGAGCCATCACCCTCCACTCTGTGCCTGATCCACCTGAGACTAACACACTTGGAGTTGTGTCCACCTGCCCTCCAACCAAAGCCCACCCCCCCGCCCTCTATATGTGTGCCATTCACTGTGCACTACTAACCCCGACGACCCTTTTTGTTAAAGCCTTTAACAAAAAGCTGCATGCTGTTTTTGTTCCAACCCCTTCACTTTCTGTTTGTGAAAGTTGATGTCAATCTCTTTGTGATTATAAATCTCCTTTTTTTTATTTTTTGTTTGGTTTGTATGTTGTTTTGGTAGAATGCAGCACTCTGGTGAATGTTAGATATACGCTTGGAATAGTTATAATCACAACATGAAAAAAAAAACACACTGCTTACAAAGAAATCTCATCGTTTCCTGTTAATTTGTGCTTGAGGATGTACTGTAGTGTGTAGTGGTGGGACGGTCTTGCATTTCACTCAATGTTTTTTTTTTCTGCTGACTCATACTAGTGATAAAACAGTGTCAGACACATTTGGCACCAGAGTTAGCTAGGAATTTCTGTTGTGTATGTTCTTGTTTTACCTCCGTAGCCTCTGAATCTTTATCAGTTGCCTGATCTCATCCAAAAAAAACCATTAAAGTAGAATTTTAAAAGCTACCTTGCAGCTCCGTAGTTTTTAATTGTAAGTTTTTAGTTTATGGATTAGGATAACTCTCAGAATGATCTATGATTAAAGCACTTCTGGGGCCAGACCACTGATAACAAACCAGAGGTGTCTGAAGACATGCACAACAATCATTCCTTGTATCTCTAATGGGGCCACATGCACACTTTGTCTCCCTTTGTTCACCCGCACACCCACATACCCTCTCACATGTGCATATTCTGTCCACCCTGGGCCTTGTAATGGTAATCCAAGGCCCACTAGCTCCACTTCTATCTCTTCCTCTCGCTATATATTTTTTGTGACAGCTGCATACGTCTCATGGTGCTCCCCTTGTCATGGTTACAGAATCACAGCAAGCTTGGAGTTTCTGGTCTTTGTTATGTTAATGCAAGATTTCCATACCTGTTCTGTGTCACTTTTCTTTGTGTATACTAAGATCTTGCTCTGTAGTGGTTCATATATGTATGCGTGTGATACATATATCGCCCTCTCCTCCTTACTCCTCCTCCTCCTCCTCTTAACACCTCAGTTAGTGGATGTTACCTGATGTATTATCTTCATCATCCAAAACAATAGAAATACTCACGCCCAATTTCCTCGCCTTAAAATCAAGTTTGGAAACTGCACTCTTACTGTAGCTGGGTGTCAAGTTTACAAGGCTCTACACAGCCTCATAGTGGAAAGAAACTCTCCTTCCTCTCAGTCTGCTACCCCCTGTCTCCCCCTACTGCCCTTCCCACTCCTCGTGCTGGAAGACACTGATGTTACACGCTGTAGGTGATGTGGATGACTATACTGATGATGGTGATGGTAGTGTTGATTGTGCTGATGTTGATAGCGTGATCTGAGTGTTTTTCTTTCATTTGTTTTTTGATCAGTGCACACAGGGAAAAGCTTCTCTTATTATTGGAATATTTTTGGTTTTTTTCTTCTCTCTCCTCTCTGTTAGGATAACATCGGGCACCGGCTGCTTCAGAAACATGGCTGGAAGTTGGGGCAAGGTCTTGGCAAAACCATGCAGGGTAAGGCGTCACTCTTCACTACACCTTTTGTTCAATGCTGGTGGTACTGGGCCACTGCCCTCTGTCATTTCTTTTCCCCCCTCACACTTGCAGGTTTTTTGAATCAGCATACTTCCTTTTCTCTTCTCACACTCTGTGATCTCTCCTTCTGTGTCTTTTGCTGGGTAAAATGTATTTTTATTGAAAGAAACATTGTTCCTGTCGCTCTTGTGCTGCTCTTCCCTCAAACTTCTTTGAACCATGTCACTCTCTTTGAATTTACTTACAAGAACCTTTGGGGCCAGTTTTAGTTACAGAATAAGCCCCCCTTTGGCAATGTCAGTAGACCCAGTCCAGGGTCAAAAGGCACCAGAAACATTCTGGCTTCCAGTCTGTTTGGATCGTGTCTAAAGGTTTTTACCAGACCTGTAATGGAGGTCTTACTCTTTTGTAGTTGTTTCCTCTTTCAAAGATGTATTGATGTCATGAGTACTGTACATTTACAGTTGACTAATATTTGCTTTTTCTTTGGCGAAGTAAATGAACAAGAACAATGCTGTGAAAGCTCAGCAAGAGATTGAAGCGTTCAGCTAGAGAGAGCTGCATTATCAAGGTTTACTGTCTGGAGACAGCTGTGATTGAGAGGCCTAGTTTATATCGACTGGCTGTAAGAGGGAGCAGGCTGAACAGGACTGAGTGAGTGGGTCGGCCTTGGCTAACATCGGCACCACATAAGCTCAGCCCTGCTCTACTCGTAGGCTCGTTGGTTCAGAGGCACTGGTGCAGAGCCCTGGCATGTTTCCACTGAGCCTCTTCCTGTCTCTTCACCCTCTTCCCTCTCCTCATCAGTATCTTTATTCTCCGTAGCTGTTCTCCGCTCTCTTTTAAAAGCCTCTCCCTCCTCTGCTCTCGGTCCTCGGAGGACTGTGCATTACATTGTCTGTGATTGATGTCATCGCTGGCAAGCCAGTGAGTCCTCGCAGTCCACCAAAAAAGGAGATGTTTTTCCACATAATTTTGGGCATTCAGTTCGTTTACCTCCTTTATCATATTCTCTCTACCCCCCTAAGTCCATACCATCTGAGCTTAAAGTCTCCCACTGCGATTTTTTTTTTTTCATTTTAGCCCACTTTACTTTCTTTATTGCTTATTGGGAAGTATTGCTCATGTGCATTGCTCTTCCTGGAAGCTCAGCAACATTTTGATATAAAACACCTCTCATTCTGCAAGATAAAAGCCTCAGCACATGCCCACTAGCCTTACACAGAATACAGAGGGACCTATGAGGAGTACGGCCTTGTTGACTATCTGGAGAGTCATGTACAAGAGAAGCAAGAAAAGGAAATTGTGATTTAATCTATTCATTTGATAAATGTTGCCCATGTGTAGGCTAGTGATCTTCCATGGTGACTAATTTTCTGGTTTAAACAGAAATGTAATTTCTAAATGACAGACTGGTCTCAAAGTTAGAAAACAACCCCGCCCCCCCTAAAAAAAAACGAACAAAACAAATCGTGATTAGAGTCACAAGTGAATGATATCAAAGTTAGTTTAATCAACACTCAAATAACTGGCACCACCAGCCGTTGATACTTGGTCCAGGTTAATCGCCGCATGCTGGGCTGGTTAGGAATTGCTTTAGGTCAAGTGGTCAATGCCAGTTTAAGTAGACACAGCTTGCATACGACTTTATCAAAATGCTGCCAAAACCCATCACCTAGAGCAGTGGTTCTCAAGTCCAGTTCTTGAGGCTCACTATCCTGCATGTTTTGGATGTTTCCCTGCTCCAACACACCTGATTCAATGATCAGCTCGTTATTAAGCCATTACAGAGCTTGATAACGAGTTGATCATTTGAATCAGGTGTGTTGGAGCAGGGAAACATCCAAAACATGCAGGACAATGGGCCTTGAGGACTGGACTTGAGAACCACAGAGTAGTATCACACTGTGGCTGTAGTAGTGGGTGTGTAGCCACAACATATGACTGGCATTCTGGGTGCCTACAGTCAAAAAAATAGGATGAATTTGTTAAACCGACAAGTTTTACTGGTGCTGATATGACTCTTTTGTCGACCTTACATTGAAGACCCTGTAGTGTAGACATGCAGACAGTTAGATCAGTTGTACCTGCTCATGTAGTTTGCATCTAACCTTGTGTAGATGCATCTGTGTGGTCTCATGTTTGAACAGTTCATGTTTGTGTGAGCACAGATGGATACACAGGCGTGATGACGGTGTTGTTGCTGCCCTGGCACTTATCGTTCATGTACATATATGGCCTTGGTTCGCCGTGTCGTCTCATGGGTGTTTTCAGGGAGGCCAGTCACTGAGCAGACCAGGATGCTGCCTCGCTCTGGGCAGGTTGACACGTTTATTGGAGAATAACCACGCCGCAGTCAGTTCTGAGCTTCACATTTGGTGTCTGTTGATATATCTCTCCACCTGGCCTTGAACGACCGAGCAGCAATCTTTTTTTTTTGATGCGATGAGGATGAATGCTCTGTGAGGAGGAGAGGACGTTGTTGTAGGGGCTGACTGTGCTCTTGTTTTTGCCGCTGGCACCACTGACACGTGGTTATGTAAGCATCCTGCTTTGTGGGCAGATGAGACTGCGGCAAACTGTGTCCAGTTGTTGTGTAGGAATTAATGGCTCAGTGTTTTTGGCCCACTATTGCTGTTGGAATTCAGGAGTGCACGAGGGAGTAGACTAGACTCGCAGCAAAAATGCACCTTTGCATCACACTGAAGACTGCTGGAAAAACCATGATAATCTTCCTCTCCTTTCCTGTCCTCCTTGCCAGAAGAGAAGGTTTTTGATGTTTGAAGTGAAAGCATTGTGTCCCCTTTTTAAGTTTTCACTGTATTGACTTTGTTCTTATTCTTCTTTTGTCCCTTTTGCCCCTTTTTAGGTAAGGTTTGTTGGACCCCCTCTGTATGTCAGTATGTGTGTGTGTGGGTGTGTTTTCTTTCTCCCACTCTGCAGTTGACCTCAATGTAACACCCCTTTTACAGTGTACTGTAGGCTAATGGCCTCTGTCAGCTTCTTCCTCTTTGCTTCATAATCACTAAACCTTTTTATTATGATAATCTGCACAAGAGTCAAGTGCTTCGATTTGAACAAAGAACGAAATTCCATTTGAAATCAAAGATAGATCTAGGAAGCCATGATTCCATCACATCCCTTAGAATCATCCTCTCAACGTATGTTAGATTTTTTTTCCTCTCCGAGTTTCCGTTGCCGCTGTCGGGTATCTGATTGGCTGTAACCACGGCTCAGACTTTGAATGGCTTGCAGAGTAGAGAAGTTTCCCCCCCTCTTGCTTGTTTGCCTGTTTCTACCTCCAAACCTGTGAAAATTGTGTATGTGTGTGTGGTCATTACGTGGGACTGAGACGTGTGCGTGAGCGTGTCTGTTACTGACCGGGCCATAGAGTCAACTTACAGGGAAAACCTCACCACCCTTTTGACACCCTGAATGTCTCTGTCCCCATGGTTACACACTCCCGTCCTCCCCCTGTTTCTTTGCCCCTCCTGCACAGCATGTTTGTCCCAGCGGTGCACTCCTGCCTGCCTCAAACTGTCACACTCACCTGGGGCTTTAAGCAGTGTTGGAGGTTGAACACTGAACTGTTACTTTCACACATTAGCGTTAAATCGAACACTCTAGTCATTCACATTTTTTTTAAGTGTACTGTAGTAAAACTGCTTCCACACAGCAATGCAGACCCCGCTCTAAGCACTGCTCAAAGCCTTGCTGGCTCTTTCCTCAGGTACATTCTATTTGTGTGTCATGCGTTCACATGTTCCGGGGTAAAGCACATCTTCAAACACATTCTTGCTGGCTGTAAGCTAGCTCCGAAACGAAGGAATATCTGGGAGATTTTGCTAACTGGGCTGACAAGCGTCTCTGAGGCAAAAAGCTCAAAGGGGGAAAATGGTGGTTGTCCCTAGAGTCATCTTATCTTCTCAGATTAAGTAAGAGGATCTCAATTTCTGAAAGATGAAATGTTGGTCACTGACTTTCAAAAATTTCTCAGCGAGGCGAAAGTAAGAATTGAAATTATGAGGGATGCATACAGAACCACATGCGTACTTTTTAGAGGGGTAGTATTCTGATATCAGAGGGGCGCATTCTGGCGTTGAGAGCAAGATGACGCCAGGCTAGGGGCCTGGGGACGGGGACGAGTGGTTGGGAGAGAGTGGTGAGAGGAGATCCCTGTAAGCACCTAGCCCTGAGTGAAGGGATGAGGGGGGGTGGGGGGTGACACACTGATGCCCCTCTGGTAATAAACCCCCCTAAACCCCACAGCCACACTCCCAAACCCACCCTCCCTTCTCTATGTGCCTCAATCTTCCTGCTTAACCAATTGGTGTTTCTTTTTTACAGCTATTTGATCCTGCCCATGTTGTGCTGATGGTAAACTTAGTGGTAAATGTTATTTTATCCCCCAATTGAATTGTTTTTTTGTTTTGTTTTGTTTTTTTACTTTTATTTTTGTTTTCTTTTATTTTCTCCCATTTTTTTTGTTTTCCTCTCATCAGAGCACCAATGCTACATAGGCTTTCAATTCTCTCTGTATTAGTCCTCATTCTGCTGCTTGTATATTATCATGCATATGTATTACTCTTAGAACATTGTCATTTTGTTTGTTTTCAGTTTTTTTCAACCTTGTGATTCACACCCTGTGATTTAGACGCACATTGTTTTTGTCTGGTCCCTTTCTTTTCCACTGGAATGGATAATGTGGAAGTATTGTCACTGTGTTCAGAGATTGGTGATAGTTTTGGGATGACTGTAATTGTTTTATTAATCTTTAATTCTGGGCCTGGCTTGTGATGCCATTCAGACGGACCACTGCAGTGGCTGGCTAACACACCAACACGACTTTGGTTTCACTTCTCTACCACTGTAGGGCAGAGAGCGTGGACACACATCTATCAATAGAGTTTCCTGATCCAGATATAACACAATCACACTTCTCTCACTCTTGGGGGAATAATAAACACTCTGTAGTCATGTAATCAGTGTGAGAAGGATTCCTGTCCAAGTTCACCAAGCTGCCAGACACTGCAGTGGTATGGAAAGTCCAAGTAGGCCATTATGTTACGATGCCCATGCGTCTATGATTCCAGAATTAATATGTCATTGGGCTGTGATGACTAAAACAATGACACAAGTATTCACTTCCGATCAAGTTCTTACCTAGCTCAGTCCAGAAAGGTAAGAATATGTTAAGAATTAGCCCCATTGAAAGTGAGAAGTCTCTTCATTTGAAAAGACAAAGTAATTTGTTCATAGGTGTTTTTCTCTGTTAGAGAAAAACCAAAATCCACCCTCAGGATCAGGCACAATCTTATTTTTCCAAACACAATGCTTACATTACAGTTCCATATGCCCAATGGTATACATGGCAAATTGATTCATGAAAACTATTGTCAGGTATGTGGGAGGAAAAAAACTGAAACCAAACTGAATTGATGATCACTATCAGTAAGATCGATTATTATATCTGGCTGGCAACAGGAGCAGCAGACTAGTCCAAATTCTCTTTGCCTTCTGTGTTAAGATTCCCCTGTCTATCTATCTGTCTGTCTGTCCCCCCCTTCCCTCTCCCCCTACCCATACCCATGTTTTTGCCAGGTAAGTATCCCCATCCCTTGCACTGTCACCATGGCGATACCTGGCCTGTGACGTCACTCTGCTGTAGTTCAGTGCTTGTGTCCTTTTTTTTATTTAATTTTTTACTCTGTCTGTCTCTCTGCTTTGTTTGGCTGATTATGAGTGGATTAAGCAATTCTGTGTCAATCTCCAAAGTAGTTTTGATTTTTATATATTTTATATCTTAAATGTTTCATTCTGTTTTTGTTCTTTTTTTTTTTTCTTTTTGGTTGTCTTTGGTTTGTTTATTTTTCTACAGTTAATTTCCTTCTGAGCTAGCTCTTTTCACAGCTTACGTAATGTACTTCAAGTAGACAGGGGAAAGCAATCTTTCAGCCCAAGTCACAATGAGTAAGGGGGCCAGGGTAGGACAAGGGGCAGTTTGGGATTCATGACAGTGAGGGGGCTTTGCTAGGGTCAGCCAGTCTGCTGACATTTCAGAACAAGGTGATGCAGTAGGCTTTAGATAATATAGAGGAGCTTTTTCCCCCGGTGTCGCAGTGGCAGTAGCTGCACAGGACCACAGCACCCTACTTTTCAGCACACACAGAACACACTGTCCCTGGAGCTGTAATGTCCTTAATAAACAGGGCACTTTGGTTAAAAAGGACCGCAACAATGACTCAGTGAGGAGGGACAGTGGATGACACTTCATAGAATTGAAATGGAAACAGATTGGTGCTCTTTTTTTATTTTTTAAACTCCATCTTTCTATAGTAGTAAAGAAGGCTCAGTTACCCTGGTACCCTTTACTTCTTCACCAAATTGCAGCTAACTTTAACTAATTCAAAATGCAAATCAGCAGCCAGCTCAAACGTCACAGGAAAGCCAGATAAATTGATCATTGCTCAATGGCTGCAGTAAGCTGTGAGAATGGCTGGTGTTTGGTTCACTGTAGCTTTCTGGTCTCTTTGCACTTCAAGGCAAAATTTTCTAACCCCAGCACCCTATGCTCTAAAAGCAGGCTGTCTTCGAACTGGCCCACTGTCCCGGTCTCAGACACTCACCAGCCCTCTTTCTCTGTCTATTCCCCCAGGACGCACCGACCCTGTGCCCATCGTCCTCAAATATGATGTCATGGGGATGGGACGCATGGAGATGGAGGTAAGATCATTTAGATTTGATCTCTATCTCACCTTTATATGTTCTCGAAACGAAAACTTCATTACACAACAGTAAACTCAGAAACAGCATGGTGCTGACAATGATTAGCTTGTTTTTTGATAGTTCTACTTAGGGGTGTCCCGATACAACTTTTTGACTTCTGATACAGTACCAATATTGTAGCCTTCCGTATCGGCTGATTCTGATCTGATATTGGCACAAAATTGTGCATGACAAGTTTTTCACTCAGCTGCAATGTCTTTTTCGGACTTAAACAAAAAATACTGCCACAACGCCGATCAACGCCATCACTCTTACTCCTGGCTACTGTGTCAGTACCTTAGTACACACTGTTGTTGTCCATTTCAGAGACTGCTTGTATGGGAGATTTTAGAAGAAGGCCGATATAATCTGAAATTCGTTTTTTTGCTGCTATTAGACCAATATCAATATCGTATCAAGACACTTCTAGTTCTACCCTTCTAAAACCCCAGCTGTAATGTGTGAGATCTGCTTCCATTCAGAGCAAAAATCCAAGATCACAGATTGGATCTTGATCAGACTACCTCATGGTAAATCCTCTAGTTTTATAAATCTGCTCTTGGTTGTGATGCTCTTGATAACTTCCAAAAAAAAAACTTTGGAAGAATCATGGGTGTCCATTTCCAAATGAATCTCCATGGCAGAAAAGCTCCCCATGAGCCAAACAGCTCTGTTTGCAGTGCCAGGTTTGAACTGGAGTCATGTAAAGCCTGGTAGAGTTGGCCTGTCGAGAAGAGAAAACACTCTCTCAGGTTATCAATCCAGCCTCACCAGCTGGCGGTCTGACACACAGATCAGAGTGTGAACCGCAGATGCCAGGAAAACATGACTGGAATGAAAGAATAGTTGCCAAATGCAAATCAGTCATTGTCGACAGAAAGAGCTTGTCCCTGTAGCTCAGTGGAAGACAAGTCTGAAGTGCCACAACACGCAGTGACACACAATGTGATCCTGTGCTAATGTCTGTGTGATAACTGCCCCAGTGAGTTACAAAGCCTGATCCGGGCAGGAATCCAGTCTGGTCCAAATCTTCACTGCTGTGTGCAGAGTTATCAAGACTTAACTATGAATCGCACAGATGATCAGACAAAAAATACAGAATAACAGAGCAATGTCAAAGCGACTTGGTGAAGATGAAATCTAAAAAACAGCAGCCGACGTCTTCAACAGCTGAAATCAGAAAGACACATCTGTTACTAACATTTTCTCTTACTTTTTTACTTTTGTTTTTAAAAAGGAAATGTAGTCCACCTCACTTAATAAATATTTCGAGTTTGCTCTGATTATTTATCTGTCCTTTCAGCTGGATTATGCAGAAGATGCCACAGAGAAGAGAAGAGTGCTTGAGGTGGAGAAGGAGGACACAGAAGAACTGCGGCAGAAATACAAGGTGAGGCTTAGATGTGTCAGTCTCTTCTATTCTGTACTGCTGTGTTTCTGTGGGCTTAACCCAGAGATAAGCGCTCTATTAGACAGAACAAAGTATTCCATAAAGTTACTTCAGTGCTTTTTAGAACAGTCTCGGCTTCCCTCACTCACTCCCTCCTGTATTTATCGTCTCTCTTAGGACCAGATGGAAAAGGAGAAAGCTATTGCAAAGGCTCTCGAAGACCTGAGAGCAAATTTCTACTGTGAGCTGTGCGACAAACAGTACACCAAACACCAGGAGTTCGACAACCACATTAACTCCTATGACCATGCTCACAAACAGGTACTTGTGTTAATTACTATTCTATCGGCTCTTTCGATTGAGTTCTAAAAAATACATGTATTTTTTTTCCACATGAGAAAAGATCCTGATGTCGTGTGTTTTTCTGTTCTGCAGCGGCTGAAAGAGCTGAAGCAAAGAGAGTTTGCCCGAAATGTTTCATCCCGTTCACGGAAAGGTGGGAAGAAGCAAGAAAAGATGCTCCGCCGATTGCATGAGCTTGCTGAGCAGAGGAAACAACAGGACCGGTATGGCTCTTTTTCCCGGGTGCCCTCTGCTGGCCGGTTTGGTACCTGTGGCTAGAACATTGGAGCAACGTTTTTAGTCAAACAAAGCCTACTTTATAAATCAGAATGTCATTTTCATAATTTAGTCTGGCTGAAGGTTAAAGCATGTTTCAGTATTATGTATTTTCTTAGTCTTTCGGTGTCTGCAGAAGGGAGATAATTATGACTCTCTCAGTTACTCTCTGTTGATAGCATGACTCTCATATGGTATGCAAGCTTTAAAAATCTACTCATATCAGATAATTGTTTTACCTGTGTGTTTCAGCACTCCAGGAAGTGGGCCCATGTTCAAAACCACCACAGTTGCAGTGGATGGAGAAAAGGCTGAAGACAGTGAAATCCTGATACCTGAGAACCCTGTCCTGACTGACAGTGTCCCAGAAGGATCACTGGTAGACAGAAGTGAACAAGCCTCCCCAAAGCCAGCGTCAACCATCAGCTTCTCTTTGGGCAAGAACAGCGCCTCCTCTCCGACCTCCAGTGCTGCATCCAAAGTCAGCGTGTCCTTCTCGTTTGCTAAAAAAGCCCCGGTAAAGCTGGAGACAGCAGCAGCGGTGTTTGCTGATCACGGAGAGGAGGCAATGGAGGAAGAGGAGGGCCAAGAGGGGGAAAAGGCTGCAGGACAGGAGGAGATATCCGGCTGTAGTACAGACAGCCCTAGAGGTGGATCAGCAGGAGGGGGAGGAGATGGAGGAGGCGGAGGAGGAGGCGGTGGAGGAGGAGGAGGAGGAGGTGGAGGAGGTGAAGTCAGTAGTGTGGCAGCTACAGAAGAGGTGCAGCCAGCTGATGATGGAGGCTCTCTCGCCTCCACTCTTAACAAACTAAAGATGATGATGAAAAAAGAGGAAGGATACGCTGGACAGGAGCCTCAGTACTATCACTATATACCTCCAGCCCATTGCCGGGTGAAACCTCACTTCCAGTTTCTGCTTTTTATGAAGGCCACAGATCAGTGTCAGAGCAAAGAAGAGGAAGATGAGGAAGACAGGGCAGAGGAGAAAAAGGACGAGGACTGCCCAGAACAGACAGAATCCTGTGACACGGAGTGCAAGTCCGAACAAGAACAAGAACAAGAACAGGTGACCTCAACCCCTGACCCAGAGCCAGCTCCTCCGTCCCTCAGAGTTAAGACAGAGGATTTGTCCTTATGCGCAGCAGACACATCTTCAACTCAACCCAGCTCCCCTGCACAGAAAGCAGAAAGCACACAGGATACTGAGGAGTCAAGCTCTGGTCCAAAAGTACCCACAGGTCCCTTCTTCCCTGTTTTGAGCAAAGATGAGAGCACCACCCTGCAGTGGCCCTCTGAGCTCCTTGAATTCACAAAAGCGCAACCATCTCTGTCTTACAGCTGCAACCCCCTCTACTTTGATTTCAAACTGTCCCGCAACAAAGGAGCTCGTGGTGGAAAAGCAGCCAAGTCCCCCAAGCCAAGTGAAGAGTCAGAGGACAAGGGCCATGAGACAGCCACTTCAACGACAGATGTAGATTCAACCAAAACTGGGACCGCCACTGACAAAGAGAAATCAGCGACAAAGGGAGAGCCCGGCCAATCAGAGGGTGAAGAGCAAAAACCTGCTACAAGCAGCACTAATACCAAGAAAAAGAAGAAGAAGAAGAAGCATAAGAAGTCTGCAAAGCACTCAAAACGCAAAGGAAAAGAAAAAGGTGCGAAAGAAGAAGCAGAGGGAGAGACAGAGGTAACCCAGGAGAAGCCGAAAAAGAAGAAAAAACACAAACGGAAGAAGAGTAAAAACAAGGCACCGGACCAAGATGAAGCAACAGGCGATGAAAAGGAAAAATCCAAACCTAAGACAGATGACAAAGCTGTTGTCTCGGTTCAGCTCCCAACTGGAGAGGCGGGATCAACGGAAAATACAGGGGTAGAAACAGGAAAGAGGAAGCGTGCTGCTAAGGAAGTGCCTTGCAAGTCTGGAGCCGAGGAAGGAGGAGCCGGTAAAGGCACAGAGAAGGCCAACTCATCAGAGGAGCACAGTGGTACCAAGAGGCAAAAGACTGACTCCAGTGCACCTCAAAGTGCCTCCTGCTCAACCTCAGCTCAGAAGAGTCCCGGTCCTGGGAGACCTCCAAGCAGTGAAAGTGAAGAAGAAGGGGGCTCCAATACTCAGCGCTCGCGTCATCACAGGTCTAGTCCTCGGGAACAACGCCGACATCATAGCGAGGAATCAGGGCGATCCTGTAGCCGTTCCTCGAGACGTGGGGAAAGAAGGGGCAGCAGTCGCGGGCGCCATCGTGGCCAAAACTCCCGCAGTCACTCGTACTCCAGCAGCTCTGAGCGGTCCTCAGCAGGCAGCAGCGCCTACAGCCACCGCAGTCGCAGCTACTCTGATAGCTACAGCGACTACAGCACAGAGGGTCGAAGACGCAGGCACTCAAAACGGTCATCGGACTCTGAGTATGAAAGGAGGGGAAGTCGAGGACGCAGAAGATCCAGAAGACATAAGTACTCCTCTTCCTCTTCGGAAGACTCTCGCTCACGCTCACGCAGCTACAGTCGCAGGAAGAGGCACCGCCGGCACCATCGGAGCAGTTCCCGAAGTTCCAGCAGTTGGAGCCGTAGTACCAGTGCTAGGTCCTGGAGGCGCAGTTACAGTCGAAGCCGCAGCTCGGGCAGCCGCTCCTCCAGCTCCACCAAAGCCTCTCCACGTCGACGAGGCCCCCGAAGTCGAGCAGACAGCGACAGTCACCGCAGAGACTTCAACCGCTCTCACATCTATCGCTCTCAATCCCCACGCTCCTCTACATCACGAGGCCTTAACCGCAACACGCATTCGTCAAGCTCACAAGGTCTGAGGCTGGGGGCATCACGAGACGCGGGGGAACAGAAAAACAGCCTTACCGCTCGCCAACTGCTGGAGAAGGTTCAGTCTAAGAAAAGCTCTGATGATTCTACCACAGGGACAAAATCTGGGCTTAAGATCAAGGACCCTCCACAGGGTTACTTTGGTCCCAAACTTCCCCCCACCCTGGGAAGCAAAGCAATGCTGCCGCTTTTTGGGAAGCTGCAGGCAGGAAAAAAGCCAGTGATCCCCCTAACCAGACCCGATGACGGAGAGAAGTCAGGAGCAGGAAAAAGTTCAGAGGCTGAGCAAGAGGTCATCCTGGTGGAGCCCATACGGGAGTTCCCCCCTCCACCACCTCCTCCAGCCCCTCCTGTACAGAAGGTTGAGGAAGCACCACAGACCACAGTGGTGCAGGAGGAAACCCAGCACCCTGCTGCTGAACCCCAGGTACATCCAGAACCCAGACCTTTGTTTGAACAGGAGCCTTCCATGATGATTCCTCAGTACCAAGGAGAACCGGGACAAGACCCATCCCAAAACCCGATGATGGAGTCCCTCTTGCCAGAAATGCAACAGCAGCAGCCGCCAATGCACGCCTACCCTGCTTACCCACCACCCAACCTGGAGGAGGACGGCATGGAGGCAGAAGAAGATGGACTGGCTCCTTTGGAGAGTCAGCCCATAACTTTCACCCCAGAGGAGATGGAGAAGTACAGCAAGCTGCAGCAGGCTGCACAGCAGCACATCCAGCAACAGCTTCTGGCCAAACAGGTCAAGACGTTCCCCTCTGCAGCTGCTGCTGCAGCTGCTGCAGCCGCAGCTGCAAACTTGGCACCTGCTCCCCCCCCACCTGCCCTGCAGCAGATCCACATCCAGCAACCCACCGTGTCTGTGGCCTCCGGCACATCCATCACCACAGTGCAACACGCCATCCTACAGCACCATGCTGCTACTGCTGCAGCAATGGGCATCCACCCAGCTCACCCCCATCACCCACACCCTGCACATGCCCAACTGGCCCAGGTACACCATATTCCCCAGCACCATCTCACCCCCATTTCCTTGTCTCCTTTAGGCCATTCCCTAGGTCATTCTCTGGGACACTCATTAGGACATGCTGGGTTGATTCCTGCCCACCCTACTGCCTTCCTCTCCGGCCAGCCTATACATATAATCCCAGCTTCTGCACTTCACCACACCCCTCTCGCCCTGCACCACGTACCTCACGCTGCCCTCTACCCCACACTGTTCACGCCCCGGCCCTCTCAGGCTGCTGCTGCAGCAGCCCTCCAACTCCACCCACTGCTTCACCCAATCTTCTCAGGGCAGGACCTCCAGCACCCGCCTAACCATGGCTCTTGAGTAATGTCAGAAGTGAGAAGGAGTGTACTCATGTCGCCCAGTCACTGGAGAAAAGATTTATCCAAAACCACTTTGGTTTTTGGATGGAAGATGAAGTCTGTGACATTACACAAGCAGTGAGACAGGAAGCTGTCAATAAACCACCGTGTTACTGACCTCCACAGCGCAGCAAGTTGTAGCCACAAAGTGGTGCTGCCTGTTTTGAGTCAGAAATGACACAAACTGTTTTTTTCTGGCTCATGTAAGATTTTTTTTTTCATATTCTTCCCTGAATTTTTATAACAGGGTGTTGATTAAAAGAGACTCCATCAAGAGACTGGTTTATATTCCAGTTTAGGGTGTATTTACACCAACCACTTGTTTTTGATTAAGTCAGAGTAACCACTGGATTTTTTTCCCCACATGCAGTTGTTGCTCTTTTTTTAAAGCTAAAGAGAGACGCACTGGCTGAATCTAAAAAGCAGAGTCATGTTAGGGTGATGATGTGTTTTAGTCGTGGGGACACACTGCTTGGATTCTGTTACCTTCAGAGAGGAACTGTTTAACAATAACTGATCATCTGTTTTTGTGCGCATTATGACTACTCACTCTATTGGACTCATGGTCTCAAATTCTTTGTAATGCAGTAACTTGTACATATATCAGTGTGTAATGTGAAGAAGCCCACCGATGGTGATCATTTCAATTTACAGCCATGGTGTCCAAATTTGTACGACATGGGGTTCTGTGATGTGGGGGTTTTATCATCCCCGATGCTTTGAGGCAAACTTGTGTCCACTGGGGTTTGGGGACACCTGAATGAATTGCACTGAAATATGTACATCAAAGTGGTGCGTGTGCATCCTGTAACAATATGATTGTAGTATACTGCAATAATAGTATTTTTCTGTTTTTAAATTATTTTCTAAAATGCTCACAGAAAGAAGAGCTGTGTTTTGCTTTTGTGTAATTTTGTAAATAAAACTGCTGTAGATTAACCTATTAACACTCTAGAGGTTGAGACTGGCGTTGGGATGAATTGAACGACGAGGTGGACGGACACGTGCGTGTATTTTATGAAGGTTGTTTCCAATTGAACTTGGCTTACAGGGGCTGAATTGACAGAAGAATAATGATCAGTCAAACAGTAGCAACTCTGTATTTTCTAAAAAACTTTCTGTCTCAGCAAATAAAATATTGAGTTCATGTGTCTTTTCTCCTCTGTATTGTTGATTTAAATCACAGAAATCCCTCTGAAAGCCTGTGCGGCAGTGAAACACTAGGTGGAGCCCTAATTTCAGAAAACAGCTGGGTCAAAGCAGCGAATTCATAAAAAACACAAGTAGGAGCTCTGGGTTCCAGCTGCTCAGGAAGGTGTTGTGTAAAGTTTCCAGACCAGTCACAGTGATGTACTAAGGAAATGAAACATGTTTAATTATGTTGAGAACAATCACTCACATAGTGAGACTACACAGGAGCATAAGTTCAAGAGAAGCTAACAGTTTCAGAATCAATGCATCTGTTTTCTTGAGATTTTCACATCCACTCAGTTTATCATCTCAGAAAGACGTTTCAAAACAGGTCATCTCCAACTGCGACATAGAAACATTGAGGGATGTGATTCTGTGCTTTATGAGATGGAATTACACAGAGCATTACTAACAGATTCAGTAAAAGGAATTTAGTAGAGGTTAGAGTCAGTTCATTGAAGAGATCACTTTGATGAAACATTAAAAGCCATTCAGGCTTCTGGAGTTCTTGATAGATTCAATGTGGTTTAGATAAACAGATCAGGCCTCAGGTGTGCAACAGTAATCTGAGGGGAGCAGCAAACTTATTTGAAAGAAAAACAAAATACTGTATTAAATCCGGGTCTTCAACCATACCATTTTTTGGTGCCTAAAATGATAAACAAAAGTAGTTGAGAGCAAGTGGTCATGGCACAGCTTGTCAAAAGATTTCCTCAATCAAATGTTGAAATCCGTTCTGCCATTGTTTCATATCATGAGGGATGAAGAAATGTCCACGGCTGATCATTAAGTGTCTTTGGGGATTCAGTGGATGGAGGTCAACCCAGGTATCTGATCACTAAGAACATGAAGATGCAGGTCAACAGCATGCCCCCAATCATGATGAATTTATCCTCAGTGGCTCGCCTCTCTATCAGCCTCATCACGGTGTTGGACAGCCCTAACATGTTGGCCACATTCAGCATCTTCTTATGGACGTCCTGTGAACAGTTGAAACACACACAGCTTTGAATTAGACCACAACAACCATAAATAGTGCTTCAGGGAAATGCAGCTGTCTCATCACGACGTAATTATCAACAGTAATTTATCTGATTTCCGGAGTGCCAACACCCATTCTGACGCGCCACTCCGTCAGACTTGTCTCACGGCGAGACAACCGGGCAACAGACACACCCTGATAAGAGGAGGCCTGCAGCAAAACCAGGAAGACCTTCTCCACCCTGGAAACACAGACTAGCCCTCCAGCTGTGCACTAGGCACTGACAATGAGACTATTGTGGACACTTTAAAAATGTGTCATGGAACATCACCATTTAAGGACTGTGCTGGCTGTCTTCAAAACAATAAACCAATCAAAATCTCAGATAACTGAACGTACCACTAATATATTATTAAAATCAATTCCATGCACACCTTCAGCCATGATCTCTGATCTTTGAGACCATCCAGGATGCTCCTTCCACTGCCCAGGATGTCGTCAACTTGCGAATGTGCATTTTGCAGGCCGGCGTTAAACCTTAGGGTCTCGTCTATGGGGATGGAGGTATCTGCATCCTTTTGAAAAAGAACAATCATTTATTTGAATTCATTATTAGGCCATTTTGTTGGTTACACTGTAAATATAACTATGTTACACTAGACTTACATTGGTGGTGAAGGTCCTGCTCATGAGCTCTTCTCTCTCTCTCTCCTGGGCTTCCCTGGCGTAGCGTCGCTGCTGGAAGTTGTGTAAGGCTGTGCGAATGTGTTGGACGTCATATTTGAGCTGGTCCACTCGTCTAAGGGAATACAAAGGATGATTTAATACACTGTGACTGGCTGTTTTAGACAATATATCTGTACCTGGAGTGTGCTGTTTCTCCAGTTAAGAGTTTTTGTGATGGTGGGACTTCTAAAGGAAATGTTTTCACAGTACTATGTCCTCTTCTACACCCTTCCTCAACTAAATATGATTTTGCGCACCTCTGCAGCTTTGAGGGTGTCTTATCACCTTCAGTTTAATCACTCCATACTCACAGTTTGGCTTTCTGGCGGCGGTTTGGCAGTTCTTTGTTGGCCAGGATCTCAAGACGTTCTAGGTGATTGAAGATCTGATCGATTCTGGCCTGCAGCTCGTTCTCTAACACTAGAGTGAGGAGGGAAAAGAAAGATTACAGACTACAAAAACAGACAAGGAAGGATTAATCCCTAATGAAAGGGGTCTTCTGCTGTGGTCCCACCAGCATGTGACAAGAAGCCCTCCCTGCTCCTGTCACTGCGCACCCAACCCTCTTCTTCCTGTTCTGGCCAACAGCTGATTGGGCTGGCACCAAGTATCAAAAACAATGAGCCGTGGGGACACCAAGCCCCTCCTTTATTTCACTGCCGTCAAAACAAGGGGCCCAGACTCAAATCAAGATCATACAGTAGGGGAGAGTGGGGTAAGATGAGCCATTTTTCATATTTCAGATCACTACATCAAGGCAATCATAGTTTTGTCCCTAACTAGTGTATCTAGGGATGGGAATTTATATGATTTTATCGATATCCATGCCATTATCGATTCGCTTATCAATTCAAACTTTGATTCCCTTATTAATGCCTCTCTTTGATTTAAAAAAAGTAGACTATAGGTTTTCAATGTTGACTCAAAATTTTATTGAGTCTTTGATAACAGAAAAAGATGTATGCCACCTTGGATGAGAGTCTAAAAGTAATCAAACGAAAAACTATTTGTACAGCATTTACTTGGTCCGTATTAAGTCAAATTAGGGTGACCATACTCTGGATCCCCAAAAAGAGGACACAGCTTGGAGTTGTGTGCAAAATTTTTAGGGTTTTTCTGGTCGGGTCGAGTGTTTTTTTACATGCGTCAAACTCAGGTAGTCCACGCTACACAAACTCAAAACTTCCATAAAAAATTCCTTGTTGTCTTTCTTAGTAAAATGAAGCCACGCTTTAGATCGTTTCTGCCTACTTTTCGTACCATCTGCCATGTTTTTTTCCTCAAACTCTCTGTTCTTGTCCGCATAGACTGCCTCTCACAAGACCGTTTTCCAAAGCCACTAGAAGAAAGGAATCGTCAAGGGAATCATTAAAATGAAAAGTAAACGATGTCGATTGATTGAACCGGTTCCCGATTCCCATCCTTAAGTGTATCTGCATATATTTCAAGATGTTGTGCATCCCTGCAAACCAACAGAATGAGTGTAAACAGAACTGTCTTGATAATATAGCATGCCAAAAAAAAAGGTGGTCTCCTATGGTCATATGAAGGGGGTAAATTGAGTCATCCCTACTACTCCCACACTCTCCACCCCAGCCCTCCCTTCCCCTTCTCTCTCCCTAAATAACAGTCACTTCTTCACATTCATGTGTATTTTTATCTATTATACGCTTTTCAACTAGTACAATAATTATTTTTTGTTATTATTATTATTGCATATAACTGCTTAAAAGCTGTTTTGTCAAGAGTGAAAAATGATTTTTTGAAAGTAAATGTCTAACTCCTTCACCCATGTGCTTCTAACCTCACAGACTCCATGAATTGATGCCCATCTCCTTAACATTTGGTTATATGTCATCAATTTCTTTTACCATTTTCAAGCAACAGGGGGTGGCTCAACTTACCCCACTCCCCCCTATATAATGGAAATGGACAAGAGGTGGTGCACTCAAACTCAAAGCAAAAGGAGAGCAGAATATGACAGTCACATAAAATAACAATGTCCAAATCACTACTTACAGTGTATTGACTCTCGATCCGTCCTCTCCAGACCCCCCATAAGACTGTGAACCTCCTGGATCTGCCTGTAGCGGACAAAGTACAGCTTTAAGAGGGGTTCGAGGACATATGGTCCCGACTGTTAGGTCATCTCTTAAAACCACAACTAACTCTATTTAATACTTATTTGAGAATATACATAAGGAAAAATCTGAATGTGTTTTGAATGGTTTGCTACAATAACAGCTACAGTTAGTTTGATGGTAATTAGCTTAAACAGCTGCACCAGTATGTTTCTTCAATCACAGTCACACTCACTTGTTTGTCTGATGGTAAAGCGCCTCCATCTTCTTTGTTATGCCGAATCTCTTTATTATTATTATACTTTCCTCCACAGGTTTCTTTAGCTGGATCACCTTACCTCTCTGACAGGTAGCTAGGCTAGCTAAACTAGCTGACGCTGTTCGGGTGTACACGTCATCGCCAGAGCGTTTGTGTACGTGAACAACAAAGCGGAAGTTGCGCTGCGTCATCAGAGAGAGGGGGAAAACGAAGAGCGCTCACTCCGTGTCGAATTTAAGAGTAAGGATCTTCTCTATTGGCTTTATTTGGCATTAAATTTCATAATGAGTTCACACATTCAGTTCTGTACTCATAGTATTGTAAAGGATACGTTTAAAGGTAAAGAAAGTAGCTTTGGTGGCCTCACGCATATTGAAGACCACTGTTTAGTTTCAGAAGATGCGCCACCCAGTGTCTCAATTTGTCAACAGCACAAAGCCTAAGTTGGTTTGACATCAAATTCAAAACCCCAACACTTACAACACTTTTTAAATTCATGTTTGTGAGTTGTAACAGGACACTAACAGTCATGCAGACACAGATTCGTGTGTGGTTGCTCACAGGCAGCCAACCCTATAATAAGGCTACACACCTGCTGCTAAAACCCCCAAATTTAAATCAAAGCTGTTGAGTGTTAAATATAATAGGTGTTCTCTTTGCCATAAAGGCTATCAGGTGTGATAGTTGAGATCCTTTCCCCTACTAGGTTGAGCTTTCAGGGCGTAATCTGTTGACATGTCGACATGTGACAGGAAAGGCTCTGTGAAACATGTCCTAGGGCTAGTTTTTGTCAGCTTGCTCTGATTCAGTCAAATTAGACTATCCTCTTTTTTTTCTAAAGATAGGTGTCAGAATATCCTTCTCTGTCCATCCACTTGCTTTCTTCTCGCCTGCGGTCAGACACACGAAAAACCAAAGATATCAAACTTTTCATTGTGAGGTGAGATCACTGCAAAGAGAGGAGAGGATGTCTGAGGATGCAGACAGGCTGTTTGTGTAGCTTCCCCTCACAGATTAGTTTGACACTGAGTGCTGTGTGAATGTAGCATGATTGGATTTCCCAGAAGTAGCTGTGAATATTTCACAATCATTCCCCTGTGATTATTGGGAGGACAATCCTCCTGAGGCGCTACCTGGCAGGCTGGCACCTTAACAAAACCGCATCTCAATCACCCTGTTGCAACCCTGCGCCATATGGTCTGAGCTATCTGCTGGAACTGGAACGTGAAAATCAATAAGCAAGTGATGCAAATGTATTCACCTTGAACCTGATTAGTGCGGTGAACTGTTAGACGCTCCTGTATGCTGGTGGTAGCTGTGTTTGTTTACCTCACTCACTCAGCACAGCGGTGTGGAAAGCAGTCCAGACAGTTCTCCACAGCTGCCTGATGCTACTTGAGTTGATGGTTGTATCTTCAGGCAAGACACTTCTCAACGGAGGTCCTGTTTTCAGCCACCCCCACATGTCAGCTACCTTGAGATCTGTTCATGCCACTTCTTGCTCTCACTGTTCTCCATTTTTGGTTGTCATAACACATTCCAAGGAGAAGCACAGTTTTAACCTGTTGCTTGGAATGGAGAAGAAGTAAGAGAAACAGGACCCCGCAAACCATCTAAGGACCCCCCCTCCTTCCCGCACACACATAAACACACACACTTCTCTTTCTTCATCTCTCAAGGTCGTGGGGTTCCTTCTGTCTGTCCTTTATCTTTCAGCCCTGAGGAAGGGATGAGATGAGCTTACTGGTTTCCCTCCACACCTGAGCACCACGGGCACAAACTTGAATCCTTTCTCCAGGTGTGGAGCACAATCACACCAGTCAGACTGACCAAGAAGTCACATGCGGTTGCACCAAAGCAATGCTGATGTCCAAATGTCACTACTGGAGTTTCATGCACATTCCTTCAAGCTTTGTTTTAGCCCCATCTAAGAGGTTGTATAATCAGGTACTTTGTTTTTGGTACAGGGATGCAATGTTTTTGTAGATATTTGCTGCTTGTTTGTGGAGAGCTCTCATTTATGAATAAAAATCCTTGGTTCCAAACATTTGTTTAGTTAAGACACACACACCATCAGCATCAGATGACTACAAACCGAATTTGCTTTATTAAAATAAACCATCAGGCATAAAAGCCCCATTCAGAATAAGATAAGATATTTCTTTAATAGTCCAACATAATATGAATGCTGAAAATTACAGCATAGCCCTTTTTTCATCAATAATGTGTAAATACAAACCTATAAACACTATCTGAATGTGTTGGGAGTGGGCTTTGGAAGTTTTAAAAATACTACCTAATACAAATTAATAGATACTTTATTAATCTTGCATATAAAATTCACTTCAAGATTAAGTTGGGCAGCATTCAGCATAAAATACATTTATCTACGCATGCATCAGGATTCATATAAATGTAATTGGCTGAAAAATTAACTGTGTATATGTATACTAGCTAATTACTGCCTTTATTTTGGAATATTATTTACAACAAATTACACAACTTCGAGTAAAAGCACACCAGCGTTTTCCCCCAAGTTTCTTTGTTTGGATTAAGCTTACTGGTATTAAGTCACAGACGCTCTTATTAAAAGGTAAAAAGGACACAAAGTGGCACAGGTAAATGCGTATCTTCCATCTTCATGTGTATTCATGTGCACATCTGGATCCAGACGCTCCAACGCTCTTCTACTTTGCTGTATGTGTGTGGTCACCTCGCTGAATTCTCATAGAATGCCATTTCCTGATGCCGGGCTTTGGGTCTTTGGGGCTCCAGCTGGAACCAAACACAATTTAGCCCAGGATCAGTCTCCTGCCCTGGTTAGACAACATGGCAGCAGGGTTATTGTTTGGTGGGCAGGAAGAAAGCACTCAGTGTACTCTGTGACTGCCCGCCACACATTAAAGTGTTTAGTTTGAGAAAATTATAAGGTACTAAATCACCTAAACACAATGCTTTTATTGATGTATTTCAAGCTGTGTAATACATCATAACGCTCAGATGATTGCCCAAGACAGACAGAGTGAAGAAGCCAATTACGAGGAGCAAAATTGCCTTGGGTCAACAGTTTTTGGATGCCAGTCATTTTTTGAAGGCATGCTGATCTTCTCGCTCCCCCCCAAGGGAGATGATCCACTCGTCTTTGAAGCCGTGATGAGACGCTGAATGAAAGCAAATGAGGGCCTGTCAGAGATGACAGGAGAAACTCATAAGCTCCCAGGGTCTCTTGCTGGGAAAGGGGATTCAGAGGGGGGGCAGACGGGTGGACAGTGGCAGCACAAGGTAAGCTTTTTTATGAAGTTGTGGCTGCCAACATGTTATGTGGTTAAGTAAATTAAACCACAAAAAAGAGACCCAGAAGACTACAGAAAGATGGTGCAAAGAAATCAAAGACAGAGACCCAAAGAAACAAAGGGACTCAAAATTACAGCAAAGGCCACTGAGGTGCAAAATAACTTAAGATCAAAAACTAACAAAGTGAAATAACATTACAATGGGGACATTTAAGCATATAAAAGGTGTGCAAACAAACAAAAATAGACCCAAATTGGCTAGATTTCAACACATTAAAAGAAATACAACCACCACAAAAGGCCAACAAAGGGATGCAATATGATTGCAAAAAGATGCTTAATTACCTCAAAGTGACATAAACTAACCCAATGGAGATTTGACATGAGATGCAAAATGGTTGTAGGGAGATTCAAAACCACTACAAAGGGAGGCTGTTCACAGAAGTCAAATGACCGCAGAGAGAAGGAGTCAAAATGGCTCCAAAACTGACTACAGTGGGCTGCAAAATGGCAATAAAGAGACAAAGGATACAAGAGGAAAAAGTGCTGATACGTAGTGATGCAAAGTGAGTAAAAGACAGAAAAAAGAACACAGAAGATCAAGAATAAACATAACAGTCAGAAAACAAAATAAAGAGAAGCAAAGAAACCACAAAAAAGGCACTAAATAAGCAAGCAGAGATTTTAATAACCAGAGAGACAACAATCTGATCTAGTTTTTTATTAATGCTGTTTGACCAGGAAAAGATGCAGAAATAAAACAGGGTTCCTACGCAAGTACGGAAAAGTATGGAAGTAATTTGAGCAATTTCCAGGTCTTAAAAAGTATGGAAAATGAAAAATAAAGTATGAAAAAATATTTATGTTAACAGACCATATTACCACAGTTGTAAAATGCTATTTTCTAAAATAGAGAAGAAGGTATTTCCCAAAATAATTCTATAAAGTAGGGTCTGGAAAAGTATGGAAACTCCAACTGAGTAGGAACCCTGATAAAAAAAAACTGCGGCTCAACATGTCCAAAGACAAAAATGACCACACCCGGATGCAAAACCTCAACACAGATGAATTCAGAAGACAAAATAACGGAAAACAACATTGAGAGAAGTGAATTCCAAAGTTTTAAGTTGTGTTAATGGAACCTGAGCTGCACTATAGTCTCAATTTCTTTGACTCTCAACCTGCCCTGGAGAAGTGTTTAGCTCTACTTTTATCGCTCCAGTGTGGAGGAATGGCTTCTTTTTCTGTGAGAGACTCTAATCAGCCTCATTGTTTCCCTCTGTAGTTTTCCCTTCCTACTTTATTTAGTCTGACCGCACAGGGTAGAGAGCGATCATACAGCTGTCAGACACTCACGCACAGCCCTGCGGCCATACCACCTGTGACAGCCAGACCTCTGAGGATGAGAGATGCTGTCCACCGCTGGGGCTGGATGACGCCTCTGCCAGTATGGGAACTCAGCAAACAGCAACATGGCACGAAGGACTGCACTGTGCTTCCTCTGCCTGACAGCTTTCTACCCACGGTCATGCACCCACCCTCAACCGCACTGTCATGATTAAGATGTATTTGCGATGACACACCATTGTGTTTCTGAATCCTTTCATGATGGTGATGATTGAATAAGTAGGAGCACTTATGGTTATAAATCCAACAGAATGCATGATTGAGTAACCGGGGATATTAGAAATAATCACAGACGACATTCCAGACGTATTTCTTTGAGTTGTTGCTGCTGAACAGAACACAAAGCTCTGATTTTATCTGTTTTTCCACCATTGTTTATCTGGGAAAGTTTTGTTTGGATGTAACGGAGGTCAACCTGTTGGTGTGCCTGCATGTGTGTGTGTGTGCGGCAGAGGAGTGCCATACATTGACAAAGGGGAGTCAGTTATGAAGGTGCATGAGGTCTTATCACCTCCTATCACAGAGGCTACAGCATAAACCCTGCTGTTAGCGCTGCAGGTGTCTCTGTCAGGCAGCATGGGAACTGCCTCCTCCAGGAGATTCCCAGTGAAGAGGGCACTCACTGCGGACTGGGGAAGAGGGAAACCATTGTACTTTACATTCGCAAGGAATCATGTGTGAAATAAACTCTAACGACAGACATGCTAATACTAAACAGGACTCTCCACGCTCAGCTAACATACCCACTCAAGGTGCCAGTCGTTTTGCAGGAACATGCAACTAAAAAAAAAGACTTCTTATCAGCATATGCCACATTTTGCCTGTGGCTCCCTCAGATTTGCTTGGTATATTCGAATAAGCTTTTACAGCTTTGATAGATACACAGTTGCATGTTCACAGCCATGACAACAGGTTTGTGGGGCTGTAATCAGCACAACATTGTTTAAAGGGATATTCTGGCGTAAAATTAATTTAGCGTCAAACACACCGTAACACAGAGTTAGACACCTCCTCGAGAGATGAATGTTGCTGACTGCTTGCTTCTTTAGTTATACCAACTTTAGTAATAACCGCACGATAGCAATACACAGTGGTCCATGACTCCACGCATAGGCCTCAACCAAGAAGCCACTCTATAGCCACAGATAATGCTCAGAACAGCACCTAACTTCATCAACAGCACATTTAAGGTCCCGGCCATAGCACTAGCCATCAAACATCTTATTAACTTTGCCTGATTTCTTTAGCAAAGAGACTAAACACAACTCACCTACTCTCTTCCAGCAGCCACTCGTTTGTAGTGAGACCTCGGGCCAATCCATTATTGACTGCTACGGGGGTGACGGAGCTCAAGGAAGAACATTTATGATCATTTATTTATCATTTCCTTGAAGTAATAATCATCATATTAATCATTTTGCACTGCAGACGTGGTAGTTCTTCTGCCTCAGCGTCTCGGTCTGATTGCATTTCCATGAAGAAATTTCCTAAAGGAATTAGGCAAAGTTAAAAAGATGGTTGATGGCTGGTGCAATGGTTGAGACCCTATATGTACTGTTGATGAAGTTAGGTGCTGTTCTGAGCATTATTTGTGGCTATAGTGTGGCTCTTTGGTTGAGGTGTGTGTGGTTCCATAGACCGCTGTATATTGCCATCGTGCGGTCGTTACTAAAGTTGTTAATCTAGAGAAGCAAGCGGTCAGCAAGATTCATCTCTCGAGGGGGTGTCTAACTCGGTGTTACAGTGTGTTTGATCCTAAATTAATTTTACGCCAGAATATCCCTTTAAGCTTGTGTGTTAGCATGCTTATAATAATAAAGTTAATGTTTAGCAGGTATAATGACAGCTTATTTTAGTTTAGGTCCCGTTAGATGTCAGCACGCAAACATATGCTAATTTGCAGCAAAGGTAAGGCAATGAAGGCTAAAAGGGATGTTGCTAATCTTGCAGTTTGTCCGATATGAATAAAGTGGAGGATGATAATCACATTGAACTTTGATTTCCTCTGCTTGTTGAAACAGAACTTGTATAGACAGTCATTTTACGGTACATGAAATTGGCTCCCTCAGTCCTATAAATGTGTTTAATTATCCGACTGTTCTACTGCTACTATTTCTACACTCATGTTTGTTCCTTCTGTCCACAGGTGTAAATCCATCATTTCAGCCTTGCTGCTCACTTAATTGACCCCTCACACACGTTTACACTCTCCCTACACCCAAGCGTCTCGTCGCCCACCATGACCGCTCAGCCACTGTCCCAGTCCACCCCAACCCCAGAGGTCGGCCCCCCCATAAAGGTATGCACTCAGCCTTGTCGTAGCTCTAGGCAGTGCATGTTCTTGTTGTGGGTTGAGCAACGGCATTAGTCATTTCACATTCCAAATTCCTAACCCATGCTGTATTCACAACTCTCTGTCACTCTCTATCCTAACCCCCTATTTCTGCACCAAATCCACCTCTGTCCTCCTCCTCCTCCTCTTCATCATCATTTGATTTTCTCAGAGAGTAAGGATTAGGCCCGGCTCTGATGTGATCTGAGAGCGACATCTCTGCAGAGGCAGGAGTCTTGTAGGGTTGAGATGTTTGACCTGAGGCACATATAGGTTCCGATTATTGAACGGTTTGTGTCCTTGAGCAAAGAAACCACCAAGCCTTTAACGCTTCAGTTAACATCTACTGTTCTTACAAATGAGTGATGTATAAACCTGAAGGCTATGAAAGTTACTTTGAATAATTTTTTTTTTGCCTAGCAACTCAAATATCATACATATTTTAGACAATCCCTCGACCCCGGTGTGCCTATCCATCTTCATCCATCAGAACAGCCTGCATGGCTACGGCCGAACCCGCCAAAGTAACCTTTACCTGAACCAGGCCGAAGCAGACACAGGAGATAGTGTTACCAGCAGCCTCACCCTACATTATCGGTGTCATTCAGTGTCTGAGAGAAGCTCCAGCATACAGCAGGCCAACACAGCCCACACCCGCACAGGAAAACCCAACAACAAACACACACACTCACATATCACTCCTGCTGAAGTGACCACAGGTGTGCACATGGGAAGTATGCACGCACACATATGCAAAAACCTCTCTGGCCTCACCTGCCTCCTGTCAGGACTCACACAAACACACACACACAAACACAGGAACTTGTATATTGCACCCTTGCTCTGTCCAACCCCCCACCCTGCTCAAAGCAGCCACCCTCGGGGCTTGTGCGTGCGAATCCGGCTGTGGACTCAGCAGCCCCCATCGCTGCACCCCCTCCACCCAGGGCAGTGAGGGAAATGAAGGCTTTAGGAGTTCATTATAAAACAACAACAGCAGCAGCAGGGGAGAGGCCTCCTGGGGCCAAAAACTCACCCTCTTCATCCCTCCATCCTCATCTTTTTCCTTTATGTCCCTCAATATCTCAACCCCGGTGCACCCTGCACAGTGCTCCCTGCGACACACTCCCCCACTCCCTCCCTTCCTACCGCTGAGAAAACACAGCTTTTTTTTATAATACAGCTTCTATGTTGTATCAGGTTAAATATTGATCTGTGATATTACAATAAGACGAGTTAATATAGTGAGTCAGTAGTCTCAGCTTGTGAACTTGTTTGACCCTCGCCATCAAAAAGACAGACGCATTTATGCTTCCCTGGGCTCAAATTTTTTTGTCTTAGAGGGGAATTTAATATTGAAGAAAAGGAAACAAGGAAAGGTTTGTATTTGTAACTTCACGCTGTTATTAGTTTGACAACACATATTGTTTCTGTCCAGTCAAAACAATATGTCTCGGAGAAGTTTTTTTCCAGCTTGATGGAAAGCCTTCAAGGATTTTGGTCAAGTATCTGTTCAATTCATTACGACTGAAAAACAACTGCTCAAATTTGTAGATTCTTACTTTTCTTACTTTTTTTAAAAATTTCTTTTTATTAGATTTTCATTTTTTTAACATAACAAATAAGAATATAAACAAAGAACCATAAAACAGAAAGTAAACTAAGAATACAACTGGACAGACAGGTTGATCTGGTTTACATGGGTCATAAAATGGTGCAAATTGGAATGTTCCTTCACACAGGCAATGAGTTACACTTTGAAGAATGTGAAGTCCATCTTTCCCAGAACTTTGAATACTGATCGGTCTAAAGTCTTAGGGAGAAGGCCCGTTTTTCCATGCTTTAAATTTTGTTAACAAGGGTAATCCGGTCATTTCTTGAAGGGGATTCTTGTTTTTCTGAGAGATAAGAATTTTAAAACCAAAGACTACTCAAAATATATATTTTTAAAGAATTACAACCACAAATAAAAAAGATTAAATTAATAAACAAAAATTTGTAGAGAGAAGGGGAACTTCATTTTCCCCACAATTGTTAAGATTCCCCCTTTACCTGAGTAAAACCTATAATTTTTGTTCTTTAATGGCATGAACTGAGTGATGTTTGACCTATCTAAAATTTTAATTAATTCTCTTTATAGGAGGATTTTCCTAAAGGTCACATAAAATTGACTGATCTTGCCCCTGAGGCATGCAATACACTCATCAAATTAAGACATAATTTGCTCATACTTACAGTACACCCATTATAGAGAATTTTTAGGTCATTAAACCTGAAAAAGAAGAGAAAAAAAAACCTTAGTAACTTAAAGTTGTCTTATAATTCACCCAAATACTCAGGGTTGATGTTTTTAATAAGGAATAATAATGTGTAATCACTGTAATTAGAGAGTAAGATCAAAAGCAGCAGAGCACGCTCTGGTACAATAGCCATCTGTGTGCTGTAGGTTCACTGCTGCTACACGCAAATGAGTGGAAAGTTATGATTCACGGATAATAGCACGTTAACCGCTCTCATTGTCATTCTTAAAGGGGTGGAGGGTTACTCTGAATGTTACTTTTTTGACGGTGAATCAGGGGTCAATCTCATGTTTTTTCTGAATCATCATCCTTGTCATCATTTAGCATCACTGTGGTTGACATCGAGGTTTGTGCGCTGGCTGGAGGCACAACACCTGTAAGCTTGTCCTCCACACACACCTGCCCTTCGCCTATTGCTGTGCGGTTAAAGGGTGATGCATGGAGACCACAGGCCTTTCAGATGAAAAAGAAGGGCAGGGCAGTATCAGCTGGAAGTGGTTAGATGCAGGGCACAGAGTTTCGGGACAGGTGTATGGTTGCATGTGGAGAGTATTTATGTGGAAGTGTGCGTGCTGAAAAAGACACAACAAACCCTCTTACACACTTATATAAATCTTATTTATTTTAAATAAGACTGTAATGCAACATGATTAAAAAAAAAACACTTGCTTTGACACTTGTATGGATGTACATATATTACCGAATTCAAAAGATCTGTACAAAAAATCTAAAATATGAAACAATAAAAGAAGAGGACTTTACTCTGCATAGCTCATAAATCTTTCTGATATTTGCCAAAAGATGAAGTGAGGTAGAAAAATGATGATTCCACACTGTCACACCCCTGGAGCCCTGACATGAGTTGTAGTCATATCATAAATACAGGTCAGAATCTTTCAAATATAGAGCCTGAAGCTTTCAACCCGCACACACACACATACACACACACACACACACACACACACACACACACACACACACACACACACACACACACACACACACACACACACACACATACACACACACAGAGGAACATACGGCTGGTGTTAAAGTGAGAGTCGGAGAGTAAACATGGTCGTTTTCTCTGATTGGAAGTTTGGGGAAATAAGCAGCACAACTAGCTCTCTTCAAAGACATTTAGAGGCAAAAATGCAGCCGAATTAGCTCAAACGTTTGAGTGGGGCGGCTCTACACTTGAAAGTAAAGCCAAATATGTGCTTCTTTAAATAGATGAAATACAACCAGGAGGGCTGCTTGTTCAGAGATGAAGAAGTGTTTTTTTTTTTGTTCATTCTTTGTTGTTTGGTGTCTCCCTCTCCATTACGTGGCGTGTTTCCCTTTTGTTCTGCTGAGCTCGCGTCAGGCTACATGTGGACATTTCCATAGACATTTCCATAAGAGCAACTGAAACCAAGACTCGTCTCGCTGTTCATGCATGTAGCTACAATGTATCAGTGGCATCCCCCTCACCCTCAAAACTTCCAGTGATTCTATTTTAACACATTTAATACGAACTCTTTAGTTTAATTTAACACTTTGAGTTATATGTAGCAGGAGTGATTTAAGTGCTTTTTAAAAAAATCAGAAACAAATGTACACAGCAGTCAGAAAGACAGACAGACAAACAAACAGACAGGTGGTTTCCTTATGAGGCTGTTTTAGCCCCAGTGGCAAAACTTAATTACAAAGATATTAAAGCAGCAGTACAACAGACTCAATGACCAGTACAATAAATAGTCAAGTGGAAAGGGCAGATCAGTTTCTATGCAACACAGTCACTGCTTGGTGTCTCACTGCTGGTGTGGAGTCCAGTACCTGTTTAAAAAGTTCATGTCAACAGTCCTGGACGAGCGTCATTTCAGTGCATCCAGTGAGAGAAAGCAAAGGATTCTGACCTAGGATAAGCTGCAGCATGTCAAACAGGTGATGAGTAGCAAATAACCAGCGATATTCTAGTGTTACATGTGTTTATTCCTCCTGAAATTATAGAACAGAGTTTTGGAAAGACATGCTCTGATGGGAATCCCTCAGTAGATTGTCTGTCTTGTTCATTTCTTCTCCTTCTCTTGTATGTGTTATGCAGTTTTACATGTGTACACCTCCTCTTCCCTCACACATGTCTGGCATTCCACATGGCAGCACCAGCGGACCTGGCAGTGGCAGGACAGGCTGGTGAGGCGCATGGCCGTGTTATAACCCCGTCCGCAGCACAGGCTCTGACAGCTGGTGTCCTTGGCACACGACCGGCCGCCTGTTCCAGGGGAGTAGCGAGAGGGTCTGCAGAAGCTCGGAGAGTCGTCCAGGTAGACCAGGTCGGTGGTGCGGAGGCTCTGGCCGTGTCGGCGCGGGCCCGCCAGCTCTGTCTCCCCAGTGGCTGTGTTGGTGACGCTCAGCACTCGCACAGCTGTGTCGTATCGGTACTTCAGTAGCCGGCCCGTGTCGTGGAAAGGAGACAGCTGCTTCCAGCAAGTCCGTACGGCACAGGAGCCGGAGACTCCATGACACTTGCAGGTTGTTTTCAGGGCGCTCTTTACTGCCTGAGATCGAAGAGGAAAGAGAAGGAGGGAGAGGTGTCAGTTCCTTCAGTTTGATTCATTGCCTGGCCTCTTATCTAGGAGATCTATCAGGACAGAATGAGACAGTTTCCTGCAGGCTGGGCTGGAGGTTTGGGAAGGTGGTCTCTTATAGAGCACCTTTAGCCCACCTCAGTCAAAATTTTGACATAATAGATTGAGGGGGACTGCTATGAATGCTATATTTCATTTACCTCACATTTCTCACTTGGACAGCTCTTGAATTTGTCCCCCCCCTCCTCCCCTCCCAATGTGTTGGAACTAGCTCAGTCTGCCTCTCTCCTGTCTCTCCACATGAAGCCCGAGGCAGAGGTGACAAACGGTGCAGACAGTGGAATCTCTCCACCCTGCTCTTTGTACATGCCTGCTCATGGAAAACATTGATAAGAATTTCTGTGCAAGAAGTGCCAACAGAAAAAAAACAGAGCAGCGCTTTGTGATGGCGCTCTGGGTTAATAGCTCACTGAGGTTGGTGGTCAGCGGCGAGAGCATCATCACTCAGCCTGAGAGCTGCTGTCGTGGTTCAGGGGCCAGAGACAGGTCAAACAGAGGAGGCCAGAGGGGACTTGTGGCTTGAAAAGTCCTACCGAGTACCTCCCATCCCAGGTATGAACCCCTCAGGGGACTCAGAGCGCCATTGCTGAAAGATTTGGGGGCGCCGACCTCTTCTTGTTTTTGTTAAAGCGGCTTTTGGTTTCTTCTCCTCATAGGTGTAAAGAGAGGAAAACATTTACCTCAGCTAAGATGAGATAAGAGAGTTCATCCTGTTGTTGTGTGTTTGTTGCGTTATGTCTCTGCCTCTATCAAGGTGAGATCTACGGAAGGAGCACCCTGGGGCCTGCTATTTCACAGCTCCACACCGCTTGTTATGAACATTAGCTGGATTTATGAAGAGCACAGTGATCCAGTAAGTGGAAAAAAATGCTTGCTCGTATATTAAAAAGAGGCCACATTTATAATCGTTCTCTCTGACATGAGACCTTTAATTTTCTGTAAGGCCCGCACAGCAAGCTTTATCATGCCTGAAAACACCTGGCTCCTACCATCCCACAGCCGTCTTGTCTCCCTGCCTCACCCCCTGTGTCTGTGTTCTCCACCAAGGCCAACACCGGCGCAGAAGCAAATAAGAGGGTGTTTATCAGGCTGGCACAGTGAAAATATGCAGGCGAGGATCCCAATTTTGTTACATTTGATGGTGCAGAAGTGTGTCAGGGGTATAATTGTTGTAAAAAAAATTGCAGCCAAGCTAATTGAGCAGAGTGTGGCGCAGGTAAGAGAGATGTTTTCTGTGCCTCAGGCTTGGGAGGCAACCTCATAAATGAACAGGGGAGCTGTTTCGCTGCTGCACGTTCGGCTTCTTTATTTTCGCTCACACTCACCCGGATTCCCACATTGATGTTGTGGGCGTCCACCTGAGCCCTCAGGTCCTTGCTGACCCTCTTCTGGCCGAGGAACTTCTTCAGGAACTTGGTGCTGTATTTCAGGTTGTCACCACAGACCCCCCACTGCCAGGCTTCCCGGTGCTGGATGCCGGGGGATTCGTCGCATGTGCACCTCTCCATGCGGCCTGAGCTGCACGCTTTGGCGAGCGCATGGGTCAGTGCTGCAGAGGACACTGCCAGCAGGAAGGCAGTCTCCTTGAATGCTAGGATACACAAAAGACAACAGAGGAGATACATAAATAAATGTTATGTACGGATCAAAATATATACCATGTAAATGTAATTAATGCCATTAAAAACATGTTTTAGGGATTAATTCATAGTTCACAAACAGAAAGATGTAGCCTGCACACTTAGTGAGCCATTTATTCAAAGGTTTACCGAGGCCTTACTACGCTGTCATGGTTTTTCTACAACTTCAGCATTATTCTACAAGTTTTCTTGTGTCATAGTTCGTCTTCTGACCTTTTCTTTTGGTCACGCACTGTTATTAGCCTCACCAAGAGCCACCACCAGGCTATATTTTGATCCAATTAATTATTATTTTGACTAGGAAGGATTTTCCCAGATGAAAGTGGGTAATCATGCCACCCTTTTCCTCTGGGAATGGGCGCTTTCCTTAGATAAAAATAACCACAGGGCCGGAGCACTCTCCACCGCAACACATTTCTTGGCTTTCTACTCCCTCATTACCTCCGTGCTGACCTGTTCATGTTCTCCCACACACTGATATCCATATGCAACAGAGCATTTTCTGTGCACTGCAGACTTGCATGGGTCTGCATGGAATACAGTGATTTAGTATGGATTTGTTTTTTTAAGTTTAGTTAATCAATAGTTGTATCAGGTCATGGAAAAAGTTGCAAAGTAGACAGCTTTTGTCGAAGTTTTTTTTGCCTCCTCCAGGGACTGTGCAGAACATATGAAGCAAACAAAATGAAAGAGAACAGATTTAGAGGCTCCTGGTGTGATAAATGCTGTGGTATTACAAAGCTTGTGGAGTTATCATTAAAAAAGCCTTCTGTAGGGATCATACAGCGCACTCCATGGATGCAGATTAAACAAATATAAGAAACCTTTGAAGCAGTGACAAACTTTTGAATACATTTGGGTCTTACTTTGAGCTTCACTGAGCAGCAACAACAAACACTAGCAATGATATTTAAAATCCAAACTCAAATTAAATGAAAGTTTATTTCAAAGGACATTGTTGAATTTTGTTTAAATGGGTATTTATCAGAAGTTGAATAAAAAATCAACACTATATCAAAATTGAATGACTTAGAGTCAGCCTATCGAAAATTGCAATTTAGTTGAGGTTGAACATCTCCAACAGCCTTACATGGGATTATTAATCTGGGTATTTTTGTGCCTAATTTAGCAAAAGATAACCTGTTTTCTGAGCAGATTAAGCCACTTTGAAGACATAAACCACGCACCTGTCTTACTTCAGGTTAACAAGGATAAAGGCACTCAAAGGTTACAGACTGCGCTGGACTGTTAAGGGTTCGATCCCTGCAGTTGCCGAATTATTCAGCGCGATAAAGTTACAGTATGGATCTATTACTTACCTCTTTTTAGGAGACTTCCCCGGCCGTCCAGACTGCAGTTCCAGCGCTCATTCCTGAACTGATAGCGGCACTCCAGCAAACTGAGGCGCACAGACTCCCGCAGCGTCTCAGCCAAACCGGGCTCCCTGCGACACAGCCGCTTCTGCCGCCGGGTCAGAGTCATCTGCTCGCACTGCTTCAGGTGCGCCTTACCTGTCGGGGGTTCATTGGTGAACGGACCCGGTAAAAACACAAGGGGCTCTCGGCCTGTCAGCCTTGGAAAAGAGAGAAAAAAGGTTTCAGAAACTTAAGTGAACTCGTTTTATAAAAAATAGTGCAATGCATTTTCTGAGGCTTGAAACTAGCAGTGCGTTTTTGCAATCACAGAAAAAGTGAAAATAGTTCTACTGTACGATGTATATATGTTTAGCTCTAAACTGAATCTTGCTACTTGAACGGAACAGATTTATCAATGAACTATCAGTAAACTTAAAGAAAATGGAACTATTCCTAAGTTGTGAACGAAAGGAAAAATAGTAGTAGGCAAGAGAGGATGATTCAGCAATAAAAAGTAGATAACACTTAAATATTTTGAACTGATTTGGTTGAGATGCACCTTAACGTAGAGCTCGTATAAACAACATTAAATGCATTCGTTTGTGCGCAATTACGCGTGCGTAATTTGGCTGCAGTTTTCAAAAGTCACGATATGTCTTAAGACAAGAAATGCAAACAAACAGTAAACAAGATTAGCAGTTGTTAAAAAAGAAATCAGCTGACCCAAAATAAGCCGCAGTTTTCGAGAAAATGATGCAGAGTGCAATGAGTCGCAGTAGGCAGGCGGTCCGTGGGAGCCTGGAGCGCATGGTGCCGGGTTGGCGCTGCTCTTCATCTCGCTGACTCTTCAGTGGAGAAAGTCTGTGCCGTGTTCTCGGCGCATCTCTTTAAACGGCTCCACATGCACACAGACTTTCAATCCGGTGCGCCAGGCCCAGTGGTTCGCTGGGAGGCAGGGTTCTTTTTAGAGGGGAGGTGTGGGCATCCTCTTGCTGCACCCTCATTGGATTCAGTATTGTTTCTGTATGTTCCCTCCTACTGCAACGCCACCCAGGTGGTCGGAGATGCAACAAGACTTTGTTTACCTGCTACTGGAATACATAAATCGTACTTGTGTCTTTGTAGCTGTAGGACTCACGTTGTCCTGGTTACATGTTTTTCAGCCAAACTACAAATTTAACTTTTTTTGTGGAACAGGGAAACTTGTTATTTGAAAAATACCTCCGTTTGACGTCAAAGGGGTTGTCTCCAGTGTGGTCAGTCTGTCTCAACTCCTCAAATATTAAGTAAAATTTTTACTCAGATTTGACATTGATGAGTAATCTTTAGCTTTACATTCGGCACCTTGATCCTTCACAAGCACGATTCATCCCAAACCAACAACGAGAAAAAAGAGAGAATTTAGCTATTTTAGATCTAGAAATTATTATGTGGTAGACTGTGTGACGAGGCAGCAAAAATCCACAAATCCAGAAGCCAGTCAAATCAAAGTATTTCAGAGAACCCTTTGAGAGTAATAAATGATCCATAAAGTCTGATATTAAAGGACACAAACTCACAGTATATTATTAAAGGGCCTTTAGCCTCTTCCTGCCGTCTAACCCTGTTATTTGTAACATCACTATCAGTGAGAAAAACACCATGGATAGAGCCCCATCTAGTGGATGGCATATAATAATTCAAAAACTTGAGTTCATTTCAGAAGGTCAGAATTTTTGCTTGTTCTCACAACACAAGGTCTGGAATTACAAACTGGTGTTTTAATATAATTGTTAATCACATCGAGAAAAACATTACAGAGAATGTTATTAACAGTTTGGTCTATTTTCAATCACAAAATATGGAAACAAATCACATGAACATCACATTTGCAAACACTCTTATGACTCAAAACTTTTTCAAACTTTAGGTCAGACAGTTTTAAAAAGCAATTGTGAGAATCCAGAAAAAATGTTCTCACACAGAGCTGTTTAGCTGGAAACACCTCTGAGCACACAACACTGACATCAGGCCTTTATCGGAGCGATTCTCCAAGACTTCATCTCCTTTCATCTTTCTGATCACAATGCAGACTCAGATTGATCCTCCCTTCAAAGTCAGCATGTAATTTCATTTGGGAATGAAAAAGTTTCTTCACAAACTTTTCAGTTTTTGGCTTGAATGTCCTATTGAACTCTATTGTTGTCTCTGTGATTCATCATCTGAAAGTGCTGTAAGAATCAATGCAAATACTCATGACATAAGCCAGTGAGTATAAAGCTAACTGGCCACACTTTTTGAGTCCAATAAATCAAAATAAGGCTTGTTACTTTAGGTAAAAGAATGGACCCGGTTTGTCCTATATCCACAAGATTTTCATGAAAAATATAAATAAAATATAAACAAACTAGCAGAATATTAATAGGAATATTCTTTTATTGTTAATTTGTTTTTTATGTAACACTATTCTTTCATACCAAAACAGTTAATGATTCTGGCTTATCAGACGGGACCAAACTGCAGATGTGTCATATTGGCCCTCTTGTGAAGGTAGGTCTCACTATTCATGCATTTCTTTTTAGACAAGACAATCTAATAATGGTTGGAAAGAGAAAAGAAAGTCATCCAAAACAAGGGCTCTTTAGGATTGATTATGATGTCACACCAAATATTGAAATCAGGATCGAACTCAATTAATTACAACATTGATTTAAAAAATGCTTGTATCAATATGCACCCTAGTATCCAATCCAATCCAATCCAATCCAATCAAGGTTTATTTAAAAAATATATTTAAAACAACAAAATGCTGACCAAGGTACTGTACAGTTAAAAAACAAAACAAAAACAATAAAAAACAGACAATTAACATGAAGAATAAAACAAAGACACAGGAACACATTAAAAACAGGGGGGCTTGGATGGTTTAGTAAAAAGATGATTAGTATTCTAATATTAGGTTTGAAAAATAATGTAAGTACTATTATTTGTACACTAAATAACGTTACCTACTCCATTAAGGTAAAGTTCAACCGATTTAACGTGATTGAGAAGGGTTGCCTATCTCATAAGTGCAATTCATATGCCACGCCGATTGATGGCGCTGTGGGTCCGTGTCGATGTTTTCTCCATCAATTAATAACCGAGAAGAAAAGAATGAAGCCGATGACGACGAAGGAAACGACGACGACGCCGGAAAACGCCATTTTGCTGTTGGACAGAACTACCGAAGAAGGACTGAGAAGCACATAAAAGGTAAAGATGTTACTGAAGATTACCAGTTGATGATGGATACTATATTATTCCCTGGAAAGACAATTTAAAAACACAGTCGGTCGTTTAAATCGTGTTTGAGGTGTAAGTCTGTATTTAGGCATTTCGTTTGCTGTCTAACTTAACCGAAACGATGTTTACCGAATAAGTTTGACAACATCTTGTATTTCTCAAAGTTAAAGGCTTCTTTGGTTTTAAAAAGGTGAAGTATTTGTTGTCAGATTCGTCTTTGTTAGCAGTGTTTCTTTGATTTGTGTTATGGTCAGTGTTCATGCCATGGGACGATTCTTCAAACACGGCGAGGCTAACAAGCTAACAGTCAGTCCAGTTATGGGCTCGTCTGTCCTGCGACGTGTTTATCTCTTTTATTAGGCACTAACTAAATAAATCACCGAGGCAGTGATTTATTTAGTTAAAGTCTGGCTTACCATACTTCCTCAACAAATGTCCAACACATGATGCATGTACCCTGTGTCGATTGTGGATGTACCTTTACTCTGCTATCGTGTTCTATAGAGACGATGTTACCGAGTTTAATCTATCTAATTAGCTTAACGACAGTGCCAAACACGAGCAATCTTCTCTCAAGTATTATATTTCTGTGAAATCAAGTATATCATGTTTGTTTGTAAGTGTTGTAGGCTGTCACCTGCGTACGTGGGTGCTGTTTCATGAGGTGACATCATGAAAAGATGTACGAAGTAGAGAATTGTTACCAAACAACTTCGTTAGTTGCATTAATCCCCCTAAACAATTACATTCCTTACATGTCTCTTTAATCGACCCTAAAACTGCTTATAGTAATACCTATTGTCCCTTGTTGAGTAAAGGAGAACCTGTCATTCCTGTTTCCTGGAAAGTGCATCTATCAACAGAACAACCTCAACTGTCCTATGGTGGATGCTAAGCCCATCCTAAACCAGTATATCATCATAGATAATCTGCCGTGCTGGCTGAAAATTAGTCATGTTATAGACATTAAACCCCCACGTTAAGGGGAAGATAGGTTGAAAATCAACTTTGTATTTGTCAGCCCCTTTGTGTTGCATCTCTATATTTCTTGGTTGTCATTTTCCTAAGCTATCCTTCCTTCATCATGTTGTATTTGTTGGTTACAGATGAGCTAAGCCCTTCCTTGTGTGGCCATGGCATTTGACAGTTTACACCTGCGCACACGTGAAAAGTTAAGATGAATAATCTTTAGCCTGCACACTCAGAAGTGCAGAAGAAGAAGAAAATTTGTATGTTGTTTTTATATTTTGTTTTAACAAGTATCCTTCTCACCTGTAATCTCACCTCTTTCAATTAAAATGTGAAAAGAAACGGCAAAGCAGAAGCTTGTTGCTGAAGATGAAGCTGGCAGTAGTTCCCCGACATACTCACCGCTTCCGTGATCGTTTACTATAGGTATTTCAGGACATTGTTGTAATGAGTTAGCTCTGGCTTTGTGTGTTCAGCGATTAATGTATGCAGCAGGCGGCTATTTATGATTTGGGTGGAGCCAAGTTTACTCTAAACACCAGAGGGCATTACCTGCAATTTACTTGAAAAACATATCGAGATTTGACATTTTGTTTTATTGGAACACTTTGCATGTTACTGATGAAAGCTTGATGATGCTGCAGATACTCAAAAACAAGTTAGGATCTATTTCTGCATGGCAGTTCACCATGTCTACAGGTGTAGCCTTTAAAACATATTGCGCACGCTTTCCTTCATAATTTCCTCCTGGTTGTTTTCCTCCATCCTACTTCCTTGCTGTGTTTCATAAACTGAGATTAATGTATAAATAATATTTCCTCTACTTGGTTGTAAAGCATCCTCACCTGCACTCACCCCTTCATTTGAACTCATTTGATTAAAACAATATGGAGAATGAGCACAGTATTGTTTGGTGCAAGTTGCTCTATTATGTGGTAATGTGGTATGACAAATGGCCTCTCCTTGTAATTGTGAAAAACAATTAAGATCTGTCAAGATGTAAACTCAGTCAACCAGAGGAGTAAAATACTAAACGTAGAGTTATGTAATTATGATCTTGGTTCATGTGTGTGATAAAATGATGAGTCACAGGTGTGTACAGGGATAGAGAACAAACCAAACTAGTCTGTCAGTTTCCACAATCTCCAAAGTGGCACATAGCTGTGGGCTCTTTTGAGGACAGTCCACTCACTGTGTCTCATTGTTCGCTGTCTGAGATCGAGCCTTGGCTGGAAAAGTCAACCTCGGCAGCATTTCATAGGTACAGACAGTAGCTTTCATTCTGACACAATGGACAGTGGGCTCACACTTACAATGTTCATATTCAGCCTTAAATCAATCCTGTGGTTAGTCGTGTTAATGGACTGTTATCACTTAGAGTAGAAAATAAAGGATGAAAATATCAATAGGTTTAAAAAGAAAACAACAAATAATGACAAATAGTGATGACAAATAATTAGAGTTAAGGTCCTTACACACCGGGGCCGACACGAATAAAGAACGAGAAATTACGAAATATTCTGAGGTGAATTTTGATGCCCCTGACTATAGACATCAACCCGATGCGATTTTGCGACTTTCCGGGGAAAGTCCTGCCTCCTTCGCCTCTGATTGGCTAGAAAAGCTGGAAACGTCATCACACGCTAAAGCCAAATGGTCAGCACTTTTAGCCAATCAGAGGCGATAAGATAAGCACATGAAACTATGGTAACAACCGTTAGCTTACATTAGCACAGATCAAAGTTAAAACAAAGCCGTTTAGCAAACTGTTAAAGCACACAAACCATCGTCATATGACAGATCTGATGCTATGTTGTCTTTCAGGTCGTTATCTTTGTAATATTTGTGTCTTATATCATAAAGCACTCTCTTCTCAGACAGGTAAACAATCAGCCGGTCGGCCATGTTGGATACACCAGTGAATCAGACGTCACAACAACACGCAATCTGATTGGTCAGAAGTGGACACACAGTATGCGAAACGTTAGAAAATCGACTGTGATACGAAAAAATAAATGCCGCAATATCCCAGTATGGGAAAACGTCGCTGATGTGAACGCTTGTATTGACAGGATACGGGTTCGAAAAAAAATATTGACGTCCGAAATAGTTGCACGACAAAAACGGTCCCGGTGTAAAAGGACCTTCAGGGTTAGAAATGTTCAGTAGACTTAATAAAAGTCAGCGCAGATTGGTGACAAACTGTTTGAGTTTGTTCAGCCACGATACTTCTTAAAGTATATTTGAAGTATGTTTTTTTATGATATAACAAAAGCTAAAAATATCGATATGACTGCTATTTTCTCCTTTGACTCACAATATAGCAAATTATAGCTATTGGTAATCAGTCAACATTACTCAATGATGCACCATCAAGGTTTCTTTTATAGCAGCAGGATTGTGAACATTTTTTGACAACTTGAAATCATTTGAAACGGAATGGTTTCATTACATTTTACATTGTTCATCAACAGACGTTCACTAAAATGAATTTGTCCTCCGACAATAGGGACACCTTTTCAGAATCCATCACTTCCTTATGGTAATTTGTTTGCTGAATCGGTTTGAAGAACTTGAAGTGGGGGAATGTTCTCTCTTTGACTTCCTGGTGCTTATCATTGGATATTTACCACACTGCTGAATAGAACAAGCTGAAGCATGGTGTCCCTTGTTCTTAACATACTATTTTTTTGTTTTAGAAAACTTTAATACCAGGACAGCCAATGAGACCTCATCAATGGCTGTCCTGGATTGTGTTGTTACCCCATTGTAGGGTTTTCATGGATTATATCAATCTATTGAAAGGTGAATATGGAGCATTTTATTCAGCCAAGACTCTATATATTTTATAGTTGTGGCTGTTAACCAACTTTTGGACCAAATCATTAACAAACATCAGGAAAAGTTGACATCTCACTGAAATTCCTGTAATTAAACATCAAGCAGAGGCTGTGTGGGCCTAACCTTTTCATGAACTATGTGACCTAACCTGACTGTTCAGTTCACCTTTCAGACAGACAGGTTAAACTCTCATGAACCAACCGGGCATAATAAACTGTAGTGTATGATGGCACTACCAAGACAGAGCCATCAGACTCGTAGCTTTACATACAGTCTCAGCTCCACCTCTGCTCTGTGATTCAGAAACAGAGAAAACTGAAGGGACTGAGCACGGCTGTAAAATCCAAACACAGAAAATCGAACAATAAAGAATAACGTGAAGTCCCAGAGGAAATATTATCAGCATCTTTCTTTTGGATGTTTTTACTCATTACACAATATTCTTTGTTCTTCTGCAGGTGGGCCAAAATGGGACTAAGCGTAAGTCAACTTTTAAACAGAATATTTGGCAAGAAAGAAATGAGAATCTTGATGGTGGGACTGGACGCTGCTGGAAAGACCACCATTCTCTACAAGCTCAAACTGGGCGAAATCGTCACAACAATTCCTACGATTGGTACGTTCTTAACCTACTGTTGATAAGGAAAATCTGCCATGACACACAATGACAGATAGCTCTACGTTTGTAAAAACTTAAGACAGGATGACATCTTGAAGTTAATCACCTTTTCTTCTCTCTTCATCTGCAGGTTTTAATGTTGAGACGGTCGAGTACAAGAACATTAGTTTTACAGTGTGGGATGTGGGCGGCCAGGACAAGATCAGGCCACTCTGGAGGCATTACTACCAAAACACACAAGGTAAGAGACTTGCTGACTGTCCGATCTTTAAAACCACAAAACCATTATCCAAGGGCTCGACAGTGCGACTGTTAGGTGTTTGAATAAGGGACCATCAATAAATTACCGGTTGATATTCTCAAAAAAGGCTTTTTTTCTTCAATAGCTTCCATGTCATGTAACCAATGGACCTAAAATTGATTTCAAATAATAGTACTAAGGTCGGACGATAAGACACACCTCTTTATTTCCCTAATTTGTCCTCCTAAAGATTTTTGTGTGGAATTCAAAGGCAAATTTTGAACATTTTCTTAGCTTCCTTGTCATGTGACCAAAAGACTAAAATTGATTTCAAATAATAGTACTTATGTCGACCAATAAGACACACGTTAGCTGATCAATTTTCATTGTGCCCTTCAAGTTCTTAGTGTGCTCCTTCCTTTTTCAACTGTGAAAAAAGTTGGTGTCAAGTCCTGGTGAAACATCAGCTCCTTTCTTCTTCCAGGTCTCATCTTTGTGGTGGACAGTAACGACCGGGAACGAGTTGGTGAGGCAAAGGATGAGCTAATGCGAATGCTGTCTGAGGATGAGCTGAAGGACAGCGTGGTACTCGTGTTTGCTAACAAACAGGTGAGTTTTTTTTGTTTGCGGTCTCCATGATGATCTTAATATGAGTTTCCTTTTTCCCCCTCTTCTCACTAATTGATTGTCGTGTTTTCTGCTTGTTCAGGATTTGCCCAATGCCATGAACGCAGTCGAGATCACAGACAAGCTGCACTTGCAGTCCCTGCGCAAACGAAACTGGTATATCCAGGCCGCATGTGCCACAAACGGAGACGGTCTCTACGAGGGTCTCGACTGGCTTTGTAACCAGCTAAAGAACATAAAATGATGCATCACGCCATTCCTTTACTGTCATCTCTGTGACTGACGGGTGCAGGGGACTGCAATGGGCCTAGTCTCTTTCTCTCTCTTCTACCTTTACTCTTTAACTTAAAGCGTAGGACCAGTTGGCCTCTGCTGCTCCTGCATCTGTTCACGGTATGAGTGTGTTGGGATCAGTATTTTCGGATGGATGATTGTGTGTGTGTGTGAGCTGAGTGAGAGCGGTCTGGCTGCCCCTTGAACAGTTAAAACACTCTTTCCATTCCTCCACTCTCACAGTCCAAAGGGACTCGCCCCCACAGACTTAGGGTTCAGACCAGTTTCTTTTAGGTTTGATTGATCCGGGTTTTGATTATATAAGATTTGTTATCATTTGAAGGGGGTTCTTAGGCCATTTTTTGATAGTTGCTCCCACTCCATCTTTCTGTACTAAGGGTCTTGAGGTCTCTGGGTTTTTGTCTGTTTTCTTTTTTAATGTATTGTTTCTTTTAGTGCTACTCTCAGTGCTTGCTCGACCTGGTTTACTTATGCATGACCTGATACGTAAGGTGTGCAGTCTTGACGTTCATTTTGAATTGTTCTTGGGACCAATTAGTGAGATTCAGAAAAAAGGCTTATTGTTTTTGCTTTCATTCATGATTCCCTCTTTTACGTGTTTCCAGAAGATAAACATGTTCTTGAACAAAAAGTCAGCACTGCGCTACACGGTACAGTTTGATTACAAGTGTTTACTCTGGACTATCGATGCTGTAAATGTGTCCTCTACGCTTCAGGCTTTATGGTGTTTTTTCTGCATGTAGCCAGGGCCAAGTTGACCATGTTAACTCCCTTGATGCCATTTGCACAATCTCATAAGCTAGCACAACACAGGCTTATGTGAAACAGTGGATTATCCATCAGCCATTGCAGCGAACCCATAGACGGTAACAAGTCCTGTTGATCCACACCAGCAGACAATTACGACATGCAGGTATGGGTGTTGTACCAGATAACTAAAGTAACAAAACATGTTCCCACTCCCTATATGTCAGCAAAACCAATTAATAATAAAACAGCTTAATACACTCGAAAGCCCTTCAAAATAAAATTGACCTTTTTTTGTTTATAATAATGGGTCATTTAAGTGTTTTCTTGTGAAATATTCTTTTGGGCTTTCTTGGGTGTCATATGCTTCGGTATTTCCCAAACATCCATTCAGTTCATAGGATGAGTGACATGATTTGAAACACACCATCAAAAACACAAATGTATATAATCTCTAAGAAAATGTATTTTAACTTGAAGTCACCCACATACCCTTGTTCAGACGTGAAGCTTTAATTTTCAAGATTGTTTCTGTATAAATGACAAGGTATGTGCATATGTATTTCTTAATTACCTTTTATGCTTTTTTAAACTCATCTTGTAACATCTGATAAATGCACTATAATAAAGAGATCTCTATTGTACTCATGCTTCACTATCATTTGTCATTCTTTTAAAAGTTAGAAGGTTAAAACTTGAAATTCCACTGTACCTGAAGACATGAATGAAATCATCCCAGTTAAAGTGTCTGTGTGAGGTCTCAATGATGATAACATCTGTGTTAGTCGCTTTGCCTTGATCAATCAAATTATAAATAATGTTAGCCTGTTAGTGTGATCATTCTGAAGAAATGGACTTGTCAAAATAAAACATTCAATTATTCAAACAGGTCCCACCACATCTGATGCGTTATTTTGCAACCCTTTGTTCAAAAGATTCAAATAAATTAATCATTTTTTATTTATATAGCGCCAAATCACAACAGTCGTTATCCCAAAATGTTCTCTGAAAGAGAAGGTCTAGACCTAACTTATTGTTTGACATATTACAAAGATCCAAGCTTGAGATGGGACAGATTTTTTTTTTAAAAACATATCTCTATTGGTTTTTTTATTCATACAACAACTTCCAACAATTAAGACATACGTCAGTCATGAAAATAATAATAAAAATATCAATTATACAAAAGAGGTAAATGAATAAAATGTCCTAATAACATAATTAAAAAGATAAAATAAACCAACAAATTTGTCAACAAATTACAGAGCAATAAGTAATAAATATATTTTTAAAAAATCATCTATAATAATAATATTCTTAATATAGGCTGAGATGGGACAGATTTGACACATCCCATTTGACATGAGTAAAGCACTTTGCAGTATTTAACAAGTTAGAAGAAAGGAAAAACTTCACTGAAACAGGCAGAAAACTTGAGCAGAACTAGACTCATGCTGGACCTACCTGTCGCAGCTGAGTTGTGGAAAAAACATGATAAAAATGCATTTTCCCTTACTGCTCAACACAAAAGCTCAAAACAGGACATAGACTAAGATAAAATATAATCATTCAAAAACCTGACTGAGTATTTGGATATTCCTTTAACAGGATTTAGAGCATCGACTCATTCAGCAGTCTCATCTTTAGTAACTCAACTCATACTAGTTACTTGTAACTTTAATGTTTTCTTGTTTTACTGAAAAATAAGGAAAATATTTAAGAGGGGGGAAACGCATTTTTCTACCTTCTCCGTGACCACTGGAGGGCAGTGAGCCCATGGTTCTATGAGTACAGGTGAACTAGGAAAGGGATGCCACTGCTAAGACTTGGCACAAACTGGAAATAAAATAGGGTTAACATATTCTGAATCCTCAAAAAGAGGATATTACCACGTGCGGTGGAGTTGCAAAACTTTTAAGGGTTTTTTGGGTCAGGTCGAGTGTTTTTTTTACACGTTTCAGTGAAACACACATTCTTAATCAATCTTTTAAAAAACAAAAAATGGCCTTTTATCTCATCTTTTTTTTGTCACTGGCGGCAACGGCCTTCCATACAAAACCTCAGACATTTAAAGAATTTTATAAATTCCCCCTGGACAGGCCAGACAGCCTCCCAAAAGAGGACATGTCCAGGATGTACAGTCACCCTAAATAGGCTACAAAAAGTTTAAATTTACAGGATTAGCACCCTAGTTTCACCTAAACTGACACAGGTGACAGTACACCTAAATTTCTCTATTCTTAGAATAACACTGAGCGCTTGTTCAGTTTGGCATCATGATCATGGCCAGAGACATTCTGTGACTCCTCTTGGCCTTGTGTGTGCTGACAGACATTTTTAATAACATAACTGTGAAGACAGGACTATTTTACCCTTCAGTCAAAGGCCAGAGTACAAATTGTACAAACATTCACATAACTACTGCCACTTTAAAACATGACTCACACATTTCCTATGTAGCGTGTAGCTAGGAGAAGGTATGAATGAAGACTCACAATCCTAGGGGACAGAGATGAACAGATGGTGACACAGTGAAGAAGAAGGTCTCTCTCTTTTTCTCTCTTTCAGACCACTGCTCATCCTCCTTTTCTGCTACATCTAGATTTCAGGTGGCCAATTCTCCATAGAGTTGTTACCTTGGAAACAGAACCTTATGTATTTATAGAGGGGGACTGTGAAGACATGGAGAAGGGAGACAAGAGGTGGATCGTATCGTGTAGAGATGCAGAGGGAGGGAAGTCTTTGTTCTATTAAAGATCTTTAATTGAACAGAGGGTGTCCCACAGATAGATCACTCTATAAATATCACCACTGAACTAAGCTTGTCCCTCTGTGCTGACATCACAAGTTTGCTTTCCAGATCTCGACATATTTTCACACGACCACACATTTGAATTCTTTATATTTTCATATGATCTTCCAACAGAGCTGCGGTCCTGAATCACCCACAAGTACGTGACGTCTTCTCCTGCCATAATCTGCCTCAGTCTCTCACAACACGTGACTAATGAATCTGAGATAACACCAATAAGATATGTAGAATCACGCTCTCCACACATACACTCACACATGTTGGCATACCTTAACCTTTAGCTCTCATCCTCGCTGAATCTCACCTTGATGTGTGACATCAAGCACATGAACAGTTTCCAGGGATGACAACTTTGCAGCTCTCTTCTTCAATCAATCAACACATTTAATGAAGAGCTCTCCGGTGTTTACTGACAGTTTTGCCTCTCAAAGCTCAGATGGATCAGTGGCTCCTTTTTGGTTGATGAACCGCCTCTTCATACTTTGTATGCAGCTATACAAAAGAGAGCTTCCATGTCACAGGTTTAATTTGAAGTACTGTCTCAAGCCTGAAATGTCAAACCATGCATACTAAAGGAGAAAATCAGAGCCAGGCCCAGAAATGAATATAGATATATAAAGCAGAGGTGTTTTTTTTTTCCTTCACTTTGTGACCTTTATCCAACAAAATGTGTTCTCACTGAGATTAGAGATCTCTTTTACAAGTAAGTCCTGGCCAACACTGTTCCAGCAATCAAGTCCAACCCACACAGTAGATAAAAATACATCAAAATGATCAGCTGAAACATTTAAACACAGGAAGACTGAACTTAAGATATCACAGAGATTTAAAACACACCCAGAGCACATTAAAATCAGTCTGTTAATTGTTCCACAGTGCAGAAAAGCTAAAAGCTCTACATCTGAACTTACTTTGGACTTTTGGAATGACTAATGGCATAATATTGGGCTAATTGAGATTGTAAATTTCATCCTTTTGGATCAAAATGGGGGAAAGGTACAGGGGGATTATCCCAGAATTACCTCATAAATGAAGATATTAAAATACCTGAGCCTCTAGAAAAGTTATCACTTTGGGCCTCATTACCAGTTCACTCCACGGCCCATTAAAGCTTTAAATAACTATAACTGTGTGATACACTCATATTTTCTCTTCTTTTTTTACAAACAGCCAGAAAATGACTCAAAATAAACACAGGCCGGTATGGAGAAACACTCCCTCTATAAATAGGTTGTAAAAGCACTAAAATAACAGTCTGCTTCAAGCTCTGTAAAACTTGGTCTAACTTAGTCACAAAAACCAGCTGACCATGCTGTCACTCCAAATTAAGTCTTAAATATATTGAGATAAAGTTGACAAAATACTTTTTATTCTGCAGTAGACCAAACCGTGTGAGTTCACAGGGGTGAGAGGGTCAACAGAAATAAGCTTTGATAAGATTTAAGGTAAGGGTTTCCTGATACAACTTTTTCACCTCCGATACGATATTGATATTGTAGCCTGCAATATTGGCCGATACTGATATTGATCCGATATTAGCACAAACTTGTGCATGACAAGTTTTGCACCCAGCTGCAACGTCTTTTTCGGACTCACTCCTTCTCCTTGCTACTTTGTTAGTACCTTAGTACACACTGTTGTTGTGATTACGTAGGCTCTGCCTCCTTGATCAGGGCGCTGCTAACTAGAGGTGCAGAAGTGGAGTCTGGAGTGGACTGCTTGTATCGGAGTGCTGATATCGGAGATTTTAGAAGAAGCCGATATAATCCGATATTCAATTATTTGCTGATATCAGACCGATATCCAATATCAATATCGTATTGGGACACCCCTAATCTAAGGCACAGTTTCCATTATACAGCCATTTTTACACACACATGCAAACTTTAAGACAGTTCTATACTTTCATCTCAGGCCCACCGAGGATCCCCTCACCCACCGAGCCCTGGGTAGTCAGTCCCACTTCCCTTTTTACATAAATACCCATACATGAGCTGTATTAATTACACATCAGAATTTACATCAGTATCATTTTGCTTCTGATGAAGCTGTTTTTAAAAAATCCCTTGTTATGCATGATATAGTTCATTTATTTTTTATATTGCCTGTATTCTGCTCATATTTCAGTCGAGGATGCAGATCTGCTGCTGAGAGCCTCAATCCCAGGAGAGCAGCGGAACCATACCTTTATTTTTCTCTGATCATCTGCCTCACTGTTTGACGTCCAAAGATCCGTCACATAATACTGATGGGGATGTCCTTTTTACTGCAGCAAGCAGACAATTTGACAGTGCATGGAAGTGTTTTCTACCCTCTGCAACATTCACTGTCTATATTCTCACTGCATGCACACCCAGAATTACTGGTCACTTGCATTTCTTGGCAAGCAAAAGTCACAGAAGGTGCTCAGCAGAGGGTCTATGGCGGGCCTGGTATTTTACATCCTGTCCATCCACCCACTCACTCCAAAGGAAGCAGAGTTCACCAGTGACTGCACCTTTCTATCCAGATGAGTCATTTCTAGCCTTTACTATTGCCATGGAAACACAGGATTCGTCCACATGATTGACAGTGAGGCCATTATAGAATATCTGAATCTGTTAGCTTTAAAGTTGAAAAACGTATGTCTATGTGCTCAGAGAGAATTAGTCAGCTGCTCCACACTGACTCACACAGTCAATAATGACCAAGTGTATTTTTCTGTACCAGATTAAGCTAGCTAGTTTAAGCTAACAGTGTGTGTCCTGTAGCGTGTGCTAAATGCTCTTTCCTCAGTGTTTGTTCAGCAGTGAGAGGAAACAAGCAACTGCAGAAAACACCCCATGACGTGTGTGAACACTTTAAACTACTTTTCGATCAATAAGATTTGAAAAGCATGATCAGCATGAGTGTATGAATCAAAGTGCTGCAGATGAAGGTCAACCTCTTTTTTTGGTTCAGTTGATGAAAACGTTCAGTCAGCCCAGCACCTTCCTATAACTAACATCAGTCGTCAGATATGCAAAGATAAAAAGTCAGTTTGAACAAGCTGAGCACCTTTTTTTTTTTTTTTTTTACATTCTGTTTACCAAAATCTCAAAAGTGTTTTGCCTCCTTTATGTGCACATGAAAGTGATCTCAGATGTAGCTTGTTTTCAAATGCCTCAAATATGTGCTTAAGCGCACATGAATAAATGAACTCAGTTGATTTTTGCATCTGGTTACAGGCTTCATCTTCTTCTGCACTATTTCTCTCTTGGTTGTTTTCTGGTTCCTGGTTAGTCCATTGACAGCCTCCAGCCTCCACATAGCCAAAGCGATGGTTTCTGCACTTTCATGTTGTTGTTTTTTTGTGTACACTGCTGCCATAGTCAGCAGCTTTAAGCACAGAAACATATTCTTTTGATCATCTGTTGCTTATCAAAGTATTATCGAGAGGCAGTCTGCTCCAAGCCTTGCATTGTCTGAGTCTGAATGTTAGAGTTATAATTTACTGTTGCATGTAGATATACTTTCACATTCTTTCGCAGCTTTTTTGATAATCTCCTCTGCGGTTGGTGCTATAGGGCCCTGCACATCAAAACAATCGAACACTGGAGTGGCATTTTCCCAGATGCAGTCAAAGTCATGGCCAGAGCAATCAATCAGGTAATGTAGAAAAAAAACAATACCTGCAACCCCAGGGTTGTCAAAATAAATCGATTTTCAACTTTACAATGATTTCAGAATACAAAACAACACTACACATCTCTGCTAGAGCAAAGTGAAATACAAGTCCCAGTTTCACGACAGCCTTTTTCAACTTGCTCTCACTATGGGTGCAGACTAAAGGGATATTGGGTGGGTTCTTTAAAAACTGTAAAGTGTTTCTCATTACTTATGACCCAATAAAGGAAAGTTGTGCCTGTAGAAACTCCTCTCTGGCCTGTTTTCAAATCTTATTTATTTTGCATGTATTGACATTTCTGCTACCTAGTCCAGCTGAGTTTGGCGCCACAGTCAGTGACAAAGACTATTTTTGTCAGTGTTTGTGTAAAGACGGTCCACAGTGTGTAATGTTTGAGAGTTACAGAGTGTGACAGAGGACACAGTCGTCGCCAGGTGAATGTTGCTTTTGCTGCACACAAACACATTTCAGCACCTTCCTGCAGGATTATAGCATGAGCATGTAAATGTTATTGTTTTTAAGAACATAAAGGCTGTGAAACTTCATTGTTGATAATCCTAAAAGATCGGTGCCATAAATTCTTCCATATTTTGCTTTTAAGCTGTGTTGCTTTACACTAATACAAGCTGTATGAACACATTTGCAGTCACTTGTAATCGACATAAATGGACTTTGTCAAAAAAGTGAATTCTCACTCTATGTAGCTGTTATTGTAGCCCGTTGCAGGCGACTGATTTTCAGAGTTGATACTGATACTTATTATTAGTTGCTAATGACTTTGAAAAATTCTGTGAAAATTTAGAATTTGACACATTACAAATTCCAACAAGACTTTCTCTCAATTATAAAAGCAAATCTACAATCAAAACTAAAACCTTAGCATAAATGCAGGGGTACACAGCAATATGATTACATTTACATCATACAGTTTTGATATCTGACCAATCAGAGAGTGTTTTGAGCGGGACATGAGGAGAGGCAGAGTGACCCAGAGGCAAAGACACTGTCAGTAGAGACTAAGTAGTACATCTTTTGTTTTATTGATCTATTGGTCGTCTGTTAAAGAAAAAAACTGCTACACATAATGAAACAAAATGATGAATATTGGCACCAATAATCGGCTAAGCCAGTCAAATGGCAGGCACCCCTAGTACAGAGTCCTTATAGCTTTATTTAATGTACAACTAATGCCCCCTTTAAGTTCAGTCCAGGGTGTACAGCAGCAGATTCCACAGAAAATGTTGAAAAGTTGTGGTTTAGTGTTGTGTCTATAGGCAGACTGATTGACAAGTTTGATTAGAAGAATTTTAAATGATTGGCGTTGACTGATTCCTGGGTGATTAAGGGTTAATTTAAAAAAATAGACAATGTTTGCAGACAGCCTCACTGATGTGGCTGCTGCAGAGCAACACTAATGCCCCCTAAAATGATGACAAGATCTTCACATCATAAATGTCAGCAGATAATCTTAACAGTCACTGACGAGTGTTTGATACAGATTATGTTATGATGTATAAAATGACGGCGTTTAAAATTGCCTCTGACATTCTTGTCATGTTCTGAAATCTGTAGCACAGCCTGATTTTAATATTTCATGAATTCATTTAAAATTAATCGGAAACATATTTCTTGCTCGGATAACTATGTATATGAGATTGTAATATATGTGAAATAATGTCTGTTATTAATTTTTTATATCTGATCAAATGCAAAAAACAACAATAATGGGATAAAGGCATTATGTATCGGCCATCAGGAGACCTACACTGTGATCATCAGCTGTCACAAAACTGATACCAGTCGATCACTAATGTCTGATACAGTTTTCACCACATGCTTATTGTTGTTTTGTATGAGTCGTCCTCTGTGATATAACTCACTGCTCTCATTAAAGATTTCCCTCAATTGTTTCCTCTACACCCCTGCAAATATTAAAAGCGGGACATGACGAATGTTTTTCATATGACTGAAATATTCCTGGTTCTCTGCATATTGCGGATTTATTGAATACACAAGGGGAAAATATTTATCTTTGTGGATATCTACACTTATACTCTTACCTGCTATCATTTTTTTTATTAAACTCAGAGAATCCTACATGCTGCAGCACTAACAAGTCACTGCATAGCCCTCTAAAAAATTGCAATTAACAGCGTGTTACATGTGGCATGTTTTTGCATGTTGTGAAGGAAATATGATTGATGCTCTATGACAGGTATCTTCTCTCTGTCTTACAGTTAAAACACCTCTGCTTCCTCGCTATCTTGGTTAAATCCCCCCCCCCCCCCCACCATCCAAGTCACAATGTCATTGACATTCCTCCCCAGCCCCCCCTCTAATAACCTCAGATGGCTAGTTTCCACTGAAGCGAGGGCAGATCTATTGTGCCACTGAATGTGCTGAAGGGTTTCTGGGCCGATGAGCTCGCATCGCTGAGATGGAGAGGAGGAAGGAAGGAAGGAGGACATCCAGGACAAACTGGGCTTATTATAACTCCTCAGGGACAACCAAACATTACCTTAAATACATATATTTAAAGTAACACCCATATAGTTCAGGACACAAGCCAGACTGAAAGCCAGCACAAAAACAGCAGATGTAATTTTATTAGAAAACAGTCACAGAGTATGCTCATCAACTCAGCAGAGCCACTTACTCAGCAAGCTGCACCTCTGCAATGAGCAGCTTCCTGCTTGGGAAATTAGAGAAGCCCTAAGGCAAAGCATGCCATCAGCACTACATCCTTTCCAATAGCATTTTCCTGGACTGTATACCGGACAGTGATATAGGAAATGTTTCTGATATGATGCAGAACACAACCCTCCCAGTATCCTAAGGCTGAGAATTGATTAGACATGCTGCAGCTCTATGTTTATTTGTACTTGCTTTACTCAGGGCTACATCACGGAATATGAAAAAATTGGAAATCAGGGGTGGTTATCAGGTCATCTATAATGAAATATATTTTAGATGCATAAATATATATATCGCTGCCTTGCTTATCATTAACACTATCAGGGTCTTTAACCAGGCATATTTATAGGGGCTAATCTTTTCTGCAGTTTTTTCATCTGCCTGCTTGCATAGCAGCACTTCTCTACTTAAATACCACAGTGCAAGCATTAACATGCACATAAAAACAGAATGCTTTATCAGTACTGCATATTTTATGATTCTTTTGTAGGATTTGATAAAACCCACATCTGCATCAGAGATAGAGTATCCTCAAGTTAAGAGATTAAGATTAATCCCAGGGCCTCTCAAACTGACAAAAGCAAACTTTACATTCAGAGCGAATATGAACTATCCCAAGGGTTATTTTTTAATGTCAGCTAGTGCTGCTACAGGGTCTGATTTCAGTGAAGTGATTTTCTGCTTTCAGACCAAAATAATCAAACATTTTACAGGCAAAGTTTGCATTGCAAATGAAAAGGAAGCAGAAGACAGCAAATGGCACAGAAGATAATAAAATTGTCTATATTAAGGTCCATCAGAGTTGATTAAAGACAATAGAGCCTTAGGTTAAGAATTGAAATTTAGACATACTTAAGTGCTGATCAGAGACCTGTGATTTACTGTTAAAGTAGTCACCCCTCTCTCAGATAATCCTCCATCACAATACATGAGAAATTTAAAGATGAGTCTTGGTGGCATTGAGAGCACAAGCATAAGCTGCTTAGACGTTAACAGCTGTGACATAATATGGTACTGTACAGCCAGGTGACTCATCAGTTACCTACAGTCCTGTCATTTTTATGCTTTAGGGGAGTATATTCCCTCTTGTAGCTGTAAAAAATCACAATAGTGCACCATTTCTTACTGACTGTGTCCCAATCCAGAGGCAGCATCCAGCCTTCGAAGAACCTGGTCATCATAGACTGGGTAAATCTCAGAGGGGGGTGTCCTTTTTATCTTAGGTTTTGCTACGTTTTGTAGCAGTCCTGTTGCCTAGCAACCTGTAATGCTGTACAGGAAGTAGCTAACTCAGGTTGCTTGACTCAACCTAATTGCCAACATACATACAAGTCTCAGAGCCTCTTTCATCCTTTTGACATCAGTGTTGCCAGCGGTTTAAGTTAAATCAAATATGTTTAATTTCAAAGGGTAATGCTTAGTCTCTACAGTCTCTCATCTTGTGGGTTAGCACACAATGAATCTTGGGATACAGGTATGACTTCTGTAGCCAGTAGTATAATGTCACGTCTCCTGATTAGTTAAGTTGTTTTTATTTTCATCCCTCATGTTTCTTGTGTTGTGTTTCCTGTTTTATTTTGATACTCACCCTTGTCTCTTGTTTCAGGTTCATTGACTTCCTCCTCCTTGTGTAACCTTCTCCCCTGATTACCCTGATGTGTCTCACCTGTGTCTCATTAACTCCACTGCTCTGGTGTATTTAAACCCAGCTTTCCCTCCCTTCTGTTCCAGTTCATCTTGTCCTTAGTGTCAGAGTTCCAGCATTTATTCCTTGTGTTTGCCTCAGTGTTTTGACCTCTCTCCAGTATTGTTTGACTTAGCCTCTTGCCTGTCGATTTGGATACCTCTGCCTGTGCTTTTTTCGGATCTGTGTACCGACTCTTTTTTTGGAATAAATGGACTTTGATTTTGCCTGCCTGTGAGTCTGCATCTGGGTCTTCTTTTGGTTCAGTGTTACAGACGGATTCTTTAGTTGCACCTGAAAGAGCCCACAAAAGGGGACAGCCATGCATCCATCCATTTGCTTCCGTTTTTCAAGGCAAGGGTCACAGGGGCAGCAGTCCCTCCTCAGCATCACTTTCCAGCTCCTCCTCTGGGATTCCAAAGCATTCTATTCACAGCAAGCTCTGGGGTCCACTCCCTGGGATCCAATCCTTACCTATGGGTTTTGACTGAAAGAATGAGATTGTGGATACAAGGAGTCAAAGTGAGTACCGGCCCTCAGTGTTAAAGTGCCCTTGCAACTTTAGAGACAGCATCACAAAAGTGCCTTTGCAGGGTGCAACTCATAGACTGTACATAGAATGGACAAAGTCTGCCTCCTAGCTAGGTGAAGCCACTTCAAGAACAGCACCCTCTGGTGATGGGCTGCAGTAAAGGTCATAAATCCAATCTCCTCCAGCAATCCCTATGGAGCTGTGGACAAACTTTAGAAATTAATCACTCGGAACATAAATTTTTCTCCCCCCTGGTTGCGATGTTGACATGTAGTTACTTTAAGACTGGTTTGTGCTCAAGTCCTCTTTTTTTCTGTGCAGCTCCATTTTTAAAAGTTATCAGGGTGTTTTCTATGATTGACACTTGACTGACTTTGTTAGATATCTTTCACTGGAGGGAGAGAAATAGAAGTGTATGCTTTAATGATGTAAGTTTAAGAAACATTTTTTACTGCTGCTTTAAGATTATTATTGTGGTTCGACATTATTTATTAGCATGAGGGTTAGTCTCTAATGTTCCCTTTTAGCATTGTTTTGTACTGAGATACAGCCGTCCACATTCACATCCATGTCCATAAATCCATAACAAGTCTTTAAGAAGCATTTTTAATCTTTGCTGATGTTTTTGTCTAAATCTAATTACCTTGAATGCATACCCAGCGTGTAAGATAACTACATTTTACTCTTTTGTATGGCCTGCTGCACTGACATTGACTTTCTTAAAACGCTCTGTAAAACTTCCCTTACCTTACCTTACCTTTATCTTGTGTGTTAATTTGTGCTGTTGCAGAGTTTTATCGGCTTTGTCAGCTCAGGCGGACAGGCGCCAGCTGACAAGCTGAAGCTATCTCCTCCGTGAGAGTGTGAGCCAGCTGGACATGACGGACAGGCCAGTGTGCTGGGTAAGTCATGTGCAGCCCAACTATAAATTATTCATCATTCTCATCATGGCCCTCCATCCTCTTTTATCTCTCCATCTCCTGGCATTTTACTGCCTCTCCCTCCCTCTCTCTCTTTTGCTCTCCCTCTCTTACTCTCTTAATTCATCAGGAGCCATTAGCTGCTGCACAAGGATAACCTCTCAGTGTTTGACAGCAGCACTCTGTCAGGTGTTGAGGATGAGAGGGGCTCTGTTTCCACACTCTTTACTACTTTATTCCACTCTATCTTTGCTTCCCTTTT